ATATATAAATATTATAGATCTAAAGGGCCTTTAAGGCCTTTAAGTTAATTAGGCAGGCTTAAATAAGAATATTATATAAGACCTGGATCTTCTGGAGATAGGACAGGATATTATAATATTTTTAACAATACTAGTTATTAAACTAGAGGGTGTACTTAGTAAAGTTTATTTTAGGATTATGGGTCTTAAACCAGGAAAGTCTAATTATAATAAAAAAATATATAAACTAGGTAATCAGAAATAAAATATTTTTTTTAATATAGTTATAAGTTTTTAGGATTATATAGGTATAATAAGTAATAATACCAGTCTTACTCTTACGGCCATTAAACTTTATAATTAATTTAGGCTTTTTTAAAGGATATAAGATTAGATTCTGGGTTTTAGCTTAACTTTTATTTATAATATAGGATATAAAGTAACTGGTATTAAATATAGTATAAATAATAATTTTATTTTTACTAGGGTTTAATATAATAAAGATAATTAATAAGTTAGTTTTTTAGAGTTTTTTTTTAATAAGAAGTCTTTTAGTAATAGCTTTAAAAATTTAGTAAATATACACGAGGGGGTCTATCTAGTCGCGGCTTAAACTAGGCTAACCTTTTTTAACTACTTACTTAGGTTTAAAGAGTATAAGTATTTTACTTGGGGAATTATTTAAGGCTAGGGAGCCTAAAGTAGCAGTAATATAGACAGGCCTTGCGGGATAAAATAAAATTAAGATATAAGGAAAGATTATTTTTAAGAGGGTAAATAAAATTTTAGGGAAGAACCAGGATATATAATATAACTAGTTTAATATAGGTAATTATCTAGTTTAAGATAGTCTTTAATTATATATTAATTTAATTTATAGCAGAAGTATTTACTATAATCCTTACAGGTGTTATTCTTAGGATAAAAGGATAAATAATAAGTTAAAAAAAGGTTTATAATATTAGAATTTAGGGTAATAATAGCAGACTGGGAAGATTTATTAACTAGACTTTAAGAATAATAACTTTAGATATTTTTAATTAAAGCCTATAGACAAGTACTAGTTCTAGTTAAAATTAGGGCGGGCTTCTAAGGTTAGCTATAAAAATATTAAGTATAATAGTTTTTTAATTTTTATAAAAAAATAATAAAATTAATATAATTCTTAGTAGGTAGGTCTTAATATATTAATATAATTTTTATTTTCTAGTTAATAATTTTCTCAAGAAGAATAAAAAGATTATTTTTAGTTATTTCTTCCTTTATAATTAGTTATTAGAATTTAGTAAAAAAAATAAAAAACTTTTAGTTTTTTTATTTTAGATTATACAAGGTATTCCAGGTATTATAAATATAGTTCGGGTCTTTATAAATATAATTAAGTATTTTTAAAATTTTAATATAGTCTTTTAGCTAGTAAACTCTGTCTTTAATATATAAAAGAACTTGGATATAAAGAAGTCCCTTTAAATAATTAAAAATATAGGCTATACAGGCCTGGGAGATTAAAAAATAGTTATAATTTATAATTATCTTTTTCTTAATCTGGGAGATAAAGTAGTAAAAGTCTAATCTAATACTCCTAAACTTATTAGGGTCGGGTAGTTGTTTAGAAAGGCAGGCGGAAATAAAAGATCTGGGATTAATTAATATAAGTATTCTTATTAAAATAGCTAAGAGTCCTTTAGTAGCAGGTTCAGGGATCTGGTCTGGGGTGTTAACTATAGGTGTAGTAGTCTAGACTATATGGTTTTATTCTTAGATTATTATGCTTTTATTAGCTAGGGCTTAAATAAGTTTAAAATTTAAACTTTTTTTATGATCTGCTTAAAGGATAATAATTTATGTAATAATATTTATATCTTATTAAAGGCGGGAGACTTTTTAATAAAAATATTTTTAGTTAGTATTAATATTTACTATAAATATATAGATCTAGTTATAATAGGCATATTATTCCTTAATATATTTAGTAATATGCTAGATAAATAATTTAAGATCTTTAGAAAGAGATAAAGGCTTTAAAATTTCAAGTATATTAGGCAAGTATTAGCTTTATAAGTAAGAGCTATATAATATTAAGGCGCGGGCTGGTAGATTAATAGAGTTAGTATAGCAGGGGTAAGTAAGGTAGATAGTCTGGCTAGATTAGGTAGGCTAGGTTTATAAGATCTTTAATTATTATTATAATCAGGCTATATATAGGATAATAAACAAGATATAACTCAGGGAGTTATAATAAGATCTCTAATATTTAGGCTTTTAAGTGGTCAGGGGTTTAGGGTCAGGGACAGGTTCTTCCGGCTTGGTAGTTCCATCTGGTTCTGGTGGGTTTGGCGGTGCCTTCAGGTCTGCACTGTGACAGATTCTAGTAATCAGTGATTTCCTAATTAGGAAGATAAGCTAGTCCAAAATAGGAAATTCTTTAGAAATTTTTCTTTTTTCATTTTCCGCTCATATTGAGCTCAGTTTCACCTCACTTCTCCCATATAATTTGGTGGTGGAAGTGAGAGTTCAATAAGGTGAGAGTAAAGTTGTATGAATTTTGAATAATTTCAGTTGTGGGGCGAAATCAGGTGATTCTGATGAATCAGGTGATGTCAGGTGACCCCAATTGACAATAAGTAATAAAGTTATAAGATTAAATATTTTAATATCTTAAAGATAAGGCAGCATAAAAGTAATTAGCTAGAAATATTAAATATATAATATATTCTACTTAAGATATTATCACTGGGGTTCAGGGGAACCCCATAAGAACACATTTTTATTATATGTTTACTAGGCTATGACTAAGCACCCGTTCTAACTAAGCATCCTTGGGAGGATCCCATATATAGATCCTTACAGTTTTTTAAAAAAATAAAATATTAATAATAAAAAAGATTTATCTGATTTAGATTTAAATTTAAATAAGAATAATATTTTTTTATCTAATTTACTAGAGATATAATATATAATCTATTTAAATAATTTTAAGATTATAATACTTTTAATATCTAGTAAAAAATTATATTATATAAGAGTAGTAATTTCTCTAGATTATTTTAATTATTTATAGAATAAAAAGTCTTAATAAAAATATAAATTAACTTTTTTTTATTATTTAAATTAAATTATAATTTAATTTTAAAATATCTGTATGTTGTGTATTATATTAATATTTTATTATTTTTAATCAAAATATTTATTTTTTATATATTTTTTTAAAATGAAATTATATATAATAAATTAAACAGATTTTTCGGTACAGCAGAATCTACAGATCCGTAGAAAATAGTCTCCCGCGGATTTTTGCGGATTCTACTTTTAGAACCTGAACCCACTATAGATTCTATCCTTAGGGACCGAATCCGCACCTCATAGGGTTCGGCACAGTGCGGATGCGGGTTTTGCGGTCCCGAATGCCAACTCTAATTCTATCTAGCCATTTAAAATTTCTATTCAACCCACGTGACCTACCTACCCCATCTGACAGTTATAAATATAATATTAGAAAAATTATAAAAAAAAAGCTGTATAAGCTAAAAAAAATACTTTATAAATAATAAAAGTCTAAGTCTAATATTTTTAGATCTTCATTATTAATTTAGTAATATAAGTATTTTAATCAATATTATTTAGGGTCTGCTTAATCGCAGAAAACTTTTAATTAATTTAAAAAATCCTTTAAATAATATTACAGGTCTAGTTAACCCAGAGATTATAAGTAAAAAATATCTGTTATATAAATTTAATAATAAATTTAAAAAGTGACTTTCTATTCTTATTATTATAATTAAGATATATAATTATATTATTTTCGAGGTTCCTGATACTATTAAAAATTTTTTTTATATATAGATTTATTTAATCAGCCCTTAAAAAAAAGATTATATTATTTTCGCCTTAACCATCTTAAAAAACCCCTGAAAAAGAGATTAATTAATAATAGCTAGAGTTAATAATAAACTAGCAGATTCTGGAGCCTTTCAGTATAATAGTGGTTAAGAAATTTCAAAAATTTGATTCACATTGAGATTGTTGTTTTTCTGCGACTATTACCACACAAGAGGCACACCTCAACAAGGCTTTAGAGCCGCAATCGGTTGCTTTCTGCCACTGCTTGATTGGTTTGCATCGGAACGCCGTGTATACCAACCTGTCATCGGGTTAGTATACCGGGGTCTGGATTCGACCGGTGGGGCTCCCCTGCCAGTATCATGCATGTAGCCTACACTGCATCACTGGTCAAGGCAGCTGAGTGAGATGCCTGCCATAATTATCGGTTTCTAGCTCGCCTTAGTACTTAACCGAGCCGCGTTTGGCGACAAAGGTTCCAAACTTATACAGTAATCGTTATCCTTTTTGCTATGGTCATAGGTTTAGCAGGAAAGGGTTCGCCTGATTAAAACAGAATTGTGATGCCAGAATAAGATACCCTAAATTGATGACCTTTCAAGATGTGTGGAAGGGCCGCTGCCCCTACCATGTGATGACTGACAAGTACATAAATCAAGCTGGGCTAGTGAGCCAGCAAAATTCATTTTCGGTTCAAATGTATTGATTCTACGGAGTAAAGATCGGCGATTTGATGTTTGATGCCCCTCTTCCCGACCCGGGACTAGCCATTACCCGGGTGTCGAGCTGGAGAGGAGTCACTCCGGTTACAATGACAGGTTGCATTGCATTCGGGAAGACACTATCGACCTCCAAGTTCTGATTGGATGAAATTGAGCAGACCAAACCACTAAACATCTCAAGAGTTTAAAGACAGGGATTCCAATCTTCATCTACTCGCGCTTTCCAGAGAGCCATTCTAGCGAAGCTCTTTAATAGGCTAGAGACGAGAGCTGGGCAATATACTTATGGAGGACTTGAACGTGGTCAATAGTTGAGTGGGTGTCGCTAGGTGAGAAATGGGTGAGATCGGATGAGAATCACCCGGTGTCGAGTGACCCTGCACATGCACTGACAGCCCTGTAGCTGAGCAGAGCACTGTGCAGGAATACATGTACATAATAATTAGCTCTGGGGACAATATGCCTCTCCTTGAAACAATAGGTTCCTTAGTATCTGCACTTCGCCATGATTTACTATACAGTACAAGCTTCTGCAAAGCTCGATAGTAACACCATATCCATGAAAGTGCCTTTACCGCCGTCACTATGTTCGAGAGCAATCCGGCACTGCAGCTCAGGCACGTAACCGGCCGATTTTGGATAGTGTGTTTAGGTGGGGCAAATGTCTGAGCGCAAGGCTGCATGTGGGATACGGCACGAAGATAACAGTGAGATAGTATATTAAGAAAACAAATGTTAATTATAATTCATGTCTTTTTTGAGTAAGGTGTCTTATAATCTCAATAGTCTTTTCCATAATAAGTCGTATGTGGGCTTAGCCTTTAGCCTCAAATCTCTCGGCTGGAATTACTAAATACGGTCCAGGTTATCTACCTTTATAGTGTAGTACATATACAGCGCACAGCCGTTGCCTTGTTCGCCGATTCAGTCTAAGAGTTTTGAGTATTAGTGCAGGCGGGCAATGGCATGATGCAATATTGGCTCTATCTATAGAGAGAAAGGCTCTTCGGTTTCTTGTTAATTAGGTATCGTACAATAACCCATGCAAGTTCCAAGACACGCGGGACGGGCTTCGTAAGACGGGCAAAGCTGGCCCGTGGGGCGGAAGGGAGAGGGAATGATTAACTTTTCGAAAGTAAAACGAATATAGATTACAGGGTAGCAGGGCCTTGAAACGTGACACAGCATTGGTATACACTGGAGGCGCGTATAACGGATGTCTGAGCTTTTCTGAGAGATTATAAAATCGAGACCGAAGTAGGTTATCATTTTAAACAAGGAGCGCAGTTCCATACGTCTATAACATACCTGAAGTCGTTTGCATTTTGATCTAACACCCCACTACAAATACCAAATTCGAAGCAGCTCCACAACTAACCACAAAACCTGGATACTGCTGTATACAGCCATTGACAGAGCCAACAAAGAACTACAGGTAGGCCAACATGAAGACCTGGTACGTAACCTGGAGCATGTGGCTCGTGATGATGTCGCTTTGGCCGGCGGAAAGAATTCTTCTGTAGGGGAGATGATCAGCGCCCTGAAGGAGAAGGGGGTAAAAGTGCCGCCGGGTTTTGCAACATCACTGGCATCCTGGCAGTATGTGGACTCCAATGCCATACGGGATAAGATCGCTACACTGGTCACGGAATGGCAGGCAACTCCGGTCGAGACTGCGTATACAGCGCGTAAAGCTTTCCTCCGTGGCAACGCGCTGTGTGCCCTGAAGGCCCAGCAGAGTCCACGCTGTGCCACACAGTATATGGCCGGAGAACGCAACCCAACCCTACTCGTGGTCCCAGATATCGCTGAACACGCGGCGGAGCGAATGCGTGTTCTGAATATCCTCGCGCAGCGACGTTATCGTAAGTTTTAAATCTATTTACTTGACATTAGTGCTGAGTTTCCAGGTCAACGGAGAAAGGATCGTCTACATGCGCTGGAGTCGCGAGTTAAGAGTCCTTGGCAGGTTTCGTGATCTTGCATGTGTAAATGGACAGGCCAGGGGTAGTTTGAGAAGAGAAACAACTGTAAAACTAGTGAAAGAGACCAGGGAATGAGATCGACGAGGCATAACGTTATGTTCTGGATCGGGACGTGGCGCGCGGGGCTCGTATTGAGACAAATCAGGAATCTAAAACATGATGGATATCAAACTAACATACAAACTACTAACCCCAAATTATCATATCAACACAAATAAAGTCCCTAAAATCACTCCTTCCTCTCCGATCCAGAGCCAAACAACCCCCCCACAGAACTGCCCACCGCCTTCGCCCCCGACGCCACGCCCTCCCCGGCTCCCTTGGCCCCGCTAACCACAGGGTCCGTCACGCCGCCCAGCGGCCCGCCGTACGACCCGTTCTCGTCCTTCCCGCCCCTCTCGGCCCTATTCACGCCCTCTTTCGAGATGGCATTTCCGACAGGCGCCAACAGCCCGTTCTCGCCCAGCTGGTTGCCTACCAGATTGTGCACGTCGTCTTGGATCTGGTCGACTTGTTTGACGCCGGTGAGTTTGGATTTCGAGAGGGTGTCTAATCCCATTCACTCTTATTAGTCTTCTGTGTCTTGTCTTGTTGTCTTGTGTCTTGTGGTGAGAGGGCAGGGGAGAGGGTAGGGAAGGTAATGGAGGTAAAGATGGAGACACACCCTTCGTCACATAAGACGCCTTGTTATCGCCCTTCCCGAACCACTTCAGGTACTGGTCTTCCAGCCACGGCATCCACTTCTCGTACTGGTCGTGGTACACCTCCTTGACCCATTCGGTGTAGGTCTGTTGCTGGCGCTGGTCGGCGGGGAGGTTATCGTAGATATGGCGTTTTTGGTCTTCGGTGTGGCTGCTAGGAGTCTCGTTGGGGCTGTCGGTGCTGTTGCTGGCGACGCCGGTCAGGTTGGAGGCGGTGGATTTTAAGGTGTCCATCTTGCTTCGTTGCTTTGTCCTGGTTTGGGGGTTTGAGTGTGGTGGTGTGTTTATCTTGTAGGTTAAGGGATATCAAAATCAGAATGTATGTAGTTGAGTAGATCGATCAACGTCCCAGATGCAATATAAATATCCAGATCGATCGACTGACGTATCTACCACACTCCCGCATTAAAATCCCCACGTGCCATGACGTGTGTGGCACCCCTTCATTCCCCCATCGAATGACCGATGAAAGGGACCCGGAATCCTGTTTCTAGATCGCTTTGATTCGATGGGCTCGATCCAGACGACGCGACGCGGCACATGACGTCATTGTTTAATTTATTTGGATTCCCGACGGGAGACAGGTGTAGATGACAGGCACAGGCACAGGTACAGGCATATTTTTTGTTTCGATTGATGAGATAGAGAGTTATTTCGTAATGTTGAGTTTGTTGTGTCGCTGATTTGCTTATATGGATGGGACATGGGGTAGGGAAATATCGAGGCGTCTTGGACGAAGGTTGAGGGATTGGTCGATCACAACTTTAGTTGATTTATGGCGCAGATGTGGCTAGGGAAATGGCAGGAATTAATCACTATCTGAGTAAATTATGAGTCCGCCCTGTGTTTAAGATCTCGTAGGACCTTCGCTATCCATAAATCGTTCGCGTCGCAACTAGCTTGGGGTAAACCTCCGAGCCAGCAGTCTGAGGAAAAATAAATCTTACATGTCAACTTGACATTAAGTAACGAATTCATTGAATCTATAATGCATCCCGAAAGATAAAATATCTCTATTCTTAAAACTCTCAATTCTGACGCATGTTGCAGTCAAACGAGTGGAAATATTTACTTGAAATAAATGACACTACGCGCCAGTTGCACGGTCGTGTCTCGTAGAACTAAAATGACAAAGAAGCGCTTACAGCAGAGCGACGAAAGCACCGACAGCAACGGCGGCGCCGAAGATGGAGCTCGACAGGCTGGCAGCACCGCTGGAAGGAGTGATGCTGGAAGAAGGAGTGCTGCCAGTGCCGCTGGCAGAGTCGGAGCCAGAGCCGCTGCCGCTGCCGCTGCCGGATCCCGAGCCGGAGCCGGAGCCGGAACCAGAGCCAGAGCCAGAGCCAGAGCTTCCGGAGGTGGAAGCGGAGTGGAAGCTGGAGGTCTTGGAGGGTCTGGGGTGGGTCGAGTTGTAGCCGTGGGTGAAGTTGTAGCCACCCTTGCCGAAGCCGTAGGGGGGACGCCCGGAGTGTCCACGGTAACCGGAGCTGGCAGCGGCGGAGGAAGAGGCGGTCACGGAGCCGCTGGCGCTGGAGGCAGCGGATCCAGAGGAAGAGGAGCCGGATGAGGAAGAACCGGAGGAGCCGGAAGAGCTGGAGCCGTGGCCAGAGCTGGAGCCAGACGAACCGGAGGAGCTAGAGTCGGAGTTCTTGGAGCCAGAGGAGCTGGAGGAGCCAGAAGATCCAGAGCCGGAGCCGGAGCCGGAGCTGGTCGAGTTCTTGTTGGAGCACTTCAGGTCGAACAAAGGCTTCTCGCTCAGGTCGCTGCCGACAATACCGAAGCTGGGGTTAGGAGTGGTGGGAGCAGCATCCTGGAGGATGTACCACCAGGTGTTGACCTCGTCGAACAGGGGGCATCCGACCTCGTCCCAGAATTTCTTAGCGTTCTCCGGGTTGGCGATGGCCAGGTTCTGCTTGTCGCCGCTCACGGGCCATCCAGTCTCGGTGATCCAGACCTCCTTGTCGCCGGCCACAGACTTGGTCTTCTCGACGGATTCGTCGAACAGCTTCTTGGCGTCGGAGATGGAGTTGTCCATAGTGTTCTGGAAGAAGGGGTATCCATCGAAACCCAGCCAGTCGACGGCGTCGACAACGGCCGAGTTGGAGCCGTTGGTCCAGGCGGTCCAGGTGTCGACGTGACCGATCGAAGCCTTGCTCAGGCTGGTGCCGGAGATGACCGAGCGGACCTTCTTGATGTAGCCGGCGAGCTCGTCGGGGCCGATTCCAACGCCGGCCTCGGCCTGAACACCGTCGTAGGAGTTGCGGTAAAGATCCTCGCTACCGACGGAGATACCGACGACCAGCTTGGTGAAGTCGTCGCCGTATTTCTCGATGGCGTTCTTGAGGGCAGCGATTTCGTTGTCCATGCCACCACCGGAGGCCCAGAGGCCGAGCAGGAGAGAGGTCTTCTCCTTGATGGCGGCGGGGATGGCGGAGATGGGGTCGTTGGTGGTACCACCTTGCTGTAGGATGTTAGATTGTCTATCATCATTCATCTAATGCGACAGGGTACTCACGATCATGGTGTACAATCTGGCACTGTTGAATCCGGAAGCATCCTCCAGGTTCTTGGCGGTCTTGAATTCGGCCTCGAAGTCGGCCTGCACCTTGCTGCTGCCATCAGACTTGGCAGCACCGTAGTTGAAACCCTTGTGGGCAGCCTCGGCGACTGCCAGCGACAGGGCGAGGGCGAGAAGGTTGTTAAGCTGCATTTTGATTGGAAACGACTGAATATATTAAAGATTGAATAAAACAGAAGCCAAAGGAAGGAAGGAATGAGAAAAGAGAGTGGTTGTGAAAGAAAGTAAGGGAGAGACAGGAATGAAAGAAGGGAATGGAGATAAAAGAAGGAAGACAGAGAGAAAGAGAAAGAGAGAGAAAAGGGAGTCGAGAGAAGACAAAAGCAGGCGAGAATCTAGACCGTGTCACGGGTGGGCCGACGGATCCACGGAGGCTTAATCGGGGGCTAGTGTCGCGGCGCCCGACGAATGGCGGGCTAAAAAAAGCATCTGTCATGGCGGAAAAAGTCCTTTTCCTGGCCCTACTGGGCCTCTGGACGGTTCCACCGCCTCCGTTTAATAATTGTGGCGCGGCGTTGGCTGCCCAGCGGTGGACTCTCTCATTTCTTCACCCATCCGCAATTTCAGGGGCTCGTCCAGGTCGCAGGTCCGGGGTAGGCGGAATCGAACGGTTGACTGCCTGACTCCGGTGTTCCTGACCGATGCAGCTTGCCGTGTTCGAGGCACACCGTCACACCCCAGATTATTGACTTCAGGCACAGCCTCGTCGTGGCTAGTTGAAGCTGCCCTGCAATAGGGGATATTCGGGTGGGTCCGATGCGTTCACTAATTCAGCAGATCCCCCTAATCTATATTAAGATACATGTCTCCCGAACCGGTCGGAAATGAATATCATGGACAGAAATTTAAAAAGAACAGAAAACTGGATTGTTGATGACGTGACGGCAATGATTTATGCCAGTTAATGATTTATGCCAGTTGAAAGAGTTCAACTCATCAGTATCCCGAGGTGCTGAGTGACGTGTCATAGTCACTACTACGGAGTAATCTCACGAACAAAATACAAAGATTTGTTCAATATGCAAGCAATAAGCAATAGATTAATTGCAGTACCGATGGATTATGAAACCAACATTCTGCTGACAAGCCAACGGCCCCTGGAAGATGCGGCAGATTTGGCCCCGGGAAGCCGCTTAGTGCATCCTGCGTTGGACCAGTCAGATCGCCCAGGGGTAGCGTGGTCATTGTTGATGCTTTGCCTGTTTGGTCTTTGTTTATGCCATGCCTTGCGTACGGAATAATTGCGTGGCAATCCATGAGGCAATCTGATGTTCATCTGGATGGGATTGAGGTTTAAGTTCAAACTATTGGTTTTATTTATAGTTGGAACTGTCTTAAACCCTACTCGGTGTGGCACGTGTACTACGGAGTGTGTCTTTCAGAGTCAAGGGCAGTGTTTATTACACAAGGAATGAAAAATTCATGCAATGAACAACTTTCAATAGAAACAAAGAATGGCTAGTATCCCCTGTCTCTAGTGATTCTTTGCCGTGAACAGCTGAAACAAGAGAAAGGAAGAAAAAAGGTTGACTATGAGAAACGCTGAAAATACATCACTAGCATCATCACTTGATCAGATCTTTCACCTCCCATCCTCATGCCTCACCCTCACCCCCAACAACCTCTCTGCATTCCGATACGCAAACAACTCCATCTCCTCCCCCCCAATCAACCCACTCCGTCGTATCTGCTCCAAAAACTCCAACCCCCTCTCATTGCCCGAAAACGGATAATCAACACTATACAAGACTTGCTCGACGGGCATAACATCCAACAAACAACGCAGCGCCGGCAGCGAAAACATCCCACTCGTGGTCACCCAGATGTTACTCCTCCAGACCTCCCTCAGACTCCGCCGTAACCCCCACCGCTCGGCGACCGCACACACTCGATCCAGCTGAAATGGCAACAACTCGCCCATGTGTCCAATGATGACCTTGAGGCCGGGCAATCGGTCGAAGAGCCCGCTCGCATACAGCCGCAGGATATGGAGGGCTGTCTCGGCGTGCCAGGACCAGCCGTAGGCGCTTAGTGCCAGTGCCACGGAGTCGTCGTAGTTGCCCTTGTAATGGTCCAGCATGGCGGAGGACGCGAAGGTCGGGTGGATGTAGATCGGGACGTCGAGGAGGTGGGCTTTTGCGAAGACGGGCCAGAAGCGCTCGTCGTCGTAGAATTGTCCGTCGAGGTGATTGTCGACCAGGGCGCCGAGGAATCCGAGATCGCGCACGCAGCGCTCCAGTTCGAGCGCCGCCGCGGGGGGCTCGCTCATCGGGAGCATGGCGAACCCGGCGAGGCGCGCCGGGTGCTGGGCGATGGCGGCGGCGAGGTCGTTGTTGGCGGCGGTGCAGATGGGCGCGGATAGGTTCCCTGGGCCGTGCGAGATTACTTGCAGCGATACATTGCCCTTGTCGAGGTCTGCGATTCGTTCGGACCCCAGACACTCGAGTTTGGAAAGGATGTGAGGTGGGAAGTTGGCGTAGTGGGCGCGGGCTTCGGCGCTGGCGGCGCTGACGTTGGGGGAGACGAAGTGCTCTTCGAGGGTGATGAGGGGATGCATTTCGGGAAATCAAGTGGTTCAATGACCTCCTGGTGGCCACTGTAGGGGTTTATCTACTGCGTATGACTGTTAACTCCGAGGCCGAGAAGAGACCGATAGTTGAATTGAAGGCGTAAATCTACACTCTCATTGTGGCTAAGCTTTCCAATAAGCTTTGTTACTATCAGGGCTTCGAACGAATCTGCGCAAAGTCCGAGATGCATCCTATCACCGGTAAGTCCTACCAATGTCCGAGGATGACGTATGGCCGCACGTGATTGCAATATTTCTCTTGATATACATCCGGTGCCTTGATCTTTTATATAAATAGGTGGTCTCAGAGCCGGTTTTCTTCCTGGTATAGCGCCCATTGTACAGTGACGTTGGAAGGGTGGGACTGCCACTACTACTATATATATCCGGTGAATGAAGTGTCCTTTACTTCGACTGTTAATCGTACTGAAGGTCATATATACCACTTCATGTCCCTGCTATATAAACACGAACCTACGCTCGCTTCTTGCACACAGTGAGAAACGGCGTCAGAATCCCTCCCGTGAAGAGCTGTCCAGACTGAAGATCATTCGCGGCCGTCGTGATGGTCGAGAGCATCTTTCCCTCCTTGTCCTCAATGATCTTTTCCACTTCATACTGAGTCTTACCGTCCACTTCACCTTTCGTAATCCTCAGAACGGCACTCGCAACGTTCACTGTGTTCGGATTGTCGAAAGCCTTCAACACGCCCATCAAATCCGGAAACGCAGCTGCGATGATGCTCCCCTCCTCGTCAACAGACAGGTTATCCATGGCAAAGCCCGTATCGATCTCATCGACGCGACGAACCTGACCCTCCACCAGCTCATAAACCAACACCTTCCCAGCCGCCGCATTCACCACATAGAACAGCCCATCCTTCCCCCTCGTAACCCCATTTGGCGAGTGGAATCCCTTCTCCGCCACGATGCGACACTCCCCAGAGTCCGTCCGACAATGCGCAACACTCCCCCCTCCCACAATGATCTCGAACTTCTTCATCAACCCGCTCTTCCGGCTATGATCGTTTGTAACCACAACCCCGACCCCGTCATCATCCACAGCCAGATTATTCGGCGTGACGACCGCCTCACTCGCGATGGTCTTCACATATTCCAGGACCTCCCGCCTTTGATCCAAATCAAAGACCTCGATCGTCGAGTTCGCCCCGAAAACACTCGCGTCCAGCACCTCCCCGTTCTCCCCAACCGGCGGACGATGGTTAATCAACCAAAACCGTACCCTCCCATCCTCTAGCTGTTTGACATCAAAGCCATGCAGATCCAAATCCCCGGAAAACCCACCCCCAATCTCTACCTTCCGCACCCCAAACAGCCCATCGTCCCCGGGGCGATCGACATCCAACACCGAGATCCAATTCGACCCCGACCGCGCGCTGGGATCCATCCTCCCACCACCGGGGCACCAGCCCTTCCGGGCCTGCAGATCGCCACACGCAGCGTAGAGCTTGCGACCGGGCGCGTCGAGGTAGACGTCTTCGCAGCTGGTGAGAAGGGGGTGTTCGATTTTCTGGCAGTCGTAGGGGAAGTCGGAGATGGGTTGGACGGTGAAGCCGATGTTGAGGCCCAGGATGAGGATATTGTGCAGGTAGACTTTGTAGAGGACGGCGAGGGCGAGGACGATAGCGGGGAGCAGGATGCGGCCTACTCCGGAGGAGCCCTTTTGGTGGGATGGTGGTGGGGATGGTGCCATTTTGTCTGTATGTACTCCCTGGATTATGGGAGGGTTGGATGAAGAATATGCTGTAGGCGTACGCGTAGATGTTAATGCATGGGGTGCTGGATTTGGGTTGGGGCTGGGATTTATTTCAATCGACAGCGTTGCAATCGGACAGGTCGGACTACCGAGTAGAGTATTCTTGTCTGAATTCTGAAATGCACCTGGGTCCACTTTGGGCGGCCTCTGACGTGGGGCGAGATGAGGAGTCGAGGACTAGCGTAGCCTTGTGCGGAGGATGAGGCAGGTTAATGAAATGATGGGTGGGGATGGTCGCAGGAGGACTGGGAGCAGCTGTGCTTTGGAAAGAGCATCTAGGATTAGTGGACTAAAGGGTATTGCAATTGAGTGATCAGAAAATCGACTTTTTGCTTGAATCCGATAAAGCCATACAACTGTAGGGTAGAGAGGAGGAGGAGAGGAGAGAAAATGCAAAAGCCTGCATGTTTATGCACACTGCTTATGCAATTCAACTTTCACAAATGCTCCATTTATGTCTCCATTTACTATTGCCCAGCCTTGTTGTTAAAGGTCCAATTGAATGATAGTCTCACTGTGCAAAAGTACAGATGGCAGACCCTAATAAGTCGCGAACAGGGGATGAATCCTTCAATTTAGCGACGAGAATAAACCGGCATTATGGTGACATAGGGCTATTCATCCCTGCAATCTGCCCTTTCCTTAACCCACTCTGCCTTGATAAAATCCGACACCATCTCCCCAATAGCATAGATGCTACTCGTCGGGTGTCCGCACAGCTGAATCGGATGAATAGACGCATCAACAACCCTAACATTCCTTGTCCCGTACACTTTCAGTCGATGATCGACTACGCCTCCCATGGAGCGTGGCATCATGGCAAGAGTTCCAATGGGATGGTAATTAGTAAGATCTGCATTGTCAGTTTAGATGTAAAGGTTCAGGCCAAAAGGACGTACATTCATTCCTTATCCACTCTCTCCATATATCATCCGGAGATTCCTCAGGAATCCGGTCATAGCCAGGATGCGATTCACTAGCAACCAAGCCATTCAATGGTCTTGAATGGAACATCTGTCGAACAAATTTAGCCATGGCGACTTGAAATTCGATATCAAAATCCACTACCCCATAGTTAGGGTTGATGATAGGTCTTTCCGTCGGATCCGCCGACGCAATGTGCACATTCCCACGAGAGAAGGGAAGCAGGCCCCAGTATCCGGCGGTTTTTGCCTTATTTCCTGGATTCACGCGGAACTCAGCTATAGGGACAGACTTGTTAAATATGAGGTCATATTGGATGTTAAAAAGACATTCCAGATTAGTGGTGTTTGTGTCACCATTCGCCTTGGCCGCTTGGCGGGCATACTGTGGAAGCTTTGCGGCTAGGGAATTCGCAATACCCCCGACTTCTTCGCCGAAGATGTCAGAGGCAGAGACATATGCAGTAGATCGTGAGCCTGAGATCTTCTCGTGCGTTGAGACGGCCATGGAATTGTTGATTTGCTCTTGCAGATTCTCGCCCACAGTTGGGAGATCAATACGCGTGGTGATGCCGTGTTTTTCAAGTATCCTGTCAACAGTTAGACCTCTAATCTAACAACAAACAAACATATCCCTACTAACCTTCGATTTCCCACCCCCAAAAGCTGAAGAATAACCGGTGATCTAAACACCCCCGCCGCGAGAATCACTTCCCTCTTTACGTGAATGACTCGACTCCCATTCTCATCTCTCACCTCCACACCCACCGCAACCAGATCATCGCCCTCCCTCTCTTCCCAGATAATGCGATCCCCTGTCGTATTGCACATCACATGCAGATTCATCCTAAATAAAACAGGCCAATAGTACGCCCTCGCCGCGTCACTTCGCACATACTCCCCTGCCTCAATCGTCGCCGGATGTACCGTGAACCCTCGAACCCGACCGCCATTCGGATCCCGATTCCACGGGACGGATACGTTGGGGTCTTCGGAGAGACGGTTCGCGACGACGAGACCGCCGGTTCCACCGCCCATGATTATATAGTCGTATCCATTTTGGATGGCTGTTGCGAGGCTAATAATTATAAAGGCAAGAATAGGGAACATGGGGTGTATTCAGGTAGAGGATGGTGAGATGTTACTTGCAAACTGTCTAATCTTTCTGGATTCCAGTATAGGCTGCCTTCCTATTTGTTAGTTTACAGCAAAGTGTTTCGATGATAGGTAGGTACTAAGCAGGGAGTTAAGATTCCGAGGGACCAGGCTGATTTTCAACTTTAAGTCTCCTGCAAAGCATCTCGGAGAATATTCACGTCGGGCAGACGCATATGTTTAATAGCCGCATATGCCGCCGAGTTGACAAAATGACCGGTCTGCTCCGGGATGCCGCATTGCAGACCCCGATTGCCTTGCATGTCCCGTGCGCTTAAATACAGTCCTTTTTCCGAGATCGCTGTACTTACATGTCGTTCAGGAATATTTTCGAAGTCAGGTAGACGAAATGATACGTATAGTTGCCGATACCAGTTTTCTAAATTGGTGGATCTTTATTCTACATTGTTGAATTATGATGAGCTTGGAACATTCTGCTTTCCAAGAACAGCTTGAAAAAGAGAGATAAATTGTAAGATTTCATCATTTCGCGTACATAGTACCGTAGGAATACTGCTCGTATCTCCCGACTAGCGCCTAAGTCAACTACCCAGTTAGTTAGGGCTTCCCCGATGACTCACTCTAACCCATCAACATCACGACCTACTTAACCCAAACCAACGATCACCCAACTTCCAACCTACACCACAAGACCCATCCCTCTCAACCACCCCCAGAAAATCAAACGAAAAACAAAGAGAAACAAAATCAAAATGTCCCGCGCCCTCGGGCCCCCGGTGGACTCCCCCACCGCTCAACCGCCCACCGCCAGCACCCTCACCGGCCGCACCGTGCGCCTAGAACGCCTAACCCCAGCACACGCAGCGCCTCTATTCGCGCTCGTCGGCAACACCGCCGACCCCACGCAGGTCGCCGTGTGGGATTACATGCCGGAAGGGCCGTTCGCGAACTACGCGGCCTTTGAGCAAATGATTATCTCGCATGCGAAGTCGACGGATCCGTATTTTTTTGCGATTATAGGCCCTGGCTCTACTGGCCCAGATGGCGACGAAGTCCTGGGCTATATATCGTTGATGTCGATCGTTCCGGCGCAGTTGCGTCTTGAGATCGGACATGTGGTGTTCTCGCCGAGATTGCAGCGGAGTACGGCGGCGACGGAGATCGTGTTCTTACTGCTGAAGTATTCGTTTGAGAGCGGGTATCGCCGGGTGGAGTGGAAGTGTAACTCGTTGAATGAGGGGAGTAAGCGGGCTGCGGGGCGGTTTGGGTTCGTGTATGAAGGGACGTTTAGGCAGCATATGGTGGTTAAGGGGCGGAATCGGGACACGGCGTGGTTTTCGATGGTGAGGGAGGAGTGGGAGGGGGGTGTGAGGGCTGGGTTTGAGGGGTGGTTGGGGGAGGGGAATTTTGATGAACTTGGGAGGCAGAAGGGGAGGTTGGAGAGGTTTATTAAGCGGGGATATATTTAGATGGATGGATTAGCATTTATGAATTAAGCTATGTACATCATCTTGGTCATAGTCATGTAGTCATCATGGAGTTGGAGTTTATACAACTCTAAAGGACACCTTGAATTCGAAGGGCTCGGTGTGGAGCTGGTGCTCGGGTCGAGGGCCCGGGCCGCATGTTCCGGTTCCTAGGCCGTGTGTGTCGTGGTCGATTTGCAGGAAGGTTTGGTTCACGGGCGTGAGGTCGTATGGATGCTTGGCTTCGTTGAGGGCCTCGACGGGGTAGTTTCGGGCCGTGAAGCTGAAGGGGCTGGTTCCCTTGACTTGTAGCACGCTGTCTTTGCCGTCGTCTGTAGATCCCAGTTTCACCCAGCGAGTGTCGAGTCGGTTTCCGTTCTCCTGAGGATACTCGTACGGCGTGAACAGGTCGGACACGGGGAGGCTGAAGGTGCCGAAGCGGTTGGCCTCCTTGCTGTCGCGGTAGGCTTCCCCGGGACCACGGCCGAACCAGGTGCAGTGGTTGAAGGAGCTGGGGAGTTCCAGGTCGAGACCGATACGAGGGACGGTGGTGGGCTTGTTACCGGAGAAGGATCCGGTGGAGTGCACGTCGATGCCGTCGTCGTAGATGGTGTAGGTGGTGAGGGTGTTGACGCCCCAGTCGAGAGAGGCCGGGGCGATGCGCGCCTTCACCTGGACAGCCACGGACGTGTTCTTTCTGGTCCAGTCGATGTTTTGGATTGAGGTACGGAGATGGTTCACGCGGTAGTCTTCCCACTCTGCTTGGTCGCCGTCTCCGCCCTCGTCGTTCTCTGTCATCGCGCGATAGAATCCCAGTCCGAGTCCACTTTCCACAATGCGCTGACCGTGGGCGGTCCATTGGATCTGGCCGGTTTCGAGGTTGACAGAGTAGTTGGTTTGACGTTCCGGTCCGGTGATGAGGAGGTGACCCTCTTTCTGCTGAGCCAAGAGAGCGACCTTGGATGCTGGGCTTTGAGGCGGGGGCTGGGACTTTTTGACTTGGATCTGGGCCCAGGCAACTTCGTGGCCCTTCTTAGCCCAGGCGGTATCGTTCTTGAGGACAAAGTTAAGCTCAAGCCAGGTATCGCGGGATCCATTCGCCTTGTACTCGGGAATTGGAATAGTCTTGATTGTGCCGGCAGGAATTTTAGGTAATTCCAATGCAACAGGGTCACTGCTGCCAGTGTCATCGACAACCTTCCACGACGCACTCAGATGACTGAGGTCAATAAAGTCATAATGATTTTTGATGCTGAGCTGACTGCCGTTGTGCGTGACCGTCACTGGCTCAATGATCTTCTTGTACTCTGTCAACCCTGGAGTGGGCGTGTGATCGGAATAGGTCAGACCATCCATGATAAAGTCAGCGTCGTTCGGCTCGTCACCGAAGTCGCCGCCATAGGCATAGAAAGTGGTGCCATTCTGCTCAGTCAGGAGACCGTGGTTGTTCCATTCCCAGATGAATCCTCCCTGGATCCGAGGTTCTCTCCTGAAAAGGTCGACGTATTCCTTCAGCCCGCCGGGACCATTGCCCATCGCATGTCCGTATTCGCACTGAATATACGCCTTGTCGCTATAGTTGTTTGTCTTTTCGATCATCTCCTCGATGGTGTAGTACATGGTGCTGTATAGATCCGTTGTGATGCCCTCCCAGTCGCCTTCGTAGTGGACCAATCTGCTAGGATCGCGCTTCTTGACCCAGTGATACATAGCGGCCATGTTACTTCCGTAGAAGCACTCATTGCCCAGAGACCAGAAGACGATCGACGCGTGGTTCTTGTATCTTTCGACGACTTGCACGGCGCGGTCGACGTACGCATCCCGCCATTCGGGGTTATCCGTGGTCCATTTGCTGGCTTTCTTGTAGACAGCACCCTGTCGCTCCAGGCCCTCCAATGTTGGGTCGTCAAAGATGAGAGACTCGACTGAGTTGAACCCGTGGCATTCAAGGTCTGCTTCTGTGATCACGTAGAATCCTAGCTCGTCGCACAGGTCGTAGAAAGCGGGGGTATTGGGGTAATGGCTCGTGCGAATGGCGTTGATGTTATGCTCCTTCATGAGCAGGAGGTCCTGCTTCATGAAATCGTATGGCACCGCCCGTCCGTGCAGATAGTGATGTTCATGACGGTTGACTCCGTAGAACATGATGGCTTTGTCATTTACCACGAAATTTGACCCCTTCTGCTCGATGCGTCGGAAACCAACTTTCTGGCGAATAACCCGGTTTCCGTAAGAGATGAAGAGCGTGTATAGAGACGGCGTCTCGGCTGACCACAGCTGGGGAGAAGAAACGTTGATCTCGAGCGGGTTGGCTGGGGATCCCTCCTTCTCGGCGATCTGTTCGCCAGAAGGATCGAGAAGCCGCAAACGAAGGGTGCCATGTTCACCCTCCACGGTGACAGAAGTGTTCAGTACCGCGTTGGAAAACGATTTGTCCAGATCCGTATGGACCTCGTAGTCCGTGATGGTGTTGGGAAGGAATGGAACCAGGTACACGTCGCGGAAGATACCCGACATTCGCCATTGGTCCTGATCCTCAATGTAGGATCCATCGCAGTACTGGTACACACGCACGGCAACGTTATTGATGGCGTCTCGGTTCACATAGTCGGTGATGTCAAACTCATGTGCGTTCCGACTTCCTTGACTATATCCAACTTTGTGGCCGTTCACCCACAGATGGAACGCACTGTCTACACCCTCGAACCGAATCCGGGTACTAGCGTCCTTCTCCCAGTCCGAAGGTACATAAAACTCCCTCCAGTACGAGCCGACCTCATTCTCGGACGGCACGTTCGGTGGGTCCACCGGAAATGGATAGTTTACGTTGGTGTACTGCGGTTTACCGTAGCCTTGCAGCTGCCACATTCCCGGGACCGTGATTTCGGGCCAGCTTGTAGGATCAATTTCCTCCCATGAGGGAGTGATCAGAGGGGAGGTGTCATGTCTGAATTTCCATTGGCCGCTGAGCGACTTGTAGAAGCTTTGGTTGGCGTCGCCGGTGGCGGCAGTGGCTTCGTCGGGAAAGAGGTAGAAGTGGGAACGTGGGGGGAGAGTATTGGTATGAAGAACCTGGAGGTTGTTCCAGTCTGGCAAAGAGAGTGCCATCTTGCTGGACCCGGGCCTTGAATGTAGACCTTTGGATGCAACTTCCACCGTTGTACCAGGACAATCCAACCTTTATATACAGGGAAAAGAGCGCACACAGCCGACATAACTGGTGGAACAACTCGTTGACTCCATAGATCCAAGAAGCGAGTATACTAGATTAAGCCTCCCCGCTTCCTGGGGCTTGGCTGCAGATGTGGCTCCAGCCATAGTGACGTTGGTGGTATTGGCAGTCGGGCCGAGCGTCGTTCGATATAGCCTTATTGAGTAAAATGCCGAGAACGGAATCAGGCCATCGGAGCACTCGACAGATTTACGTGAATTCGGGTAAACGAACACCCAAATGCAGGGCGTGCATGCAGGCTCAAGGAACGAGGAAGCAGGAAGGGGATGATCTCTTCGCAACGAAGCCGAGATCGTCCCCCGCCGGGTAAATGCCTGGGGCACCACACGATGCCAAGCACCGCCAAGGCCGGTGCCAAGGCGCATTACATCATCGCGCGGCCGTCGGCAAATTCCCCCAAATCAAATCTCTCCGTCCGTCGGTTCATCCGCTGCATCCCCAGCTTCTTGACACTCCGTCATACCATTTACCCATACCAACACAATGGCCTCAATTATCCCCCGTGCCGGCCTCCGCGCCTTCACCGCTCTTCCCCGGGCCACTCCCTTGACCAGGACCACTTTTGCCTCCAAGCTTCCCCGCACCCAGCCGTTCTCGCAGCCCTTCGCTCGCCGATTCCTCGCAACCGTCCCGCAGGAGCAGCCCCGAATCCGTCTTGGATCGACCGGTATTGACCCTTGCCTGAGTCATTTGGGTCATTGGCTGACCTTCCTAATCCTGAATAGCCCCCAACTTCAAGGCGACCACGACCCACGGCGAGATCGATTTCCACGAATTCATCGGCGACAGCTGGGCCATTCTCTTCTCGCACCCGGCCGACTTCACCCCCGTCTGCACCACCGAGCTTGGCGCCTTTGCCAAACTCAAGAATGAGTTCGACCAGCGGGGCGTTAAGATGATCGGGCTGGTTAGTCCCCTCTCCCATCCTCGTCTGTTTATCCCCACTACACCCCACGCTAACCTACCTGCCAACATGTAGAGTGCCAACGACCTCGGCTCCCACGACAAGTGGATCGACGACATCAACGAGGTGTCCAACACCAGCGTCCAATTCCCCATCATCGCCGACGCCGACCGGAAAGTCGCCTTCCTGTACGACATGATCGACCAGCAGGATCTGGATAACATCGCGGAGAAGGGCATCGCGTTCACCATTCGCTCGGTGTTCATCATCGATCCCACCAAGAAGGTCCGCTTGACCATGATGTACCCGGCTTCGACGGGCCGCAACTCAGCGGAGGTGCTGCGCGTCATTGATTCGTTGCAGACCGCGGATAAGAAGGGCATCGCGACCCCGATCAACTGGAATGTCGGCGAGGATGTGATCGTCCCGCCGTCGGTGTCGACGGAGGATGCGCGGAAGAAGTTCGGCGAGGTTAGAGAGTTGAAGCCGTACCTGCGGTACACTAAGCACTAGATGTAGGATAGATAGCGTGTTAGATGGTGTATAACAGTACAGCTTTTGCTGTTTTACTTGGTCGGATTTATGTTGTAGTGGACTAATGGAGCAGCCAGTCACTTCCAACTCCTAACTCACAATCTCTATCTTCTATATTACTCACCAACAGATTATACCCTCTACATCTCAGCAACTCTCAGCAACACGCACAACCTCATCTACCAACATGCCCGTCTGGCTCAACATCGGCGAATGGCCTGCACTACACCTCCGCACCTGCGCCTTCACCATCGCCGCGAACATCTCCTGGAACTGCGCAGGTGCCGCCGCATCATTTTCACAAATCAAATAAGTCGACGGGATATACTCGTACGCCGTACGCGTCACAGCCGTCGTCTGCACCGCATACGACTGAGGAATCAGCCTCGACTCCCAGAGCTCTGCCTCGGACTCGGGAAGATCATTATACAGCGTTTTGGCGCCATTGAGGATGCGGAAGCGGCCGTCGGGCTGGGCGAACATCGATTTATTAGCGCATATCCAAATGATATACCATCTCCCTAAGCAAATGCAAAGGGTGAATAAAAGTCTCACCAGAACCAGATTATTCGGCGACTCGCCGAACTTCCCCAGTACCGACTCTCCCACTCCTAGCGCAAACGCCGCGAAATAAAACAAATGAACCACGCCTCCCTGCTTCCCTTCTTTCTGGCGCTGCGTGAAATTCAACGATTCAGGAATCGCTTCGGACCCGACGATTCCCCCGTACGAGTGCATGACCACAAGCACTGTTTTGAACTCTTTTTCGACGAGCTCTTCGAGGGCATGTCTCACGACAAGGGCGTCGTCGCTTAGCGTCCTAGTTGGGAAATCGGCATCTTCGACGTCCGTGCAGCTGGGTAGAGCTGGGTGGATAGTGTCGTAGCCTTGGTTTTGGAGGCTGGTGGTGAATGAGGAGTAGACGTGTGGTGTTTGGAAGGAGCCTTGGACGAGGAGGATGGTTGGTTTGGGCATCGTGGTTGGTGGTTTGATGGATGGGAGGGATATTGTGGGTTGGTGGTCTATATAGAAGGATGGTGGTGGCTTTTATGTCCCATCCTCTACAAGGCTGAGGTTGTTGATCCAGAATCAGGTCCTGCGCCGTAAGGCTGTGCAAAGGGATTCGTTATCTAGTTAGCGCGTTCGTTTGGTTGGCGGCCCGGCTGTAAGCCCTAGACAGGCATCAGGAACAGGGTTGGCTTTCATTATAGCAGTCGCTATAACAATGGATTCTCTGCTCGGGTACAAGGTTTAAGCTTATCAAATCTCGTATTCATATATGCCAGCTTATCACGAACAACAAAGAACAAAAGGAAAACCCAAAAATCACCACCCCATCACCTCCCCCGTATACTTGATCATCTTCCCTCCAATCTCCCCCTTCGTCGCCTCGCTGACCACCTTCACAATCCCATCGCAAACCTCATCCACCGAGTCCGGCGCACTCTCTAGCCCCCACCCCTTCGCCGCCGTATTCCCCATATCGGTGGCCGACCACCCCGGGTCCAGGATGAACGTGTTCAACCATTCATCTTCGGCGTTGATTCGGACTCCATACCAATTGAGAAGGGATTTGGAAGCACCATACACGGCGCTAGGGACAGGTGGTTGTCGTCTGTTTCGCGTCAGCAGTGTCCCGCCAGTCCAGTCCAGTCAAGATATCAACCAGATCCAGATAGAAAAGGGAAAGGAAAGAGAACATACCCAACTGCCCCACCCCCAGAGCCCATAATCGCAAACACAGGCTTCTCAGCCCTCGTCGACTGCTCTAATAACTCCCTCCCAGCCTGATAAAGCGACACTACAGCCAGAGCATTCACATCGACATGTTCGAGGATCTCAGCGCGCGTAACGTCCTTAACGAGGGGGTAGGACTTTGCGATTCCGGCGTTGGCGAACACGATGTCGAGAGTGTTGATTCCGTGGGTATTGCGTAGCTCGGCGATGGCGTCGAATGCGTCGGATTCGATGCTTGCGTCGTATTTGAGGATGATAAGGCGGCTGGTTGCGTGTTTGGGGAGGGTGCGAAGGGAGGTTGAGCTGGGGGATGACGGGTCGCGGATGAGGGCGATTACAGTCTGGGTTTGGATTTGTTAATTATGTGGGTTGGGTAGATTTGTATGACTAGGGACTTTGTGGCTAAGGGGAAGTTTCATGCGTAAAGGAGAGAGATGCACCTGGCCTGGGAGGTTTAGGTAGCGTTTGGCCAGCCCGAGACCTAATCCTCGGTTTGCGCCAGTGATAAGAACGTTGGAGGGCATTTTAAGTTGGTATTTCCGTTGTGGGGATTGCAATGACAATTGAAAGACGAATATATAAATCGAGACTGATCCGAACTTGTTTTGATGGCTTCAACGATCTCCCTGGAATTGAGTCCAAAGTATATACATCCAGACGGACGAAAAACACGCCGCGATTAGAAATCCAAAACAATTGTTGTTTCCCTGTGATTATAAATCTGGCCATGATAACGAACGCGCGATGTGAGCTATACATGATGAGGCTGCGCTAAAGATGACAGGATGACGCTAGTCACGATTGCTTCATTTGAGCTTAATAATTGTAAGATGGGGGCTTGATTATGGAACTTGCTCGAAAGATCGTGTGAAAATAATTACATCTTTCCAAGACGCCTTGTCTATATCGAATTATTATTCGTCTCTATAGGATTGATATCTAATAATACACACTAATCGCAAAGGAATTTGAAATGCTAAGTTGGGTTAGAGATTACTGCCTCTCCGGCCACGCCTCGAACAGGCCCTCGGACACCGACACGTCGCTGAACTGTACCTGGCCGACACCGTTGTGAAGGAACTTGATGCCAGTGGATTTGGCATACCACGACCTGTGATTAAATCAGTACTCTGTTTCTTTTCTCATTACAATAGAAAGCAGGAAACTTACCGAGCCCAAGTACTCAAGGCGAAGCGGCCATTGGCAAAGACCTCCAGAACCCCGTTATCCACGACGATGGTCAACTCCAACGACTCGATCTTCTCAGCACCATCCTCGACAACGTCGAAGAGACGGAGACGACCCGCCTCGTTGTAGGTGGTGATTCCCGAGGTAGACTGCGCCGCGGCGCTGGTGTTGCTGCGGTCGATGATGATCGATTCATTAGAGAACTGGTAGTAGATGTTCGTGGACTCGAATTCCGACGACAGGATCTGGAAACCACTCTTCAGGCCCGACTTGCGCGCAGACTGCGGGAAAGTGAGGTTGGCGCGCAGCACGAAGAACTTGTTCTCCGGGGACTTGGCGAAGGGGACGGGGGTGGACTGGTTGGAAAGCTTGCGGTCCGACTCGTCGGTAGAGGAGCCGCGGGTGAGAGCGTTGTAGGTCTCGCGAGCGATGTCGATACCGAGCGTCTTCAGCTCGAGGGTTCCGGACTTCGACTTGCCCTGAACGCGCCACGACACGCCAGTCTCGCGCGCGAGTTCGTTATCCACGACGTTGTGGATGCTGAGAGTGTGCAGCTCGCGAGGAAGAAGCAGGGTTCCGGTCCAGTTCTGTTGTCTAGTGGGGAATAGCTTTGCCTGGCCGTACTCGTCGCCCGTGAGCCAGGGGTAGGTGACGAAGCGAGCAGGGGCGCCGCTCTTCTTCGAGGCCTGGGAGTCGGCTGTCAGGACCTTACCTGCCGCGGCGTAGGCGGAGGCACCCCAGTCCAGAACACCGGCCATGGTGGGGGTGAATTTGATGGATCCGTTGTTGGAGATCTTTCCGGCGGTCCAGAGCAGGTCGTGGATGGAGCTGAGCTCGCGCTTGATCGGGGCATTGGATCCCTCGGTTCCGAGGGTGTTGAAGACCTCGCCTTCAGGGTCGTAGCCCTCGTCGTTCAGACCGAAGATGTTGCCGGTTTCGAAGTTGAAGCCCCAGCCGCCGGCCCAGGTGCCGTCGCCCCAGGTGGTGTTGACGCCCTCGCGCCACCATTCACCCAGGTACTCCCAGTACTGGAAGTCCGGGTCGGTCTGGCGGTACAGGAACTGGCTGGGACCGACGTCGTGCACGCCGCCGGAGACCACGGTGTACCAGGTTCCCACGGAGCTATCGGAGAGGGTATCCAGCTGGGGGTTCTGGAAGACATACGGGTCGCGGAAAGCGGTCACGTTGACACCGAAGGGGGCCTCGGGGATGACGGGGCCCTGGTTCACCTTGGTGAAGTTGCGGCCGCCGTCATAGGAGACAGCCAGCGACTGGGACTCGGCTCCACGGGTGTAGGGAATGGACCAGTGGATGGGCAGGAATGAGACCGAGGTATAGATTAAGGTAGGGGTTCCGTTGATGCCACGAGGGATGACAGAGCCGTCAAAGACAGCGAGAGGGTCATTGATACCACCGGGCACAATGGAAGGTCCACCACCGTTGAGGTCGCGATAGGTCACCATGTCATCCGTCGTGGCACCGGTGATGCCCGAGTCATTGTGCAGCCAGCCCACATGGAACAAGCCCGTCTTGGGATCGGTGTACTTCATGCAAGGATCACCGGTCTTGCCCGAGACCGGCAACACATGGGCGCGAGGGCGCCACGTCTCGAAGAGAGAGCCGTTGGCCAGAGTTGAGAGGTTCGGCGGCGCCGCATTGTAGTCAATGGCGTCGACGGCCTGGCCGGCGAGAAGGAGAAGCGCGGCTGATGTGGGCTTCATGGTGGTGGTGCTTGGTGGGTTAGGGGTCGCATTCATCTTGCGAACAAGCGCGCAGGGAGCAGGTTCAAGTACTTTTCCACATTCCAGAGTTTGTCGAATTGGGTAATCGATTCGAGGATCATTAAGGTATGTTGGAGGCGACGCTAATTGGCAAATGTCGGGGAAATGGCGGGTTTGGAGTCGACCCATGGACGGCGACATTGGTAGGGTTGGGGGATTCTCCGAGGATCCACCAGGAATCTCCCGACATTCCTCTCTAGCTTCTGGCCAAACGCAGTCGAATTCTTCACCAACAGGGAACTGTTAACGGCCCTGATTATGATCTGCATTCGAGGATCTCCACCTGTTGTTCGGGCGAGAGAAAAGTTGAGCTGTATGCCTAAAGCGGAAGGCAAGCAGCCTCAAAATGTCTGAGGAGGCTTCTAATTCTCCGACTAATCGCCCGACTTCCATTGTCGGAAACTCAAGTGCCTTGTTTTGTCTGTTTTTAGAGATATTAAAATTCTTCGTAGACACTGGAGACCCATGAGATCCAGTTTCAATACCACCTCTGCCCATTCAATCCATAATTCTCCGAGTCTCCGAATTCACGCCATGTTGCGGAGAACTACTCCGTACTGGTACTATGTGCAAAATCTGACCTTCGATTCCTTCGAGATTGAGTTCCTGGTCCCAGCAGTTTAAAAGAGATTAACTTAGATTAGGCCGCGTGTTTGTCCAAGATCCTGGAACGGGGTATGATATAACTATATTGTCCTGCTCAATTTCCCATCGGCTCGTATACGTACCCTGATCAAAACGCCATCACCATCACCACAAGACCACAGCCCTATGCATAACCTAAATGATTCATTTTCGTCACGTTGTAGCCCCTTTAATTTCATTGGAGGGTTCATAAGCTAAACTCCAGCCGGTTTCCTGCATAGTCCCTCGCAAAGAATCGCGTCGGATATTCCACACCCATTTCGCCTGCATTCATTAGAATCAGACCTTAGAAATCGAAAGAACAAGGAAGTCTGACCTGATATATCCCCTCCCGGCTTATCCGCTGCCATCGGGGCTGCTTTTCCACCACGTACATGGTGTTCGTAGATACGCTGCTTCAGCGCATGTAGCTCCTCGAGAGATCCGACTCGGAAGCACGGATGCCGCGACGAGTCGGGCTCGTTATCTCCGAACGCGATGTGGATTTGTTGCCCTCCATCGGCAATGTTGAACCTGTTTTCTAATTAGTACTACTCCAATTTAAAGGCACAAAATTGTTCGTGAAAGAGAATTACCAGGCCGTAGTTTCTCTCTGCAGCGGAGGCACTGGCACCGCCGTTAATCCCAACGTGCCGGTATAGAAAAGATTGGCTTCTTCCAAGGTGCCGGGCGGCACGAGGAGATTGACGTGAGCGAGACCTGCGATCATCTTTTTTTTCTCTTCCTTCTCTTTCTTCTGGGGAATCTGGTTGAGTGGTGATTTTGAAGCTGAATTAGACGTGAATGGACAAGCTTTGCCGAGCGGGGATCGTCTTCGTTTTATCGATCTTCGGCATCTGAAGCTACGGAATTCTGTTCCCGGAGAAGCCGTTCATCCCACGTTTTGAGATCTGGGAAGGCTTATGAGGTCCGTTGGATTTGTAATCTTTGTCGGGGAGGCCTGTACGTCTCACAGGATATTAGGGTATTTTGAAGTGCAATTTGGATGGATGTTATGTTATGGCTGTGGCTGGTGTGCGTCATTTGCCGATGGTATGGTGTGCGGTCGTATGGGGCTATGCGGTTTAGTCTTCGTTTGAACCTCATTTTTATTTTATCTTGGGTTTTTTTAAGCAATACAACATAGCATACTATAATCAAGACCTACTGCTCAAGCAGAGGTACAGTTCTGACGCAAAAGTTTCCGTACATCAACACACGGGCGCGAAAATATACAATGTTGCAATGTTCATGAAACCGAAACCACCCCACTAGTTTGATTTCAAAAATTATGAATATTGACTATAATAGAACAGAGCATCCCGCGTTCAATAAAGCCAATAAAAAAGTAATATACCAGCGGTGTGCAGCGTTTACTACTTCCAAACGGGTCCGAATCGATTTGATCAAGCCATCAAAATAATCCTGCGATATTCGACTGCGCGCTTGCTCAACGGGACTGAGATCGGGCGAATAAGGCGGCCAGTTAAGCAATTCAATTTCAAACAACATGAGCCCTGTGGATTGGCGTATTATCCTGCATAACTACCAAATCAGGCCCCTAAGAACTACCTAGGTAGAGCCTCCCCCACCCATTAGGGATAACTTCGACAACGGACAAGATAGCGATTATGCTCCCTTGGGGACAAAGAGTGATTAAACTGTAGTTATAGTGGTGCGGAGGAAGGGCTGAAGCACCCACTGCTTTAAGAGTTATCTCGGAATATTCATTCTATCTTAGTACACTCGACTACCAATTTGTAATCTTCCACCAGGTCTTGTAATGACTAGATAATCTCTACTGTTGATGAGAGCTGCTTGGCTGACTAGATGGAGGGACAGCTACAAAAGAACGAGAGATATTCTAAATGTATAGTGGGTTTTCAAATTTATAGTTTTATCTTTTGCTCGAATCGTGTGCTTCACTACCTCTGTGAGGTCGATTTTTGTAAAACAGAAAAATAGCTTGGATTATCTCATCTCAACATTCCGTGTGTTTGAAGCGTGGTCCAGGAAAGATATTTATGTTGTGCCTCACATGCTATTTCGTCATTCCTTCATCAACAACCCAGACCCGACCGCCAGACACCCTCTCTATCTCCCCGTCCCTCCCTTTTCATCAACCCGGAACTCGTCTAGTGGCTCCTGTTCGTCCTGGGTTTAAATTAGATCTTCTTACTCCATCTCTCCATCTCTGCAAGGCCCGCCCGCATCCAACTACCACGATGGAAGTCGCCGTAAGTTCCACCATCGACTTCCCAGTATCTATCTGACATGAGTACTGATAGCCCGAAAACGTCCCGGAAGGTTGGACGAACGACCCTGAGCGTCTCAACCGCACTTTCCGCCCTAATTCCAGAGAGCTTTATCTAGCGCGATGCCACGGACTGGAAGGGGTCAGACCTGTTTTGGTGAACACGCCTAGTTCCGGAGAAATGGGCTTTATTATCACGTCCGGCGGCCATTATTATATTGGGGATAAGATGGGTGACTACATATACGAGATAAAAAAGCCAAACACCCTACCAGCCATTGTGCGTGTCATGGCCGAGGAAGGAGAAAAAGCGTTGAAATGTAGGAAGTTGAAGTTTGTGGAGTGGGTTCGGATGGACTCCCCCGAGCCCCCTGTGGAATCTGAAGGGCCAAGGCTGTTTGTTCCTTATTCTGAGCAACTTCACGGTCGGAGTGGCTGCTGCAGAGTAAAGGATTGCGTTGCTCGTGATTCATAGAATTCAAGCCCTCATAACTTCATGAACCGATGGCGTATTATTATTGATATGAGGTGTGACCCAACCCTGTTCGATGGGACAGTACCAGAGAAGAAAAGATAGAGTATAGAGCGAAGTATAGTCTACTACCAAGACCTAAGCAGTTGTAAGCAGTAACCAGTGGTCTGATCCATCATGCCCTGTTCTAGAAAGCAAAATTGAAACCAAGAATCTCAATCTTTGCCAAGTGCTTCAAGAAGTGAATAATAAAGGAGGAGTGAATGATATGAAGCCTGTCGTTTGTGTTGTTTCAAGCATTCACCTATCATCAAGTGCCAGATACCTCCCTATCTCTGCATCTCCCTGTTTCTGCATCTCCCCGTTTCTGCATCTCTACACTCCTTCACCTCTCTCCTATAGCTGTATAGTCCCCATTGAACCTTTTTATGGCATATTTAGTCTCTCCCGTTCTGGAAGCTGTCCGCTCAACAAGGCCTGCTCGCCAGCTACAACTGGCGAGACTTGAGGTCGATGAAAACCGAACATTCATACGGACTGCGGCCAGCGACCGAGATCAGGTCTTGCGAGACAAGAAGCTCATATCCAGAGAGCCATCCACAATCCATTGAAAGTCCACGTAAGTTCTACTATCGAAAGCGCAGTACATCGGAGAAACACTGACTCGGATTCAGAAATGACCATCGCTACCCCGAGAACATCCCAGAAGGATGGACCAATGATCACTTGGGACCCGATCTCATGGTCCTACAGGACCTAGTTGATCATCTGCAGGTACATGGAGCACTTGTTGAGAATGCGGCCGAAAGGAAATCCGTTCATCAGGAAATCCTACGTCTCAGGTAAAGTGGTAGTTCTTCAACAGCGAGCATGCCCAATCTTTCTCGGATCACTAACCTTGGTACAGATATTCAGAATGTTGGTCTGGCTTGTTTTTTGGCCCCAGTTCCCCGAGAGGTCCGAGTCCGGACAAGGGAAAGGCATCAATAAACGCAAAGAACCAGAAAGAAAAGCAGCAGAGGACTTAATCAGGTGCAGGAACGCTTAGGCGTCCAGAGTCCCTAATCGGACAAGAAGTTAGGACTCGACATACGGCCGTTCTAGTGGAACTGTATATGCAAGTAGTTCCTTACCAAGGGAAAACTTGCGACTCTCAAATACTGATATCCATCAGACAAGACAGAAATGGCGAAGATTGTTGAGCAGGCTGAAAATTGCGGGGAGATTCGACATCCCATACGAGCAGCAGAGAGAAATCGTGCGGAACCAAGCAGGACCACAAAATCTAGACGACAAAGCTGGTAACTTCGGTGTCATATATTTGGCACAAGTCGTCAATCCCAAGTGGCCAGTCTCTATCGTCTCAAAATTGCGACTCAAGGAAATACCTGCTGGGGTCCAATATTGAACCTTACCTGACCTCCTAGGGCACTTTTTAAGTCGCATAAGCCCGGCTCCAATCGAAGCAAGAAAAAGAAACTTCTATCGTCCAAGCACCGCTCTATTCGGAAATTGGTGTCACATAATGACTACCCCATAACAAAAGAGTATCTATCACTGAGCTTGGAACAGGGGGGAAATTATCACTCCCCCCTTGACATCTATCTTCGGAAGGTGGTGTGCTAAGCTATCTGGTAAAGCAGCACTTTAAGCCCAAAATATATCAATGCACTTGGGATGACCAAGGGAATTTCTATCTCAACGCCTCCCGCGGAGGCGTCTCTACGACAGCTGGCATAGGATTCTGGATGGCCGCGCTTGACAGAGCACGTTATGGGATTGTCAGATTTCCACTCTTACGTCTCGGTAATGGTTCCAAGCCTGGAGACCGGCTATCCGAAGACGGCCAGCTCGGGAGAAATGGGCTATATCTTCAAGTCCTGCGGCTGTTACTACATCGGAGAGATGATGGGCAACTTCATATATGAGGTCAGAAAGCCAAAGACCCTACCAGCAATTCTGCGACTGACGAAGGAGAAAAAGCGTTGAAATACCGGAAGGTAACACCATCAATATAGTTGCAAGACCACAACCCTGTGCATAACCCAAATACCATTTGCTCGCTGTACGAAAACCTACCCAATTCGCAGAATATTAATGGGCAAAGATGCACAAGAAGTTTTCGATCTTCATAATCTTACTTTAAGTTCTGAGTACATGCCCGGGTATCTGTGCCTATCTAAATTATTCTATGGGATCCCTGCGTCAACTGCGAGATTCTTATAGAACCCATCTCCACCATGCCAGTGGTATACACGAACCATTCAGCTAGGACAAAAATTGCGAAATAGACAACGCTACAAGTCTGTGGCAACCGGAGATCTTGACTTACAGCTCATCAGAGCTTCTCGATTAATCCGGAAATTGTGTTTGAAAATCTTCCATAAGCCACAGGCCCAGAATATCCTGCCTGATTCGTTATCCCACGTTCCTGCCAAAAGGTCGCCGTTGATGCAACTGACCTTCGTTAAGGTTCGACAATTAAGACCCGTCCTACGCCAATGGCCCCATGAGCCCAGAGCATAACGGGTTACTGCCTAAGTGCAATTGGCTAACCCACCACCAAGTTTCCATGGTTGCCATGGTCATCGCTCAAAAGCCACACGTCAGGTATCGTCAACGCAGCGTTTGGGGGTCGAACAACTTCACACAAAACGGACACTCAAAATAAATCAACTACCTAGTACTACATCGGAGATAAGATGGGCGACTTTATCGGTGAGATCAGAAAGCCAAAGACCCTACCAGCCATTGTGAGTGTTATTGCTAAGGAGGAAAAACGTTGAAATGTCGGAAGTTGAAGTTTGTGGAGTGGGTTCGGATGAAGCCTCCTGAGCCCGATCGAAGCGGATGACATGGAATTCATCGCCCGAGCAAGCTCAACAACGCGCCATGCGACGAGGATACCGGTTAGATGCAGTCATGGCTGTTAAACGGCTTGTCACCCGGGATATGGAATTCAACCTCCGCTTTTACTTCGGATACGTTTGACCTTGGCGCATTCTGGACCGGCCCCCGGATAGTACCTGCGGGGATTCCAAAATTTCCTTAAGAAAGCAGAAGGGAGGAGCGCAAGGGGGCAGGGAGACTGCAGGAAGTCGGATGGGGTGATCCAGTCTCGATAAGGACAAGAAAGTCGGTCACGCAAGGTCGAAAGGATTGACGTTTTCGGTTTTCAGGGTAAGGGCCTGCTGATTAGGAGAAACCACAGGAGGATAAAAAAGCGCAAATTGAAGCTTAGGGCTGAAGGAAGACATCTGGGGGGCTCAACGCGCTCAAGGTTAAGGAAAAAGACATGAAATGGCCGCGCCACGGCGCTCAGCGAGCCTGAATTGGGGTAGCAAACAGATGTTACCGGAGAAAACAGTTTAATATCAGAAAAAGCTTTACAACTTTGGGAGAAAGCTCTATGGCTAATTTATGTATTCGGTCTATAGTGATGAAGTCACAGCCAAGAAAGGTCCGCGGACATGATATGTTCCAGAAAGTCACAAGCGATGCAGATATTGTGTTTTCTTTTGGGGAGAATTCGTCATGGACACCTAATATCATGTTAGCAAGTTTTATGATGATAGAGACCCACTGGCTGGGTCGAGGCCGCGAGATATTCAGGGCGTGCAGGGCGCCGATGTCCTCATGCTCGGTTAGGCTCGGAACAGCCCTTTTGCAGTGATGGGCAAATGTCAGGCATGTGGTCTAACCATGCTTTCCGATTACACTATTTTTTGAAATTTTCTCGCTAGTCTCAGTGAGCTCCTGGATGCTTCGGGCCCCGATACCGGAATTGAAGGATTTCTACCGGCCACCATCCAACACAAGCAATACAGCTTGCTCCTAATATCGGACGCCGTATGTTACAGCTGCGGCTAGTTGCGGACCATATGCTAGCATACCATCATACAATAACTTGCAGATATACTCTCTCGGCTCCTGGACAACTAGTTCTACCACATAGAAAAAATGGTATCAAAATCGATATTCTGTCGAGGCTTGAATGCCTGGGAATGCATTGCCACCCGTCCCAGAGTGACAATTGATATCGACGGTCAGGATGCTGGCGATGCTAAGACCTACACGACATTTGATTCGATAGAAGGCAATATAACTATTGATGTCGACCATGAAACTCCATTTCACGACATCGAAATTACGTTCGAAGGTAAGCTATACCTACAAAGCTTCAAGACAATACTGGCAAGGGGCTAAGAGCAAAACAAAAGGTCGATCTAGGGTTTCCATTGAGAGAACCGACCCCGTTGTTGGCCAAAGAATCGCTCGCCATACTTTCCTACGACTTCGACAACCTATAGACCCAGATGTATACCCATCATGCAAAGTCCTGAAGCCCAGCATATCCTACCGTATTCCTTTCCTATTTATCCTCCCCGACCGACTTCTCCCACAATCATGCCGACACAAAGTTAGCGACAATCACGTCCACCAAACACATACTCAACTTCCTGCAACCTTCGGTGATTCGACTGCCTGTGGATCAGGCCTATGCGACATAGCACCGGATACATGTCAAATATCCTACGCGATACGGGCCCGAGTATTGCGAGATCCCCCGGTAAAGGACTCCCATAACAAACCGCTCGTGGACACATCGAGAGAAGTGCGCGTTGTTCCGGGCATCGACCAGGGTCTCATTCGGAAGGCTGGTGAAAATGGCCTCTGTCACAGCGTACAAGGAGCAAAGCGCGTCAACAATGGATTGCTCAAGGGAAACCAAGGACACTTGACGGCGACTGTATGTCAGCCAGACCCTATCCTTTTGGATTACACCAACACCAGTGCACATACCATCCATTCAGCGACCATTGTACATTTACGATTCGATCCCGAGAACGGCGAGCAGCCTCCAAAGCTGAGCTCCTTGCGGAGTAAACTTGGTGTTCGGACTTTCTACGGCTCTACGCCATGGACCAGTCACCCGTTGAATGTGAACGCAGCAGAGCTCAGGGGGAAGAATCAGAATTTCATTCTGGAACACATTCCTCTTTCCTCATATTCGATTGCCTCTATGGAATGGACAAAGCACGTGGTATCGAACGGCACAACTTATCCTCACCCTCCGACCGGACCATCAGAGTTTGCAGAGCCTCAGTTACAAATTCCAGGGAGCTATAACGGGAAGGTTTATTACACGACGTCGATCACTGTACCGATATACCTGCCCAAAAGTAGACAATTCGTCTCAAGTTTTTACTCCTGCTTCATCTCTCGCATCTACACTCTCGACCTTTGTGTTTCATACCATACGCCGAAGACAAGACTCCTGAAACATTCGCTCAATATCAAGGTACCGCTTACGCTCAAAGTTGCTGTGCCGGCTTTGTTGGATTCCTCGACAGATGTTCTATGTGGTAAAGAGACAATACAACCTTGCTTACAGCAAGGGTATGGGGACTGGGAGTACGACAAACCCGGATATTGGAATGAAGGGTGTCCAATTTACACATAGATGGTCTGCATTTCAACTATAGACATGTTTTATTTTCAGCATCGGCGCATGGGGGGTTAGCTATTACATTAATCAACTTCTTATTCAATTGACCTACATGAATACAACCTCACGTTTAAAACATACCTAGCTATGCAAAGAGCCTAAATGATCAGCATAGAGGGTTTGCATGTATGTTTCAGTATCATCCAATCTTCATAAACCTTCAGTGGCAACCGATAGAAAATCAGTGTATTCTCAGTGCAGTTCAAAAATGCCAACATCCATGCTCTCCAGTACCTGAACGTATCGTAAGTTACCACCACCTAACAAGATTTTTTCCTTCCCCTAGGAGCTATCGATCTAGACAGCTCCGAGCACACCCAACAACAAGCCTTCCGCCGCAGATAACCGAGACCCACATTAATATTCGAGAAGATCCCTACACCTTACTCCGTATGTCTGTCATTGTATAATGGAATCAAATTGAGTGGTTCGGAGCAGGCCCTGACTCCACTATAAAACGGGAAGTGTCCAGTGAACCATAGAAGGGACGCCTTGCGGCGATTTTCTGGCTCCGATACCGGGCCCGAACTCTATGGAAGGGGCAAGGGGCAACCTTCTATGAAGAATTTTACTGTCTCAAATTTTGAATCGCCACTAATGTCAGTCCCATTGTACTCCGTTTATGCTATGTATTAATTTTATTCTACGCTGGTTTGGTTCCGTTAGGCGTTATTTGCACATGACCAGCTGCCGCCTTTCGAGTCGTCGTGGATTGATTTCCCCGATACGTAGAGGCCTAGGCCACACTGAAGAATAGGATTAGTGATTTGTCGCAGAGGTGTAGAGTGGAGGGGTAGTACGTACGATCGCGCAGGCGATTGCCAAAATGGCCAGGTTCAGAATCGTCAGGCATGTCTTTTTGAACGAAGAGAACCATACTCCCCGGTTCATTGCTAGCCAGAAGATTGCAGGCAAGCCATCTTTGGAGGTTGTTAGTGTCTTATTTTCTTTTCGAATAAAGGGTAGACTAGGATACTTACAGCTAAACCAACTTCCGAAAAGGGCACTCTGTGAATTGAATTAGCGCTGAATGTGGGGTTGTTAATGACGCAGGTACTCACAATGAGACTTAGGAGGTCGTTGAACACTGGAATCGATTCCATGATCACCCATGCGACCGTCCATGTGACGAACGCAATGGCAACCCATGCACCAATCGAGACAAGACTCTTCTCATGCATATAAGACGTGCCCCGGAAGATACGCACGTAGGTGTATTTGCAGGCAACATGACCCAGAACCACTCCGGAGAAAACCACCTAGTTTATAAAATTAGCTTTGACAGGGAGAAGACACGGATAGATGAACATACAGTTGGAATAGCAAGTCCGTATCCGACCTTTTTCATAACAGGGCCCGCGGAGCCCAAGGCAGGAGACAAAACATCCGGCCCTGCATAGCAGTATATCACGATCGAGGTGATCACATATAAAGTGGTTTGGGAGATTTGCATCATAGCGAGAGATTTGGGGAACTCGCGAGCGTCTTCCATTTCCGACATGAAGCCGAAAAATGCCACATGAGCAGCTGCATCATTAGTACTGGGTTATTGGTTGGTAATCAGCATGGGGTCATACCGAATGCAAAGACGATATTCGTAGTCGACAGGAATGCCTTGACGAAGGTTGTATCGGTAGTAATGTCGACGGCCACGTGTGCTGGGGCTTGGACGCCGATTGCAATCATCGCCACGATGATCGCTGTGAGAATACTAGCAAAGGCTGTAAGAGGTTAATATATAGCTTGTCATGATAGGGTTAGTTTTACTCACATGCGATCGAGATCAAGTAGACCTTATCCATCGTTCGCGGCAGGGCTCCGATAAAACTAATTACCAGTCCGACTATGCCAAAGGCAATAGTACAAGCCCCGTGGTCGGTTAATTCGTTCATCACGACGGTGAACGTTAACAAATGGCTAGCCATGATGAAGGTCAAGAATAGTAGCTGCCCGAGGCCCAGGAATTCGCGTCCAAATCGACCCATAAGCAGCTCACCCGCATCACCCATGCTATGAACATGTGGGTATCGGAGTTTAAATTGATTTAGGATGTATCCGGTATACCATGTTATACCTGATAGACCCAAGATGAGAAGTAAAGCCCTGGGTAAAATGTCAGTGCATTCCCGGATGGGCCGGATGGTGCAAGCTTACGGGACAATTCCAAGCGTTGCAACGGCTGAAGGGAGTGATAGAATCCCCAGAGAGATGTTTTCAGCAATCATTACTATTTCGAACCATGTTTAGCTTCCAGAGCGAACGTTGTGCCGTCGAGACAACTCACGCATTCCACATTGCCTGTTACAGTTAACAACCCATCATCAAATGTCATCAAGGGATTGACACCTACCACCACTTCATAATATGATACTTGACCGACGCGCCATCTTCATTTCCAAACGGGTCCTCCTCGACTAGGGCTTCCTTCTTGGGGTCGTAATCTTCTTCATCGCTGGGCTTTTTATCCCGCGAGCTCGAATCGCTGTGGATAAACTCCTGCTGGTTTGATAGAGTCATTTTATCCAGACAAGACAATGTGCATGTGCATATGTCAGTTTTGCCTGGCCAGAAGCCAGTAAGTATTATTTATCAAAATACCAGAGAAACGGGCTCCGGCCTCGGACAGAAAAGTGGGACTGCTGTGGCCGTGAATACCCACTGCTACCAAAATTTTTGTAGCTGACCAATAGTGGAGAATTAAGGTCCATCGTGGCCCGGTAATTTAGGTAGAAACGTCCATGGTCTGATGTCAGTACTGTAACATCATGCATCGGCGTCCCCGGAATTGTTCACTGCAGTTGCTCTGATCGGAGATATGGATCTCGTACTCGTATATACATACATCCGCCTAGTTCACCGATCTATAGTCCATTGTGGTTTAATATACAATATTATAGCCATCTCGAGCTCCATCGGGTATAGGGTTGTAAATGCTTGCTCGAGTTATATTATTCTTCCTCTGAAATATATTTCAGCATACACACCAGACTTTTGTTAAACCAGGTTGATATGCGCACTCAATATTATACATCGCTTTCGTACTCAACTTCGTTGATGTCTAACTTGGCTCGCTTAATCTGCAGAAAGACAATATCTTCTCGAATCTGGCTAGATCGAAAGGAGCATAGTGAGTTCGTAATACGTGCGCCGATTCCCAGCCAGAGTCTAAGACCTGCGAGCCAAAGCAATGCAGCTAAATTGAAGGCTCTCACCTCCTTCATCCATGTTCAACTTGATGATTCTCCTGATACCCATGTCAAGCGCTCGTGGACTGAGAACGTCCTCGTCATCAGCCAGACTTCCTCTCTCCAGAGGACCCATCCTCAACCCTTCAAGCTCCCACAGCTTCCCACCGCTCTTGACAAAGCTCACAAAATGGCCACCATCACGCTCATCCATCGGATCGGCATAGCTGTCGCCGGCCTGCTCGACCGACTTGTGAGCCCGCTCGAATGGTTCGCTGTTGTATAGCATTTTGGCGCGTTTGGTCATATCCAGCGATATGGCGAGGTTTCGTATCGTCGCGAGATCGGAATCAGCCTGGATGAAGTCGACAGCCGGACCGTTGATCACGCTATGGAGCAGACCGATCGAGCCGCAGGCGTGGCCGATAGTCTGCTTGAACCAGATGACTGGCTCGTCAGGGCCAGACCCAGTGTATGGTTCTTTGTTGGCGTCTTCGGCGGTGCGACTTCGATCCCAAGCTGGTGTTAGAGGAATGATGACTAGCAGAGCAAGAGCAGGCCGAGGGATATATGCGAGTTGTTCGGGTTCATCCAATGAATAGACGTCGTAGAATTGGAGCTCGGATGATAAACCCAACTTCGCTGCCAGTTTGTTCATTACATCGGGGTTGTTCTCTGCCGTTTACGATGAGTTTCTACTTATAAACAAGTGGTCCATGAGGGCTTAGGTCGCCTACCAAGCATTGACCATGTCTTCTTTTCCATTTTCGGGAATCAATAATTAAACAACTTGGAGAAGTCAGACGTCTTGGCAGGATGAAGATGATGTAGTGATTCCAGGACCTTAATGGAGACGCGGGATAAATAGTTCAGACCACAGTATGCTCTTCGTTTGAAAAAGGCCTGATTTTCATTGGCTATGAGGACAAGCTTGCTATATTATGTAGTATGATGCAACAGCTTTTCAAAGTCCTTTAAGAGTGATAACAGTGAAGCGGGGCCTCAGAAAGGGGAGCAGGAGTGCATTCCAGCGGAGCTATGATGCTCAGCCGCAAACCCCGCAATCCTGTAGGGAGGCTCTCCAGGGGTGTGTAATATTGGGTATTAAGGATTGGGTATCGGGATATCAGACAATTTCTGGAGACACTACGCTAATGCCGATGTGTAACCCTGCTACCAGTTCAAATGTAAATCTTATTGTGTCGCCAAGTACTACCTCTGGGCCTACATATTCCAAATTCTCCGATTCTACTATACAGCCATCCGGAACAGTGCAAGGTTTATATATAAATGATTATTTCCTACATAATTATTTGGACTGCCATAGATATGCGGTATTCCGGTGATGCGTAAATAGTAAATTACATTTAACTTTGAATGAAATTATGAATGGCTTTTCCGCACTGCAATTCGGGAGATTCGGGAGATACGCGTTACAGGTGGTAGGTCCGGGCTACTGTTCTAGCCTGATGCTCAGTGTATGCATTTGAAGGCGCACATACATTCATTTTAGCAATCGGTCAGCACAAGCATGTGATGACCGGTGCGTGAGTTTCGCCCGGGTGAGTCACAATAGGCTGCAGTAGGAACCGCCACCACCATGGCATAATCCCTGCCGGTAAGATACCCATTGTTGGTCTGTTGCCTTGCCACGCAGTCCAACAATCATAGGTGGTTCCAGACGAAAGAGTTTCACGCTGATCTGACAGAATGCGGAATTCTATCAGGCTCCAAGTCCAATCCCTCACTATTCCATGGTACATGCATGATTCACAGCCTTGTACAACCGAGCGTGACCAATCCGGTCTCCTGAGTCACAGATAGCAAAAATCCCCTCTTTGCCTAGACAAGCTAGTACGTAGCAATAATGGTCATAGCTTCCCAAGTACGGAGCATGTCAGTATTTATTTAAATAACGACTATCATCTCATATGACAGTCAGTCTCGCCTTTGTTTGTTCCTCCTCATCTACAACCACTATCCCAACCGATCAATATCGAAACAATCAAACTCAAAGCAGACAAACCATCTCTTGGTGAGCATTTCCACAGACATATGTGTCAAGAGTTTCCAATTAATAATATTTCTTAGACCATATGACCGCAAACGTCAAAGAGGCCGAGGCCGAGGCCGGCTCCATCGGTGAAACATATGAGCTCTACCAATCAGCTCCAGATGAGAAAGGTCGCTCTTCATGGACCCATCAAATGCCCAAAGATTTGGTTGCGCCGGCAGAAAACTCGCAGTCAAGCAAGTATGCGTTGATTGTACGAAAGGTAAAATGTTACGATGGAAAGAGAAGCCTCAAAGTCCATTCGATTATCATCCAAAGTGAACCTCTCAAGAGCTTCCTCGCCAGCGTCATGAAAGACTACCCGGGGCTTACATTGACACTCAATCGCCTCGAAATGGAAGCCCCATTTAAACCTTTTGTTCATCGATGGAGGCAATTGTGCGAAGCCATTGAAAATGAAGCAGACGCAATGACCTTGAAACATGCCATGCTGTTACATGAAGTCCTGCACGAGGAGCTGAAGGACACAATATCTGAAAAGAACGACCTCATTCAAAACAAAGTGATGACACTGGACCTTCTATGGGCCCTCTTTGAGCCTGGATCTATCATACTGAGTGTTATCGATGGTCGTGAGTGTGCCTTCCAATTCGAATCAGGCAGCCTCAATAGATGTGGCAATTTCGTGATCAGTGCAAAGTATATCGATTGGGATGGTGCGGAATTTGGGTACTCAAACAAGCGCCTGACAATTCCAGCCTATGAAGGAACATTGCCTATTGTGGAATTATGCGTATACCCTCTGATCTTTCACGGTGATGCAGCACGCATTCGAAAGGATCTTGCCGACCGTGGTAAGCTCTGGCAGGAATATAAAGGCTATCACTACAAACAGTATGATGGCCCTGCGAGTGGTTTCGATCCCTTGACTGGGCGTGAGATGAGACTCAACATTCGGAGTCGCATCGTGATCGATACAAAAGCCTACAATATCTTCCAACCAGATGGTCAAATATCGGTCTCCGAGAATGTAAAGGGCGCTCTTTCCGAGGAACAACAGCTTATCGCAACTCCAATCCTTAGAGGATACGCTCTCAAACAAAAGGCTTGGCTGGAATTCTTTGTCGATAGCGTTACGGATATTGCTTGGAACACAAAGGCTTTTGACTCTTTGGTTCTCCCTCATGCTCAGCAGGGGTTGAAGAGACTCATTCTTGGAATTGCTCAAGCTCAGTCCAACAAGAGTGACACGTTTGATGACGTTATTCAAGGCAAGGGGCGCGGAGTCATCATGCTTCTCAAAGGTCCTCCTGGAGTGGGGAAAACACTCACGGCCGAGAGCGTCGCAGAAGCTATGAGGGTTCCGCTCTACATCCTAAGCGCAGGCGACCTGGGTACAGATTCTGCGACTGTTGAGAGCAAAATGAGAGATGTTATGAGCATGATCCCTCGATGGGGGGCCATCATTCTACTGGATGAAGCTGATGTCTTCATGGAAGCTCGCGATACAATTGACTTGAAAAGAAACGAGCTAGTCTCCATTTTCCTCAGACTCTTGGAGTATTACGAGGTTTGGACTCTTAAATACTATCGGAGATGAAATACTGACCGGCTCTTTCCAGGGAATTTTGTTCCTGACAACCAACCGTGCCGAGCATATCGATCCCGCTTTTGAATCGCGCATCCACATTTCTATTCGCTATCCACAGCTTAGCCCAGAATCGAGACGCCAAATCTGGAGTCAGTTCATTGCAGCGAGAAACATTGCACAATTCTCAGAAGATGAGCTTGATCAAGTCTCGAGTTTAGAACTCAACGGCAGACAGATAAAGAATCTGCTGAAAACGGCACATCTGATGGCACAGGCAGAAAAATGTCAATTGAACTATGAACATGTGCGAATTGTCTTGGATTTGAGGGATTCAGTGGGCTCTTGACCTACGTGTAACAGGTCTATCAGAATCATACAGGATTCAACACTTTTGCAGAGAATTTAGGAATAATTGATTGGTTTTACTGAGAAGCCAGATGCAGCAAGGCTCATTGGGGATGTCTTGGTCAGATGATCGGAATAGCCTTAGCTCTCTCACGTATCTCGAAATCCTCTCTAATCCTAAATCCCATTTGCTATCGCACAAGCACCCCTCATCGATCTGATTTCCATCCAATTCATGCGTCAGTACTACTCGGATCGCATACGGAGTCGCGTTAGTAGACTCTAGCGTTAAGTTGCGGTCTTGGCCAATCTTCATGATCCGACACCGTAGGTTCTTAGCTTCAGAGCCCCAGCCACGGTGGATACCGGAAGAGGTCTCGTGAAGGTGTACTCTCTCTGGCCTGCATATTCCAAAATTTCCGATTTCATTATACAGCCATTCGTAGTAGTCTGAGGACCACCGGTCTGTATTTGAATTACCACCGCCCTATAAGTCATTCTGGCTGCCATAGAAATATGATGTTTAGTACTGTATAAATAACAAATTACAGTCGAATTTAAAATGTACAAGAAATAGCCTGTCCACACCTGCAATTCGGAATTTTTGGGATATGCAGGCCAGGGATAGTATATTACAATCTAGATAGCCGGGGGACCTACGAGCTCATGGCCGGTGGCGTTGTGGACTTTTTCGGTCTCGGGGTTGCGGTATTTTAGTCGACGATGGATCGGTTGCTCGCTGCATGTCAGCTGGGGATGTTTGCGTTGAATGGAGATGGGATGATGGATGGTTTCCTTGGTAAGAATTTCTTTTTGATGTAAATATTAGAGGGAGAATAGTTTTCGATGTCTTTCCCAGAAGGTTGTCTATCGGGGAAAGGAGAAGTGTCTCAGAAAGTCGGTGCAGCACATGTCACTCTGAAGCCATGTTCTAGCACAGGTAAGCACACTAACTACTTCCAATTGGTCAAGTCTGTTGCACAAAGAAACTTGAAAAAGATTAGTATCCACCAGGCAGTCCTCCATTTGCTGCAGGTCCTACCAGAGAGGTCAGCAGGACAGTAGCAATGGCAAGATAAGTAAAGTGCCCGTCGTAAGCGTGTCGGTCGGGAATCGTTGAGCCACGGTAAGGGAATCTAGAAATCTGAAACCCAAGCTCTACTGACCTTTCAGCTCCCTATGCCTGCCTGGGAAAGGAGAATGAGAGTCTGTGCGTTCCGTGACCTGGCAATGGCTTGGGTTGCACTGTGCTACACGCGGGTTACAGGCCCCTGTTCCACTAGGTGCCGCGGGACTGGAATGGGAGGATGAAGAACTGGTCAAAGGCGTGGAAACATGAGCAGGACTTTGAGCAACATTCTAATAAATTTGAACTGAAATGTTAGACGTTCAAAGCGATGAGATGATTAATTGATTGAAGGTGTTCTCTCATCCTCCTGGATACCTATTAAAATAAAGCGTACTTTTAGGCACTTTCTTGAGCCTCTTTTCAAGCTTTGAGCATAGCAAGACGATCAGACACTGAGTCAAGAAATTGAGAATGGTCTAATACTATGCATTCCGCCATGTGAATAATTATTTTAACCGGATTTCAACTGCCTGCACATCGCATCAGAACTACTTAGAATCACAAAAGCACTGTCGGTTATAAAACTATTATCCTTCAGCCTCAAAGGGAGTTAATAGAAAGAGATCTCGGTCACGACCACAAGGCAGAAGTAGCAGTCATTAGGGTGACCAGCCCTTTAGCGCCTACGCTATACATAGTATGCGCCAAAGATGATGACCCAGGTGGGAAAAAAAAAAAAAAAAAAGAAAAAAACGGAACCTCCAGAGTAAAGAACATAAGTGGACCTATCAGTTTGGTGGTGTGCAACAGTAACACCGTGGAAAGGAATGTAACACAAGGCTTTCGGGGTTTTCCAACCACCATCTAGCATACAGACTATATCCCTGTCCACCCGAGATTAGGGCTAACACAAAAAAGGTAAAACTGAGGGGAACCCTGTGAACGCAGCAAACACTCTCATGGCGGTGCAATTGTGGCTGGAAAAGAAAAGAAGTTTAACTCGCCTATCTCTGTGGCCTTGTCGGGCGAACAGACCCCGTAGAGCCGCCTGGCCTCCACCGAAGAGCCCATCCCAGGAAGTCGTACTACGCAGTATAGTTCATTGCGCCATCTGACTAGCTGCCCTAGCCGCCAGACATCCAAACGCTTCTTCCATCATCCCCACGCATAACAGATCCAACAAGCGATGGCCTCGAAAAGACCCAGCCGTTTCTTCTTTCCACAGAGCTCAAACCAAAGCCAATCCTCACTGGAGGCTCAACCGGCACCATCAATAACCTTGACCTCTACATCCACCCTCCCACAAACACAAACACAAGCATCCAAACCATCCTCCGCAACCGAACAAGCCTCCGAATTCCTCAAAACAACCTCCCACGTCCGCACGCAACTCGACGAAGTCCAGCGCCTCCGAGACCTCAAGGCCCACCGCCTCGGCGCCGCTGAATTAAAATGGATAGACTCCACGATTGCCGATATCGCGGACGCAGCGCACGACCTAGCCCTCCTCTTAGAACCGACCCGCCTCGAGCAGACGATTCACAGGGGCAAGCTCTCGCTAGCCACTCAGCTCCGCTGGAAATATAGAGACGGGCAGCGCGCGGTGCAGAAGTCTCAACGGCTCCTGGCGTATCATGGGAGTTTGATTGGCGTGTTGGGACATCTTCAGCGGGTGGATGATGCTCCGCGGGAGGAAGAGACGGAGACAGATACAGAGACGATCAGCTCGCCGGCGAGCCTACCAACGAGGCAGCAGACGATCCGATTTGAGCTAGATGCTGAGGTGACGGCGCGCGTAGCGTCTGCTGGGGCCAGGGAGTTTGAGATCTTCCCGGCGGATTATGCTCAGGGGAAGGGTGCGTGGGCTGGTGGGGAGGGGTTGAAGGGCGCTCGGGAGAAGCCGGGTGAAGAGAAGATTGTGGCTTATAAAGATGAGAACGTGGATTCCGGCGTGGCTAAACAGGCCGAGGAAAACGCTGTGGAATGTGAGATGGACGATTTGCTGGCTTGGCGGCGGTCGAGAAGGCCGACTTCTGAAGTCAACCCGTCCGTCGTTTGCATATCGCCTGATGGTAATGTTGGTGTTTAGGAATATGTTGTATGATCGTTAGGATTCGCGTCTGATGCTCCTTTCTACTTTATTCTCAATTATACCCTACTTTCGATGCGCCTGATTACGAATTGTACAAGCAAAGAAAATTACCAATGGTCCTAATTTCTTCAATAACATTTCTCAAATCATCAAACCGTCATGAAATGCCTTCAAATCCGTGCAACCGTCTTATCCACCAATACACGAGGCGCAGGCAACCGCTGACCCAACTCATCCGATATTTTCACCACCGCCGGAAGCACAATAACATGGTCCGAAGAGACCGAACTTGTATCCCAGCGGAAATCAAAACTGCACGGCTGAGAGAACAGCCAAGTTCCAAGCTCGGACGCTGCTCTGAACACGCTGCTCAACTGTGCAAGCCGGTCGGACTCAGGAAAGTGAGGGTCGCTGTAAGACGCAAAGGTTGTTGAGAAGTCCTGAGCCAGTGACTGGATTGTATTTTCTGAGACAGAGACTGTGGTTGTTTCCTGGCCTGGTTGTCCGGCTTTGTGGAGATGGGCTGTGAGCATACGCCAGGCGAATACGGCGCGGGTGTTGTCTGGAATGCTTTAGCTCCAAGGTCTCAAATAGAGGGTCAGACGAGGTTGCTTCTTACTGTTCTCTGTGCTCACTCGTGGGCCTAGTACATAAGGAGCTGGAAGCAAGCGTTCTGTTTGTTGTCCTGGTTGAATCGCCTGCAGCAAGGTTCGTACCAAGACATGCGTAAGTATTGCCCTTTCTGCCCTTGGTTTGGCGAGCATGGTGGCCAGCGGGGCAGGCAAGGCAGCGGAATCATAGTGTTCGAAGCCAGCAACAGGGTCTTGAGACAACCGAATTCTGGTTTGGCTTGAGGAATAGTAGTTGTCGATGTGCAGACTGGCTTGGTCGAAAAGGGTTTGGATGCGCGAGGACACAGTACCGTCATCGGCCGGCTGGGGGATATATGAAGATAAATTCAGATATTGCTTCCCCACAGGGCGAGAATGCGAGCCATGTCCCTTCACGGAGGGCTGTGATGAACGAACAGGCTGAGAGGATATCTGGCCCAGTCCTTTGGTAGACTCAGATGATTTCATTCCGGTCGACTCTGCGTAAGATTTGTTTTTTCTCCGACGACGAAAGAAAAGAAAAGCACCCAGGAGAGTGAGGATGAAGGTCCCAAGGATAGACCCTACGATGGCTCCTGCAAGTCCACCACCGCTCAGTCCACTACTTGCGTTTTGTGTACCAGGAGTGCTTGAAGGGCTTGCAAGACTGCTAGGCCGAGAAGTCGAGGAGGTTTGTGCGGCTGACGTGGTAGAGTTGGCTCTGGATCCAGTGGCCCAGTTACTGGTCACAGGATTTGGACTATCGACCGGGTTTTCGCTCTGGCTTCCTGACGTAGTAGGCACACCAGACGGGTCTGAGACGCCTGTTTGAATGGAAGTCGCCGAAGAGATATTGGGAATTGATGAGGAACCTCCTCCGCCTCCTGGGGCACCCCCATGGGCATCCTCTCCGGACCCTCCTGCGGTATCTCCCTTGCCATCTGGGTTTTCTCCGTTATTTGTTGTGTCTGTGCTATTCTTAGGCGTATCTGAGGCTCCTGTGGCCTGTCGAACCCATAGTAGCATTGCGTCCATGGCTAAAACAGTTGCTCAAAAGCGGAGGGAAAACGGGCTCTCGGCCAGCTCACCCCGGAGATTTGGGTGTATTTAAGTGTCGCGCGAAAGGCTAACCTAAGGCAATAGCGCTAAAGGTCGGGGTTTGATTGCTTCCAAGGCTGCTTCCACTAGTCAGATGGCGCTGCGACGGGTCCATCTGGGTGCTTTGGCGCCCAAGCCGTGATGCGAAACCCTGGTATCCTTGTCAGGGGGGGAGTGGCGCAGCCTTGCGACAGGGAAAAGAAAAACATTGAAATCTAGGCACGACCCCGCCCCGCGTAACGCGGCCTTGAGATTGAGCCAAATTGATCCCTGTGAGATTTCCAATAATTGGTGATTAGGAAATCATGGAAGGCTTTCCAGAGTACTGGACTCCGGATATTGTGGTGGGAATTGATTTTGGGATGACCTATACCGGTATACACATAAGGCTCTGGTCTAAAGTACGAATTCGAGCTGACGTGTTTTATCCGTCTGTTTAGGTGTCGCGTATTCCTCTGCTCCAGAATGGCTACCCCCAAAGACCATCCAGCGTTGGCCTGGGAAGCTACCCAACGAGCTCGCAAACAAAGTGCCGACATTCATTGAGTATTCGAAGTCTGGCAATGTCGAAAACTGGGGCTTTCAGTGCGATCCAGAAGCCAAGGAATCAGACATTAAGGAGTTCTTCAAGCTACATCTTGCGCCTCAGTATCAAGATGAACATTATGGAGGTCCTACTCGAGGGGAGGCCCAGCGCTGGTTTCAGGACTACGTCGATTGCATATACAAGCACATAGTGTCGCACTTCAGTAACACAATGCCGCATTTTGGCCCGCAAAATGTTGAATTCCTCTTCAGTGTGCCGACAACTTGGAAAGATGTGCGCATGGTTCAGGAAACACGTGAAATACTTGAGCGTATTATTAACACAAAGAATCCACGCCATCGCGCTGTTATAGGTCTCACCGAAGCAGAGGCCGCGGCGGTGTATGCTGGAAATGAACATTATTTGGTACCTGACCACTCTCCTGATTATAATAGCTTGTCCATCTGAATTAACACAATGTTTAGGCGGATGATACGATTCTTGTCTGTGATGCAGGTGGAGGTACCACGGTTTGTTTACCCATCATCAAGACTCCATGTCCCTATCCTAACTTTACATCCAGGACGTCAATGTTCTAAAGCTAATATCAAATCGGGGCGAACCGACTAGACTGGAACAACTTGGTCATGTCGAAGGTACGACGCGCCTAATACTTAGTCAGTGCCTGAATAGCTTAGGCTGACAAAGTGATAGGACAACCCATCGGCTCTGTTTTTATAGACAGAAGAATCCACCATCTGATTTACAAGCGATTAGAAAAGGTTCGGGACCATCTAGAGATGTCGCCGAGCGATGCAGCATGGATGATGATTTCAGGTCGCTTCCAAAGGATGAAATGTGCTTTTGGCACAAAGGCCATATTGACACCGTGGTTGACGCTCGATGTTCCAACGATAGAATCAGTGTTGGACTTCCCAGAGGCCGAGATCTATCGTGGTCAAATGCGTATTGCGTGGTAAGTATCGGCCTGAATCCCGTTCAAAAGCTCTGTTGGTTGTTTGGCTGATGATATTCCAGGGAGCATGTGCAAGAATGCTTCGACTTGATGGCCAATAAAATGTGCACTCTTCTAGACGGACATATTAGCCAAATGCATTCCAAATACCCAGGTGACCAAATAGTTTGTATCTCTAACTGCTGTTGCTATTCAGCTACTGATGGCCTTTCCTGAGGTAGACGCACCTTGTTCTTTCGGGTGGGTTTGGAAGCTCTCCGTACATTAAACAGTGTTTGGTGGAGAAGTTCGGTAGTTTGGCCGTCAACAAGCATCCGAATGCTGAAGACATGCATATCCTTCTAGCGGACGAACCGTAAGTGCAGCGGGCTGTCATATCCATTTCCAGTTTGCTGATGTCAGCTCTGTCTTGATAGCCAACTTGTCGTCGTCCATGGTCTCGTTCTAGATCGCATCCAACAGATAAAACGCGGAGTGGTCACGTTCGGATCAAGATGTCCCCCCGTAAGCTACGGTATCGTGTGCGACAAGCTCTATGACCCCAAGAAGCACGTTGGGCAACCCGTGCGTCTGGACCCTCGAGACAACAATACATTCGCAGTGGATCAAATTGACTGGCTGGTGATTCAGGCAAGGATATATCATTTTCCAACTGGCTTGGTACTCCGAGCCTATTCTCGACCAGGACTTATTGTTTTTCTTGTACAGGGCACCCCAATCCCATCGACTGGTATGACGAAAGAGTTTCAGCTTAAGGCGGATCTCGGTCGAGAGAACGAACCCTGGACGGCACAAATCGTCATGTCGACCCGCGATCCCGCCAATCTGCAACGCAACATGAGTGAGAACGGCGTTCAAAGAGTATGCAATATTAATGTTTCCACGATAGAAGTCGACAAGAAGCTCAAGAATCGTCACTGGTACAGCGTAAAGCCTCATTTTTGGCGGATTGCGTTCGAGGTCAAGGTCATAGTTGGACCTGCCGATCTGTCATTTGAATTATGGTCCAAAGATAAAAAGGTTCGCAGCGATAAGCACGAGCCCATTGCAGTAAGTTGGATGCCGGCGCAGGGATCAGAGGAATAATTTCTGCGCAGCATGATTGCATGTATATTATCTCATTGGCCAAGGTTGTTGATAGGGGAGCAATGTGCTGTAAGCATTAACCGTGAATATTTGAACCCCTTGGTGCTTGCCCATATGTGATACAGAGTGGGCTTCGCTAGTTAATGATCCTGGAAATCTTTCATCAATTCAGGCACTTTACTGGCTTCATGTGTTAAATACAGCAAATCTAGCCACGAAAAAGTCCATTCATTTGCGTATACACTCTGCAGACTGATACCAATTATCCCCAGACCGGTGGCTGCCTGATCTACCGTTGACGTATATGACCTACAAACTATCCCCTGCCACTAAGGTCGATCATCGTTCGATTGGTGGAAACTTTGTAATTTGGCTCTCCTCATCTAATGTTGAAAACTTTATTTCGCCTTTCCAATTCTTCCTCATCCATGTTTTTGATCACGTCTCCACTAATCACTCCATAAACATATACCTCCGCGACCAGCTTATAAGCATCTTCTCCCATGGGATGCAAAATGACAGGAACGCTGCATCCGAACAGAATACAGACGTGATCCTTGGCAGATGTGTTCCTGGGACAGATACCGAGCCATTCGGTAGTCGTTTCTAAAATTGACCCCCCTGCCTCTCTGGACGAGACGTTAAGCTCTTCGTTCTCGACCAAGGGGCTGGCTGTCGATTCCTCCAAGTCTGGGTCATCAATCTCGAAGAGTACAACATTTGGATTACCCAAGTCTTCGCCGACTTCGACCCGCTCTTTCTGCCCATCTGTCCCAACCTCTGCTTGGTCTTCCACGGTCTTCTCAGCATCTGAAGTACTTGGTCTAGTCTGAGAATCTGCTTCGCTTCTATTTTCGCCTGGGTTCTGGAACACAATATCAGGGACTGCATCGCTGACATCGGGAGCTAGCGGCTTGACGTCGGCCTTTGCATCATATGCAGCACCATTGCTGTCTGATACGTGCCCGTAATCACGGCCTTTTGCTTTGAAAAGGCATCAATTCCATGTCACTTCTCGGGCCGGTCTGGGATAGTCGCGAAAGAAGACAACCTCATCCGAGAGTTGTCCAATGTTCAAGTCGCCACCACTGAACATGTCATCTATTTCAAAACTTCTGAGACATGCACGCTGATACAATAGGGGATTTCTCAGTCCGTCAGAGCCCTTATCCGCGACTAAAGCCCGCCACGCCCCAGCCGGTACACCTTTCGAACCATTATCAACAGCCTCCCAGCCGCCGAGGCTGAGAGACTCTCGAAACACCAAATGAAACCACGTCGTCTCTGAAAACTGCACCAGAGAAACCGATTGGCTTAAAGCCTCGACCACATAGGTCTTGCTTTCTTCCTCTGGGTTCGGACTCCATTGTGAAGGCGATTGCCCAGGCGCTAGCATCTGTTCACTCTGAGATGAGGGGCTGCCAGCGTATCACAGGCGGCACAAGACAAGGTAAGCTGCAGCCGATTGTGAGCATGATAACCAATACCTAAAGTTCATTGCCGTACTCTACATGAGAAGGGGGTATGACGTCGATTCAGCCATAAATATACTTAATATAGCCGAATTCCAACAACAAAATATCTAATTATTTTAGTGATATCATTCATCCGTCCGGTCTAAGTACACGCCCGGCAGTCTCCCAATTTTTGAATTCTCCAGGTAAGTCATTTCCAAAGCATCTCATGAAGTTGAAGTGACCTTTAACAAGAAAGAAAAACCATATCCGACTCCGACAAGCCCTCCATCGATCAGGCTTCTGTGGGAATAAGGGCTGATGTGAACACTATCAAACAACTATCCTCATCGGAGAAGACAGCACAAGACAAGCGCAACCGGAATTTATATAAGAAATCAATGGCCAATCTAGGAGAAACAGCTATAAATCAAATGTCATCATCTAGGAAAACAGCACAGGAGAAGAAAGAAAACAATCAAGTAAAAAGGACGATGAATAAGCTGGGCGAAGCAGCTATGAGAGCAGAGAAAAATAACAATTAAAGAATAACAGATGGCTGTTAAATCAAGCTAAGTCCTCAAAAACCAACTGGAGATTCCGATCATACTCCGCCTTCTCAGAGACTTTACAATTCACGAACTGCGGTACATTTTTAGTCCAAAAAAACGGTAAAGCCCCATCATCAGGGCTGCCTTCGCAAGAAAATAATAGATATATGTCCTTTGCAAAGATTGTAAAAAGACCAGAGGGGCTGGATAGAGCTAGAATAACCCAGAAAGTCCCGGTAGCCCATGTACGAGCAAGAACTTCAGACAATCGCAGTATTTTTCTATCAGTACTCGCGGCTTCCTCTGTCTCAAGGATACTCATTAATTCTTTCCGGGAGATATCATATTCATCTACATCAATCTGATCAACACCTTTCCCAGTTAGCCAATATGGAGGCTCAACCATTTCAATCTGTCGAGAGCATGCCCATTCAAGGTCAATTAGACAAGTTATATTCCAATTATTGTCAACAAAAATATTACTCTGGTGCAAGTCCGTCAAGGAGAAGATGAACGGTCCACGGCGCAATTCTCGAGAGAAAAAAGCAGGTAATACAGCCCGCATGGCCGTTAGTGTCGCCATTTGAATAGTGCAATCAGATACATCATTCACCGCATTTAGTTGACTCCGCAGGCGGTTGTCATGAATACTGAGGATGTCCGCCGTATAGGATTCAACGGTTGTATACGTAAAGTCACGGGAGATATCATTAAAAATCCCCTCATTTTCCATCATCTGGATTTCCATTGAAAGTGGTCGGTTATTGAGCAAGAGGTATCCATTGTTATCGATTATAAAGGACCCGATTCGGGGTAATGGGATTCGGCTAATACTCAGTAGTATTCTCGAAAGGCTGCGGAAGAAATTTGCACGTAGCTTCATATCTGAATGGCTCTCCGGCCATATATCGGAGAGCATTGTTCCTTGTGACTTCTTGATGTTTTCTATTAATAAATACCCAGCACCGACAACATGGGGAGACGCTGTGATTTGATCGGGGACGTAGCACGACGGTTCTTTGAGACCTAGGAAGGAGAGGCATCGTCGGCGCAGCTTTCGAAGGCATCGGGCGAGGATGGGCAAATGATCGATCTGAGTAAACTACTGCATTTTAGTAGTTATTGCCGGAAATACACCGGGGGCCATACGCTTTCGCCCGTGGACAATGCGAACCCGTAGAGACGTGGAATGGGCACGTCTGGACAGTTTTCTTGAACCCATGCATACGTGCCCGCTTCGCATCGAATCTTTTCATCGCCATTTCCAGGTCGATGCTCTTCACCAACCCGATAAGGCAGAGGAAACCGAAGCAAAACCCGATGTCCCGGCTGCTTCCGCTGGTTCCACCCATCAATCATGACTGGAACGCAAACGTTAAAACTGCCATATATCCAGTCTTCTGCGTTTGCAACATGGCATCGATTAAATGGCCCCAGCTGTAGATGATGGGTGACAACCCTTCTCATCCAGTCAGTATTTTCATTCAACCGAGAGAAGAACAAGAGTTGTGCATCATAGTACTGCAATTGGTGCAGGACATTATCCTCCCGGTCTTGAGCAGCCGAATAAGTAATGGTATCCTTGACGAGACGACGGGTTCGCATGGTATTCGAAGATCGATTCTGGCTGAGATGATTAAAGGAGGAAACAACCGATAAACAAATGACAGGTGGAGCAGTTTCCGGATTACCTAATCCGGTGGAGAGTGTGCAAACAAGGCAAACACTTGGTATACAATCACGATGGCGGCAAATGGGATCTCATATCTCTACTCCTCAGTTGGCTATTTCCATCGCGTATTCTGCTTCACATTAAAACAGTCCTCTCTTCTTTTTTTCTTTTTGATTACTTGCTTATATATGCTCAAACAATCATCTCCTTTTGGCCCAACCCCGCACCGGTCACATATATATATATCTCCCCTCGCCAGCCTAAAAGTAAACAGTTTATGAATATTTTATATGACTGCGTTATTATGTTATCTTTTGTTTCTATCTCTTGTCAATCTGAATAGGTGGTTCTTAGCTGAAAATTGTAGACTTCAACCCCCCCCCGCCCTCAAAATTAGAAGTTACTAGCCATGTAGCTCTGAGCCACAAACCTCTTGCTTGAGACTTGACCGCATATTTCAGGTGGAAGTCGGAAGCAACCATGGCGTGATGATGACAAGTTGATTGTATAGCAGGTATAGATGAAAATGCATATTGTGTTCATACTGCAATTCATACCAAGCTTTGTACTGTTGCGCGATCCGCGGGTCGTGGCGAGGTCTAGACAGCTCCCGCAGGCCCAGCCGGCTACTATCTTTACGTTCTAGTCATGAATTGTCTCAAATGAAGAGGACTCGCTTGAATGGTGGATTCTATCACCAGATCAACGTGGAACACCTTCCTAGCCATGTTATGTACGAGAATTGGCCAGTATTCTTTTTTCTCAGCGTGGTACTATGCATATTCAATCAGTTGGAGGGAAATGGGTATACAACGTCATCTATTGACGCAATAAAGTAACAACTCGTTTTTCTCGAAGATTTACTCACGAGTACACCAAATGCATAGACCCGAAGCTTATTAGAGAGTGCTTTGATCGCCCATAAATCACCATAATGTAATACGAATATTATTTAGCGACGATCATAAGCTATAAACTATGGAACTAACATTCAGCCAGCAGCTTGAACGGCCAGTTGCTCCAGAGAAAGCTGGTTCGTCACCTGTTCTGTGGTGAACGTACAGCCAACCTCCTTATGAAACCAGTTACGGAACTCGATGGCAACCAGTGAGTCGCCTCCGTGGTCTCCGATTGATTTGCCGGCATTGACATCTTCTGCAGCAACCCCCAGGATATCAACAATTTGCTCGGTCAGTGCTTCGATGATAGCAGAGGTACGCTCCTTCGGGCCCTGGCACTGGGACAGAATCTGAGACAGAGGCTGGGTTTCCTGCATGTCTACGCCAGAATCCCTGCGTGACTCCTTGTGGGATTGATGCACCGGTGATAAAGAAAGGTGCGAGACGAGTGGATCTAGAGCAGCGTACTGGGCTGGAGACCATGTGCTCGGTGGTGCCCATCCGATGGCAACCTGGCTGTCGAAATAATGAGTAGGAGGGTTTGACATGGCGTAGCCAACAAGGGCGTGTAGCGCAGACAGGGGAATTCCACCGAGGCCCATCTTCTCATAGTGGGCCAACGCTTCAGGGCTCTGATGGAAGTAGCTGGCGCCTCTAACAGTGCCCAGATCTAACGAATATGTGGGTTTTCCGAGACTCGTCCGCCAGCGGGCAAAAGCATCCTGGAATGTGGATGCGGCGGCATAATTAGCCTGTCCGGTGCTGCCGAGCAATCCGACATAGGATGAGAGCATGATGAAGAAGTCGAGCGGCTGGTCTTGAAGACATTCATGAAGGTTGTAAGTTCCGGTGACTTTGGGCTGTAACACTTGCTGGAAAGATTCAAGAGTCATGTTGTCGAAACTCGAGTCCTGTGACCAGGTCAGCACACTGTGATGTATATTATTTGGATTTGGTCCTGGTAACTTACCTTTAGTGTCAGCCCAGCATGGACAATGCCATGGATAGGAGGCAGAGCCTTTGTCTTTTCCATCAAAACAGCCCGAAGCTGATGACGATCGCCAATGTCACACGAGATCGCATGGAAATCAACCTTCATCTGTGCCAGCTCCTCAATGAGGCCACGCGTAAGAGGTCTCCCGGCACCCGAGGGAGACAAAGCAACGATGCATCGAGCACCGCACTTTGCCATCCAAACACTAAGTGCACGTCCTAGGCCACCTTGCCCTCCAACAATGAGGTAGGTCGCGTCTGGTCGCAGTCGCACTAGAGGGGACACCCGTGGTAAAACTTTGACTTCATCATCGCGGCCATGTGTGACGACCAGCTTGCCCACATGCTGCCCCTTTTGCATCGTGCGGAACACTTGCTCTAGTTCTGAAATTGGGAAGGACGTGAGAGGAGATGCAGGCCTAATTTGATGCTCAGCTAGCATCTGGTGTACTCGAGCAAAGACATCTGCCATGTACTGTGGCTTTTCTCGCATCAGCTGAACGATATCCACGGCGGAGATGGATATTGCGCGTGAAAAGATGCTCATATCAAGGCGAGCATGAGCAAGAATATCGCTCTTGCCAATCTCCACGAATCGACCAAGTGGGGCCAATACATCGAGAGATTCCTGCAAGAAAGCACCGGACAACGCGTTTAGAACGACATCCACGCCTCGGCCTTTAGTCACCGCTTGGATCTGACTGACAAATGCAGTTGACCGGCTGGAGAAGATATGAGACTCAGAAAGGCCATACTGCTGGATGAGCAGCTGCTTCTTCTTGTTCGTACCAACAGTCGCGAATACCGTCGCTCCGAGGTACTGCGCGAGAACAATCGCAGCCTGGCCAACTCCTCCAGCACCAGAATGTATCAGTATCGTTTCACCAGGACGCAGTTGCGCCACAGTAGCGAGACAGTGATAAGCCGTATTGTAGATTATGGGAACGGATGCGGCTTGTTCGAAGGAGACATCAGCTGGAATGCGCTGTACGTTGAACGATGGGCACCGAACGTGGCTGGCAAATCGAGGCACGTGCCATGTGTAAACCCTATCTCCCTGCGCGAATTGATGCTGCGAATCCCGCCCAACCTTTGTCACGACACCAGCGACCTCCGCAACATCTTCGTCTGGCATTTGTCCCAAGGAGACCATAATATCTCTGAAGTTGACACCAGATGCTCTGACCTCAATCTCAATTTGGTCGCAGGAAAGTGGTGCCTCAAGATCAGGACAATCAATGAATGATATTCCCTGCAAGCCCGCTGTATGCCTCGCACTCAGACGTAGGGGTCGTTCCTCTTGGTAGAAGGGCTCTAGCTGAGGTATACTAGGTGTATATGTCATGGAGTGGGAACGAACAAACTCCGTCTTGGTCGTGTCCTCAACCAAACGAGGAACACACCAATTTCCGTTGCGCTCGAACCATTCCACGTCATTCTTTTGTGAGCTGGAGATATATTGTTGGATGAAGGTCAGAATCTTTGTTGCCGTATCTTGGGGTGGTGCATCCCTTTCTGAATCAAGGTCAATGGTGGCGATCGGAACATGAGGGTTCTCATGTCTCAGAACTCGTGCCATCCCGGAAACCAAACTCGACATCGGATTGTGGCATTGATCAGTCGCTCCTCGTGTCACCCAAATAATATCATGGGCTGTTTTCAGGATATGCTTTAAGTCATCAAAGCATGTTTGCCCCAAATTACCTAGGAACGGCCCGTCAAGATCGGTCAACATGATGCACGTTCGATCGTGTACCCGATTGTCTCCAAGTGGGAGGATCTCGACTGCAATCGTAGGCATCTTGGAAGAAATGTGTTGGGCAACCTGGTAGCCTAGACTCTTATCCTGCTCCAACAACTGATTGTGTGTTAAAACCAGCGCCGTTTTAGCCACATCCGTTAAGTGGGTCCCGTTGGTTCTGGCAGTGGAGATAATCAAACTATCAATTTGATCTTCCACATCAGGATAGGAATATAAAATTGAGTCTAGGCCACTGAAGCCGAGGCTTTGGAGTGTTTGATTCCATTCTTGTTCGCTGAGCAATGGGCTGTCTTTGTTGCGCTGGGTGGCCCCCAACCACCAGCCCGGGAGCGGGCCGAAGACAAATGAGCGGTGGACAGTCGGTTGTGTGCTCTCAAGTAGTAGTAGTTTACCTCCCGGCTTTAGTAATTGTCGGACATGTTTGACTGTCTTGTCAATATAGGTAGTGGCGTGCAGAACGTTGGCCGCGATCACAAGGTCATAGTCGGCAGGCTCAAAGCCTTGTTGCTCCGGATCCTTTTCAATATCCAGCTTCTGGTATTGAACGAGTCCTTGCCATCTTTCAAGCTTCTTCCCTACATTGCCAAAGAAACCAACAGATATATCAGTAAAGCGATAATGGGAACACAGAGTCTGATCCGATCTACTCAGGGCTTCCAATACAGGAAGAGTGGCTCCTCCTGTCCCGGCACCGATCTCGAGGATACGCAGCCCCGGGGACTTCAGAGACAGCATGCGGGCATATTCTGCAGCTTGAATGGCACATCGCTGCATACTATGGTCGTCCTCATATAGGCGATAGAGAAGGTTGTCATCAACCATCACGGAAAGAGGGTCTTGTAAGCCCTTGAGGATCGCTGACAGACTATCCCCTACGCGACAGACCATCTGCCCTTCCGCATCAGATATTCTTAATTGCCCCAAAAGATCTGATGATGACCCAAGCGGACATAGATTGGCTTGCTTTCGCAGCCAGCTCATGTACTGCTTTTGATAAGGTGTCATTCGCTGGACATCATCGTCGGACATCTCCTGCACAGTCGCTTGTGCGTAGATGCGGCAGGCATCACGCAGCCTTTTTAACTTGGCCCGGACAGATATCGGAGACAGGGGCTCGTTGCATATTTCATTGACTGCCGCATTGGTCAAGTAGTCTGGGTCCAGCATCATAACAAGTTTTTGACAGGCCTTCACCTGGTCAAGCTCCGGCTCCGCCGGCTCAAATGGGAGATTCAATGACGTTGCTTCCAAGCCCTGTAATGAGAGGACTAGTATTGCATTTCCTTCATTTCCATCCGCGCTGATACCCTCGATATCAGCCAGAAGCTTTTGTTCGGAAAGCTTCTTCACCTTCGAAGTAACTCGCATACAGCTATGGTTGTCGACTCGGCTTCTGATGGCCACAGAGACCTTTTGCATAAAGGTAGGCATGACAGGACCGCGGATAGGATCCGTAGAGTCTGTTGCCGCAATCATTGTTTGCAAGCATAGATCCAATGTGGCAGGGTGAAGACTGGCGCTGTATTCAGCCGAGGGTGGAAAAGACGTGATCGTGGCGCTAGAATATCCACGTCCTGCTGTTGCGGTGGCCAACCCCGTGAATAGATCGTTGTAATCGATGCCAACTTGCTTCAAGCGATCATACCAAGTCTCTAGTGGAACCTCCGGCAGGGTTGTTCTATCGAACTGTGATTCTAATAAGTTCAAAGATGACCTGGTGTCATCAAATGCAACTTTCACGAATCCGCGGCAGTGTTCTACCACGTTCGCTGCATCGGAGCAGGAGTGGATGACGAACTCATGGCGGCGCGCGAGGTCCCGTCCACCGAGTTCCGTGGCCGGTCTTAGGACGAACATAAGTTCAACAGATCTGGAGTTTGGAATTGTCATCTTGTTACTGATCGAGACTTGACCCAGTTCGATAGAGTAATTTGGTTCGTGCTGGCGTTTGCCAAGCTGCTGTCTTGCCAGCTTGAAGCCTGCTTCAATAGCCATCGTCATGAAAGCTGTTGCAGGGAAGACCGCATCCCCGTTGATCCGATGACCCGCCAGCCATGGATGCGACGCGAGACTAATACAGTTCCGCCATCGAGGTTCCAACCAGCTGGATTCCGGGCTGAGTACTCCCAGGAGTGTGTGTGGAGGCTCCTCTCGGTTCCTATAGTTACGGCTCAGCCGACTCTCATGCCAGAAGGCCGAAGAATGATCCCATGGATAAGTGGGAAGGTCTTCAAGACATGCACGGTATTGCGCCGGAGCCGACATCGAATTGACTTTGTGAACTTCGATATCCGCACCGTGGGAGAATAGTTCGGATGCAAGTTCGATCAGGCATTGATCGGCGCGTTGATGGCGGAGCAGAGTCGAAGAATAGGGAACCTCCTTCTCCCCAGCCTTGAGGGTCTGCCTGATTGGGCCTTTCAATGCGGAATGCGGACCGATTTCAACGAGAAGCTGGGGCTCTGTTGAGAATACCAACTTCTCCAGCGCGGTAGAGAAAAGAACAGGCGAGACAAGGTTTTGCACCCAGTATCGGGGACCCAGCTCGGTTCCGTCAGTCACTTTACCAGACACACTCGAGCAAAACGATATATTCGAGTTGGAACGTGCTAGCTCCATGGTAGCAAGAGCATCGTGATATTCACCTGCAACGCGCAACATATGGTGCGAATGATAGGCTACATCGACTGGAAGCCGGCGAGCAAAGACGCCATCCTGCCGCAGTTGCGTTTCCAATATATCAATAGCCGCATTATCACCGGACACTGTGACAGCACCCGGACTATTGACACAGGCAACCGCAGCAAGACCGATGCCTTCAGAGGCTGCAGAGATGTAGGGCTGCACGTCGTGGGGTCCCAAACCAACAGCAATCATTGCACCTTTGACGCTCTTATCCGCTGCAATCTGACCCGCGGCAGAGCCTCGCGCGTACGCCGCAAGGATCGCGTCGCGGAATGATATTGCTTTGCAGGCGTATGCGGCAGCAATCTCGCCACTCGAGTGACCAGTCACAGCGCTCGGGTGGATATTCCAAGAAGCCAAGAGGTCAACCAATGCCAGCTGGATCGCTGTACAAGCCGGCTGCGCTAACACTGCACTATTGAGTCCGGTCTCATCGTCGGTTTTCCACAGCTCGTTTGTGAGCTTCCAGTCGACCCCCAGGTCGTTGAGGCATCTCTCTGCAACTGCAATAGACTTCTGGAAGACTGAGCTTTTGTCCCAAAGCTCTTTGCCCATCGTTGCCCACTGCGCTCCTTGGCCCGTAAACACGAAACCAATCCGCGGTGGCTGTTGATGGTGTGAGTAACTTATATAGCGCAGGCGGTCACGAAGACCGGACACCGAGCTAGCTACGACCGCAGTCCTCCAGGAAAAAAGTGAACGACGAGTGGAGAGTGTATAGGCCAGAGAGTCGAGGAAGCTTTGCTCCTTGCTTCGTTCCGCTTGCTCCAGATATTCCTGTAACTGCTCGGCCCTGACACGCACCGAGTCGTTCGAACGAGCCGACAGAACAAACATGAGGGATCCGGATCGGTCATCTGGGAATGCACAGGCATCCTCTTTCTCGGGTGGTCTTTCGAGGATTAGATGAACGTTCGTGCCACCGTACCCAAAGCTATTGACGGAGACTTGTGAACAGTCCAGCTCTCGGGAATGGGTTGGAATATCCACATTCCATGTTTTCCATTGAATGTCGCAGCTGGGACGCTTGAAGTTCACAGCTTGTGGAATCTTTCCTTTTGTAAGAACAAGCACAGCTTTGATCACAGCTGCTAGTCCACTGGCGTTTTCCAAATGTCCGATATTGGCCTTGACGGAGCCCATAATCACTGGACCGCGGCCCTGCGCGTCCCTAGCCTTGCCGATGACTGCCCCAATGGAGCGACTTTCGGTCATGTCTCCGACGGCAGTGCCGGACCCGTGAGCCTCGACGAAGCTTGTATCAGCTGGATCCAGCCCAGCTGCAGCATATGCAGAACGTATCAGGGAGTTTTGGGCCTCTTCGCTGGGAACAGTGATTCCTGTGGTGCGCCCATCCTGGTTGATGACTGAACTCCTGATGACAGCACGAACGGGGTCGCTATCTGCAATTGCCGCCGATAGGGGCTTCAGCACCAGCGTGCACACACCTTCGCCACGGCCATATCCATCACTGCTATCATCGAAAGACTTGCTGCGACCATCTGATGCGTAGAACTGAAGAAAGCTAGGGCCGATCATGCCTGCTGGATCCAAGATCAGGTTCGGTGCTCCAACAATGGCTTGGCTGCTTTCGCCGTTGCGGATACTTTGGCATGCCTGATGCAGTGCTACTAGGCCACCACTGCACCCGGTGTCTAGGGTAAAGGAGGGCCCATGCAGATCGAAAAAGTACGAAAGCCGATTTGAATGCATCGCCTCGCCATTGCCAGTCTGAAAGTAGAAAGGGAGATCTTCGGGGTCGCGCATAAGTATCTTTTCATAATCACGATTGTATAGTGCCACGTAGGCAGCTGTATCTGTTCCTCGGAGTTGGTCCAAGGTCATGCCACCTTGCGAGTGGTTGTCAGATCAGAGAAATAGGCTCAATTGTTGGTAGAAGACCTACTGCTCTCAAAGGCTTCATAAGCGGATTCTAGTAGTAGTCGAATCTGAGGGTCCATGGCCTGTCCTGCGTTAGAATTCCTTCCTGTATAATCTTGAGGCCAGTGTTCAAGCTCACCTTTGCTGCCGCAGGACTGATATTAAAGAATGGAGCATCAAACCGCGAGATATCCTCCTCGAGGAAATGACCACCCCGAGTATGGAACTACCAGGATTGTAAGCTCCTTCGCCCATACCTAGATAATCGTGGAAATACGTACCGCCCCATTCCTCTTGCTGTCAGGGTGATAGAAAGACTGTTCTTGAAAGCGACTCTCTGGGACCTCAGACCAACCAGTATGCCCTTCGCACAAGAGGTCCCATAGCTTGTCCGCGTTCGTCACTTCACCAGGCAAACGACATGCCATACCAACAATAGCAATTGGCTGCTGCTGGCTGTGGTCGGAATCCATGGTACGTTGAATCTTATCTTGATTAAGGACAATTTAGTTTCTTGCGAGTGTTTTCGAAGCTTAGTTCTCTTTTCACTTCATGACCTGGAAAATTTCATTCTTTTATATTGCCCGGTAATTCTTTGACAACCGCCTTGGCTACCCCGTTGAGTCGAGTGTACCAATCCGATTCCATTCTGCGTCATAGATCGACCATCAAAAGCCTACCAGAGAGGCAAATTGCATAGCAGCTTAGCAGCTAACCTACCAAACTCTCGCTTACGTTGCCCGAAAACTAAAGTTCTGTCAACTTAATATGAATTCCACGATTCCATTGGTTGTATAGAAGGCGATTACGGTTTTTTCTTGGCGAGGTTTAACTCAGAGTCAAGATCGACCCATCCTGATTCCTCTCTCTCTCTTTGAGTTCCGGAGGCCTGTTTGCCATTTGCCCCACTACCCACTCGGAATATTCTGTAACCATAGAGCTTCCATGGCGTGTTGCATTGTTCTCCGTGACGAATGTGACGTATTTGCCGCACTATAGTAAACCACTCTCTCACCCATTTCTTCAACGACTTTTATATCCTAATTTCCCTCAATGCTCTCCCATTCGTTGCAATCACCAACATATTCCATATAGAATTCTAAACCGTTAACTGCAAACATGACATCGAGCAACTGGATCGAGTACCAGCTGCAACATCATGCCTTGACGGAGTCCCTCCGCTCGGAGAGCTCCCTGTCCGAGTCACGATACTATCAGAACGTTCCTAAATCCATGGAGTCCGAGATGTTCACCGTCAGCAGTCTCCTGGGGCCCAATAAAATTCCGGTCCGTCCGCTCGCATTCCACGAGACCGGAGGTACATCATTCTATCTGATTGTCTATGTCGGGGCAGCTTTGGCCGGCTACCCTGGCATGATTCATGGAGGCCCGCTGGCGACAATCATGGATGAAGGAATGGCTGGTTGCGCTAGTGCGGCCCTGCCGAAACGCGTCGCCGTCACCCTTGGATTGAACGTGGCATACCGGAAGGCTGCTCCAACTGAATCCTTCTACGTGCTGAAAGCAAATATCACGAAGGTGGACAACAAAGAAGCCTGGGTGGAGGGTCGGCTGGAAATTCTGGATGGCCAGGGGAAGGACGAGGGGGAGGTTGTGACAGAGGGATGGGGTCATTATCTGCAACCGGCGGTCACACGCGGTCTATACTCGCCGATCTAGATCAGGCTTTGAGATGCGCAAACGATCTGAATTTCTGGGTGGTTATGTGCATGTATGTACGTCGATTTTAGGAGCGATTTGGGGTCGATATCTGCAAACCACCCTTTACAGGTGGCCCACACTAGCTCAGTACATCATGAGCCCTGAGAGTGCTTGCTGGTGAATGGACTTGAATTGCGTGAGGCTTTAGATGACTATTGGTACCGAATAAATCGTGATATGATATCATCCTCGTATTGGTGTTTAAATCTGTGACTGAACATATTATCTTGTAATATGCCTTCCAACGCTCCCTATTCTCACAGAAACCCAAGCCAGTGTGTATGCAACTTAACCAGAAAGCTTCGCGCACCTATACGCGAAACCGCTGGGGCGTTTATTGAAAGCAAATTGGGTGGAATACAAACCGCAGTCGCTTATGACGTAGAAGCCTTGGCAGTGCATATGGATTGCGCTGAAAATATCCCATTATTTGCCTCTGCCTTTACTGCAAAATGCATGAATGTGATCGCCCTGACGATCCCCAATTCAGGAAGGAGACTATCAATTCTGCTTCGGTTAGGTACCGCGCATATCTGGTGGCAAGCCTTCTTAACATTTAAGACGTAGTGGGGTGATATTCAACAGTAGGCAGTTTGCCTGTAAAGTCTTTACCAATTCGTCGACGAATATAAAGTGGATGTCTCATAAAAGAAAAGCAGAGAAGAGAAGAGAAAGCATATCCAACCTTCCAACAGTGTTCGCAATGGCCATGTCTCAGAAACCTCGCCACGATATTCTCCTAGGATCCTGGTCTCTCCTCGAGTGCAAGACGACAGACCTGAATGGAAAGGAGACAAACTTTCCCATGGGCCAGTCGCCCCGTGGACTTCTGATGTATACCACCGACGGATACATGTCCGCCCAATTACTGAGCCAGTCACCCGAGACGCGGCCATCCACTGAGTTCTCGGTCACAGACTTTGTTGCCTACTCAGGCCGGTTCGAGGTCGTCCAGCTTCCTAAGGATGGGAACTGCCTGCGCGTGAACCACTTGGTCGCTGTAGCTTCTTTTCCGGACTGGATTGGTCAGGTTCAGAGTCGAATCGCCAGGTTCAATGATGAGGAAGGACTGATGGAGCTCAGCACTGCTAGTCCCATATTTCTGGCGGTAAGAAAATAAGCTTTCCACCACCTTGAGAACATGGGTTGTTCAATTCTTCTCTCTTTCTTTCTTTCTTTTTTCGGTTGTGCTTCTCTGTGGCCACTGTTTTCCAACTGACATCTGATCCTCTAATGGCGTGTTTTTGCAGGGAAGGCAATGCCACGCAACTCTCCAATGGCGTAAATCTTCCACCGCAGGAGGAACTGAGGCGAGTGGAGACTTTACGTCCGTGGTTTAAATCTTTAGGTTACACTTCATAGATGTTCGATAGATGTTTATGATATCTCCACAATATAAAGAACAGCGGAAAGGCTTAAATTGACGGAGTTTGAACGTCTAACTACCGACCCCAAACGCGCCCCGATTCTGTGTACCATAGTGGACAATATGAAAGCTAGGGAAATATCTAACGAGAAGTAGTCTAAAGTTCCTTACGAACCAAAGGAAAGTATTTCTTGCATTCTACACAGTTATGAGAACTAGTACGTAGTTATAGCCCCAGTTTGGCCAAAGCTACAGACAAAGACCTCCGAACTATCGAGACAAGAGACAGGAGCCTAATGCACATTATCTGCCACTCAGATTCTATATCTGAGCGATTCATTGTAATAGCCAGTACAGATTGTAGTATCAATTGTCTATTCCTCGACCCTGGTCTTTCAGCCGTAGACTTCGGTATCGCTTGAACATTGTCTTGTTAGCCAAGCCTGTTGAGAAGGGGACCACGCACTGTAGAGGTATAAGCATATATAGACAACTGACTTTTCTCAAGGTGCTGCAGGTAATGCCGGAAAGGATCCACACCCCACTCACGACAATAGATTGCTGATCAAAACACCGATGAACTTGACAATTTCAACCGTCATCACGAGTTCATTGCCTACATACCAAATGGTGTAAATGAAGTGGTTTCTGTCGTAGTCTTTGCATCTTCTGTGTAAATGCCCTTCAATGGCGGCTGTAGTTTGGAGGTGGGATCTATTATCTCCTCTTGAGAGACCAGGAAAATATTCAAGCCGCTTGTACAAAAGTTTATATCTGAGACTTAGGGTCTTGTCGTAAAGCTTAATTACTTGCTTCCCCTGTCCTTTGACAACACAAGCCAGATAAGCACAATAAACGGTAGACAATAATAATGACCGAATGGTGACAGACAACGATGGTATCAGAAATAAAAACGACCGAAAGACAAGGGCCATTGAACCAAGTTTCATGAAAGATCGGATGTCCGGTTTCCAGTTGATAACTCAACACGGACAAAATAACTATAGCATTAGCGTATACCGGTCCACCCGAATACTAGGGGGGTTAACAATCGCGCTCTGTACCGGCAAAATCCTCGTTTCTTGAAGCCCAATGCAGGTCCACCGAAGTTCTTGGGGGGTTGACTGTTGCAAATTCAGCTTAGCTTCTACCACTATTCCGTTCCTGTTAAACCTTAATCCACCCTATGTTGAATACTGAGGTGGAAAGTTTCCATAACACTGGCATTCTACAGGCGCGGAAATGTAGCAGGCTCTCACACCTCTGCTGCAGAGTTGGGCGAGATTCAACAGCGCCAAAGTATATTTATAAGCCAAGTCACCAAACAAAAAGCAGCTGGTGCGAAGTTTTTTAGATGATCCCAGTCAACCTTCCCGTCATACCCCACATTTCTTGCCCTTACCCCCGATCCTGCCAAGCAGACCCCAGTGCCCAATCCTACAAATATGCCACTCGGTATAGAGAATGCCTGTTTGGGCCCTACTTGGACTACGTGCTTTCTGGTCAGTCAGGAGGTGACAGCTTCTACGCGTTTTCGCGCCCCTCAAAGCCGGCTGGGGCTTCTCAATTGCCCATGTCCTCACCTTCCTCGACCAACAGTGTCCGATCCGATCCGCTTCAAACCATCGGCCTCTCTTCTAGCTTTTCTGGTAGCCCCAGTATTCCCCCATCCTCCATCTCCACCTGGGGCAAGGATTTCACTTGGAGATCGAACTTCAACCCCTCCAGCTGTTCCGATGAGCCTAACCTCTTCGCCTCCTCCAAATCCACCGGCGGCAGTGGTTCGTATTTCAACCCTCCTAGCTATTCTGGTGGCCGAAACCCCGGTAGTGGCTCCGCTTTCAATTGGAACTACTCTTATAGCGCTGAACGCGTAAGGCCGCCACCTCCGGGAGGAGACATCTTCAGAGACAGAGACGATCCGTTCATCCCAGCCACCCTGATCGTAAATGCCAGCCCCGGCCCCAGCTACACGAAGGCCCATGGCCCGGACATCCGACTTACACAGGATTTTCTCGGAAGCGTGGAGGACAGCATCGTGTCTCTTCAGCCCGGGCCGATCTCCGTTGAGTATCATGGACAATTCTTCAACGGCACGCTGACCCAGGCTCCGACTGGTGACTACATCATCCATGGCAAGAATGTGGACCTCAATGCCCTTGGACGCCCGTGGAAGGACTTGATAGCGTCTCCCGACGGAAAGTATACTACCGCCGACTGGAAGGTTTCTGATTCCACCGCGCTTGGGGTCGAAGGGGATTGGGAAGTGACAACGGCTAATAAGTATGTGTATGCGAGGGTGTGGATCAATAAAAATCAGTTGATCCGAGTCCGGGTTGGAAAGACCACCTGGGGCCAGTGGTTCGGGGAAATTAAGTACGCGCTTGGATTCGGAGTCGTTCACCTGGTGGTGCACCTGCTATCAACACAGTGGATTGATGTACGATCTTTGCCTTCTGTCTGTGATTGTTCACCCTGCTTTTCCGGCGTTTATTTTGCTAACGGGGTACCTAATTTGACTTACCTTCCCCAGAGAAACCTCCAGTGCATGTTAAGGAACGATATGTAGATGATATATGTGGCTAGATATGCCAGTTGCCATGGGCTTTGTATTGTCTCAGACTGGCTTCTTGAGACAGATGCTGTTGTTAGCTGTCCCACCCTGTCACGCTCTACGGAAGGAAATAGTAGAAGGACTGATAAATCCTAGCCACGGGGCTGATTACCTAAGGGTTAAGCCTCAACGGGGCGTAACAAATTACGGAAATCCCATGCTTTACGGCAAGATTTGGCAGGGATTATCGACATCGCGGCTGGCTACTGGTCACTCGGTGAAGCGGTGAGGTGGGACACGTCAGTGCCATGGTGAGCAATGATCACTCTCAGGTATCTTACTCGAAGCCCCTGGGAGGACTGGACATCAACTGAAATTCGAAAGGAGCTCACAAGGGCTCAGGAATGGGCTATTGGATTGAAGCAAGAACACGAGCGTTATCAAAGCTACAGTGTCCCAATATAACTTCTTCTGCTTGAACTACAAATAGCAATACCAATACTAATACGATCTTTAATGCAAACGCAATTTTAATTATTGACTGAAAATGCTTCAGGTAAGCTCTGCGCAAACCTTCAAGAACTTAACTCAATCAAGTCTTCATCTGTTTATGAGGAACGAGCCCCATAGATAGATATATATTTATTTTTAGTACGCGATATATTAAATCAAGAGCAGTTTAATAAGATTTCTTAATACGGAAGTATTTTGGAGGATTTATGCTAGGGTATCCAGGGCTTTTATTCTGAATAGTTCTGCCTGATAACCGCCCTTGCTTCTTGGCGATTTTGTTCAACACACAAGGCTTGACTATTCATAATTCCTTTCTGTTAATCATGTTGTGACTAGTTTTCCTGAGGTTTAAAAATCTTGTTTTTCATGATTATATAAAGGCTAGCAAAGAGTCGATGTTTTCTGTCCGTTAGGATTGGCAGCAGCTCATAGGTATCCTTCTTGGAATGCACCGATCGTCTTGTATTTCCGTCAACCACTAAATTATTTTGAGTCTAGAAAATTATTTATGCATTGGGGCATGTATCGTGTATTATTTTTATTCACTTATTTAAAAAGAATATGAAATGGGGGAGAGAATGAAGTAAAGTGAAAGAAAGGGAATAAACATGACACCTGGGATTGCTGGCATTTCTCTCGAAATGGCCTAAGTTACTGGAAATCAGACCCCTATTTCCCCCCCCCCCAGCCGCATAGAAAAGACTCAAAAAACAAGAATAGATAACAGCAGCAGGTAGGGCACCAAGTGCGAATCGGCAGAAAGCGGGGAAAGAATAATCTAGAGGACTTGGAAACTGAACATGAAAAAACAAACATCCCCGCACGCCAAAAGGGCACGGCGAGCCTTAGACCAAGCCACGGTGGCGACGTTTCTGGTGGTCACGTAGGTGATCTTTCCTACCAAAACATCTGCCACAGTCTGGACAGGGATATGCATCAGGGGAGATGTGGATCGATTTAAGATGGCGGACAAGATCCCCTTCGCTGCTGAAACGTGTGGCGCTGAAACAGCCTTGCCATTTGCACTCCAAGATTGGTGAGGTATGGGCACTACATGAGACAAAAGGTATTCTACCATTAATCTTCCATGCTGACACGGTCCTCCAGGGATGACATACCTTTGCGCAGTCTGGCGCTGTTGGTGGCTCGTGGCGTTATTGGCCGCACCCAAGGCGGAGTTTGTGTTTGTGTTGGCACCAATCCGGTCCGGCCGAGGCTGACTACTGGAGGTGTACAACGCAGCAGAAGAATCGGCAGCTATTTCGTCATAGGCAGGATGGGCTGGTGCGGTCAGCGCCACGCCCCCTTGTAGTGGAATGTTACTGCCATCAGCAAGACCAGTCTGGTTGGTTGTCCAGCCATACGGCTCGACACTACGGGGAAATTCAACACCCGAGGTAAAATCCCAGTTTGCATGACCTGCAGGGACGAAAGAAACTGGCTGCGACCCTGGAGCTGCAGGAGATCGGGAGAAAAAGAAAGGATTGACAGAAAGACTGCCTGGGTGATCGTCTTCTTGGGACGCCTGGAAAGCGCTGGTCGGCCACTCCATGGTGATCTCGGATGAGTAGAGGCAAAGAAGTGATTCAAGTCGAGTTTTGTCAGGGTTGGATGCCCTGAAAAAGAACTAGAAAGGAGTCTCTATATATACACAAGTAACATAGAGACCTTCATGGGTGGGCGTTTCTGTATAGACTGGCTCGCGCCATAATTAGACGCATCTTGATGCACCGTCAAATGCTAACGTTGGGCATGCAGGAAGGGTGGACCCAATATTATGGAATGGACCAATCTCTGGTGTTGATAGCAAGGAAGAATGCCACTAGTCACGCCGCTGCGCCTTTGGCAATACTGCAATCTCTGTAGCTCTTGGAAGTTCCCCCGACTCGGTGAAAGAGTGGATCGATATTTTAGAATGTACCAATAGATTGAAGTGCTCCGGCAAGGTATCTTGCCAGGCACGCCTTAATTTCCAAGGCTATTGCTCCGTCGTGCCTTTCTAATTCCTTAGCTCCGAGTGCAGCCTAAGAAGATCGTACCCCATATAAGTACCAGGCTGACTTCCATCGAAAAAGTCTTTTTCTTTTCGTCGTGAAGCATAGAACTACGACATCCGACCATGGACGCAATCTGGGAATCCTACCGCTTTGAGCTGGAGCGTCTCTATATCCATGAACACCACACGTTAGGCCAAGTTATGGAATATATGGAGTCTATGTACGGGTTCAATGAAAAGTAAGTGTGATGTCAGCAGGCTGCGTCTACCGACACAGGGAATCTCACATGGATATAGGAAGTCGCAATACACAAAGTACCTCGACAAATGGGGACTGCGAAAAAATCTGTCTCTGACTGAGTCGCAAGGGACGTTCATCGGCCGGAGAATCGACAAGAGAAAGAGGGAATACCAGAAAGAGAGCGAGGTGTATATCAACGGAGTTGAATGGCCCCCGGCTAAGGTTCAGAAGTCACGGTACAACAAGACTTATGTTTCAACTGTGGATGGCCTACCCGGGGGTGCGTTTGCATGCCACCACAACCTACTCGGATGGACCCAAGGCAGCTGACTATATCATAGCTCCTTCCCCAAACACCCCAGAAGGGATTGTTGTATGCACACCTGCGACACCGGGCATGCGACTTATATGGAACCCGTCCCTTCCATGGCTGCAATTCTCCAAGCTGCTAAAGCATGGAGGAGACAATGGTATGAGCTTTGGGCTATCTCCACTCCTGTCAGGGTTAACTTAAACTGTTATATAGATCCTTCGTCACCATCCTCTACCCTAAACATGGCGTCGCCGCAATCACCTGGAGCTTTGGCAATCAAAATAAACCCAGAATTGATGCAGCGACTAACCGCGATTGTTCCTTGGAAGACGCTGTCGAATCCACCCAATCTCAATAGCCTTTCCCGAATAGTGGCCGGACTCAGCATCCTGATGCCCGAAGAGTTCCCTGGCCAAAACCGTACCCTCGCCACAAGATTATGCAGCACTCTACGAACGACAACGGAGAGCCTTAACCTGGAATTGTTTTTACTATCCAATAACCTCATTGCTCATGGCCCAGCTGGCAAATCCGAACAAAGTATGAACGACCATGACAGAAATGTTATGAAGTTGTTCAGCATGTCTGGCTGGAAGAACAGGAAGCAGATTGACATCTTACTAGCCACCCATCAACCGACTGCAGAGGCCATAGCAGAGAAGCTGTTTGCCAGTGCTCTTCGCCTCCGTGATCTAGACACCGTGAGCATGATGCTAGAGGCTGGGATGGACCCAGATAGCCGCGTCGACACATTTCACAGTGGACCTCTGACGTGCTTACAAATTGCTGCGAACATGGGACCTCTCGCAATCAAGGTCGTCGAGCTCTTCCTATCTCACGGGGCTGATATCGACTTATCATATAACGGCTATCCTTCCATTTATTATGCAGTTAGTAGAGGGAATCACGAGGTTTCAAGATTATTCCTCTCGCATAATGCAATTGTCACGCCATCTTGTCTTGCAATCGCTGCGGTACAGTCTGACGTGAGCCTCTTCAGGCAGGTGCTAGATCGAGCTACCGACGTGAATGCACGAAGCGGATGGCAGGATCCCAGCGCCTTGGCGCAAGCAGTATCCTATCGAAATCTTACGATGGTCGATCTTCTTGCTAGAGGGGCAGATATGAATACAGCGTTGGAAATTGATTTTGACCAAGACGTCGGTGTGACCACAGTCCTGGGGCTTGCAGTCCGCACAAAAAGGTTGGAGATTGTCCAGAGAATTCTCCAGGCTTGCGTCAATCCCAACCCCAATCTCGACGGGCTGCCTTACGTTTCACCTCTTGCTCTAGCCGTTGAGGCCTCTGATACGAAAATAACCCAGATTTTGCTTCAAGCGGGTATTGACGTTGAGATTGCAGAGAAGTGTTCCAAACTATCACTTCTTGAACGTGCTCTAAAGAGGAAGAATGTGGAAATCAGCAGACTCCTGATAGATTATGGGGCTAGGTTGCACATGCCTCATGCTCATGAACAGAAGAGCTCCTCAGCTCTCCTCCTTGCCGTCCAGCACGGGTATTACGACATTATCGATATGTTAGTTCAAGGTGGGGCACCATTGAATGAATTTCACGGTGATGCACCAGGAACTGTGCTTGCAGCAGCCATTGAAAAAGGAGATGTAATCCTGATCCTCAAGCTGGAGTCCGCCGGGGCTACATTGGTCGGGCCAAAGCTGCGAAAAATCGGAAACTTGGAAACCGGAACGTTCTTAGAAGCAACGGGAATGCTGCAAAACATCCTTGCCGAATCTGGAGGACCGATCTTGACACGCGCAATTTTTGATGAAGACCGTGATTTGATAAAGTGGCTGTTTGCTCATAATATCAATATCGACGGACATTCCACTGAGCCTGGCCCCCGGGATTCCTCAGGATTTCCACAGACGCCGTTGCAAGCCGCAATCCAAACAAGAAACATTTCCTTCGTGGAGGCGATGATTGCGCGTGGCACAAAGGTGATCGACCGTGACCTTGCTGCGGTGGTGGATGGTGGTCACATTAGTCTGCTGCGCCGCCTTCTGACCGGTTTTCGCGGATTGGCTCCTACTGCGATTGGATGTGCGATTGTAGGTGAGCAGCAAGAAGCCTTACAACTCATCCTTGAGGCAGGCGCAGACCCAACAGGGCCACCACAACTGTTCTACGGCGGATGGTATCAAGACGATGGCCTTGACTTTGAACCCGAGGACCCGCAATCGGTTCTTGAAATAGCGGCACAAAATAATGACAGATCCAGTCTTCGAGCTCTTGTTCAATCTTGTATCTGGGACAAACGACATATCGGTCGTGCATTGACAATCGCAACTGCCTTCCAGCATACTCGGCTCATAAATGATCTTTTGGATCTGGCGGTGGATACAAATCAAGAGATCATCATCCATTACCCCGACAGGTTTGATGAATATGATGAAGAAATCTCAGGGTGGGATGAGGTTCTCACCCCTCTACAGGCGGCGGCTAAGAACCAGCTATTGTCCACAGTTCAATGGTTGATTAAAAGCCCGCATACCAATATTGAATATCTAGGTGAAGGCGTGGGTCGACGCACGGCTTTACAACATGCAGTTAACAACGGAAACATGGACCTGATCAACTTACTTCTGGATCATGGAGCCGATGTCAACACTGCACCATCAGAGGATGGCGGAGCAACCGCATTGCAGATTGCTGCCATTCAAGGCTACCTAGGAATTGCGCGCAAACTCATCGACCTAGACGCGGATGTCAACGCCGCTCCTGCAAGACGCAATGGCAGAACGGCCTTAGAGGGAGCGGCAGAACACGGTCGAATCGATATGCTTCGACTCTTACTTGATGAAGGGGCATTGCTGGTGGGCGATCACGGTGAACGGCAATGTCGGCGTGCCGTGGAACTGGCTGAGAAAAATGGACATATAGCTGCCGCGAAACTTTTGAAATCATTCAAGGACCGCGTAGGAAAGAGCGGCAATTGAAATTGGCCAACTCCCACGACGCGATGACCTGCATCACTGTATTTTCGGGTATTACTTTTCATGTCTTGTATCTGTTCTCAATCCCCCAATAATCTTCTGCACACTACAGATCCATATGGCAATCGGAATATTTTTGTTCAATAATCCTAAGATGGAATTCAACACGATGTTTAACCGCCCTCTAAGATCAAAGCTACTGAACATGTAGCTTTAGTTGTCATTGCCAGTATCAATCACTATAACTAGAGTGCTTCTCGCGGGGAAGAAGCATCCAAATAATGATCAAAGTCGCCAGCAATGCGAGTACAAAACCCTGCAAGCTCTGCATGCCGCGCGCACCAGATATAGTGCCGGCGACGAATGGTAATCTATAGTGGACAGTAGCAATCAATCAGTTCTGAGAATCACTCTAAGAAGGTCGAAAAGCATAAAACAGGGTCAGGTCCAACTTACATTGCGCCTCCTCCACCAGCCAATGATGACACGAGTCCGATCCCCGGGGCGTGTAGGTGCTTAGGAAGCAGTTTAGCAGCTATTACCAGAGCCGCGGGAAAGAGAGGTCCTGTGAAGAAGCCAAGAAAAGTCACTGCAATAGCAGAGACGGTAAAGTTTGGCACCGACCAGAGAATAAGCTCGAGGGCAATCGAGAGAACAAGGTAAATAGTGATCGAGGTCCGTTCTCCTTCACACTTCCCGTCAGCACTGATCTACAGGATCTAGATCTGAGGGAAGCATACCCAGCCAGTCATTTACAAATCCAAGAACTAGTCGTCCGAGGGTCACGCCAGCCCAGAAGCCGGTAGGAATGAATCCAGACTCGTAGTAGCCTCCGCCTCGGACTTGGACCATGAGATCTACAATCCAGCCGCCAACAGACACTATCGGAGTCAACGGTCAGACAAGAGGGTCTGTTAGGAGCCATTCTAAACGCGACTCACCTTCGACACCCATATACACGAATAACCAGACGGCCATGATCCAAGTAATTGGGCTTTTCATAGCCTCCATGGTTCGACCGCCGCCACTGGCATCGGCACTCTTACGGTTTTCTCGACGAAAACATGTTGCGTCGGCGTGCTAGAACGTAGCTACGCTAGCCATAAGTTCCAAGACGGAGCCACCTAATAGGGTATAGTAGAAGAAGTTTCACCGTAAACCAGTTTTGATCATTTCCGTTACGATCGTTAGGCTCAGCGTGGCCCTATTCAGATCATTGATTAGCATTGCAGATTCTAGGGACATTGAAGCACGGGGCTACTACTAACCCCAGTCCATAAAATGCGCCAAGAAATCCCATCAAGGCATTCGCATTGATCATATCCGCGGTCCAAGAATTCCACGCTGCGTCGACGAGGCCGTTTCCGAGACCCACAATAATATAGGCGACGAGCATAACCGGAAAGGGCGGGTGGATAGCCATCACAATAAACGGGAGAATATGACACAGGGGGCCGATTATCGCGATGCCTCGCTGGCCAAATGTCATCAGCGTCTTGTTCACGATGATTGTAGCTATGGCGTAGCCGGCAAACGGGGTTATGAAAATCAAGGAAACAACTGTAATAGAAAGCTTGTAGTCTTCTTGGAGCTCCGTGATGTCAGCATTCTACCTTTCTGATAACAGAAATTCCAGACATACATATAGGATCAGTGCCTAAAGCACAAGTTAGCTTTAATACTTCATTATACATGCAGAGAGTAGTAAGGGAAGGCAACTTACGCTGTAGACTTCATCACTAACTCCTACCAATACAAAACTGATAAAGGTAGCTAGCAGATGCTATTTGTTAATTTGGGGGTTATTCCATTTTTACTTTGCCCAAACTACTGCATCTATATCCGGGTTGAATGATTGCTGGCTCAACACCTGGGTCTGCTCTTCGCGAGAATCAAGCTAAAGCGTCGTAGACATAATGCGATTCTATACAAGATAGAATCAGAGAGATGCAGTGGGGCAACAAGAGAATGGTTGAAGTAGTGAAGGATTATTGCCCGCAGGTGGTCATGGACTTATTAGGACCGCTAACCCCCAAGCTAGATCGGTATACCTTGATCCACCTAGGTCAGTGACGTGCGCTTCACTCATACCCCTCATTTGAAGAAGGTATCGTTTGACGAAATATTCCACCATCTGCTCAAGTTATTGGGCAAGCAATGCCTTTTTGTGGGGTGCATACTACTCTTCTTTGTTAGCAGTCGCAGGGGTTGTGAGTCACATATGCATCGTGCCAACCACCATGTGTAACCAGGCGGTGACTAACCCTCGTTTCGATGAGAGACATCGGGCATCATGCCTGAGATCTCCCCAAGGTAGAATTTGTTTGACTGTTATTGGAGTGGGGTGTTTCCCATGCTTTCCTGCCCTTAGGGTTTGAATCCTGAGCCTCAATTCGTCAACAGATCAGCTTAAACAAATGGACAGCTCGAAAGGCAATAGAACGCTGGGATCGAGTCATGTCCTAAGTAGCTCATGCTGCTTGGTTTTTATCCTACAGTCATCTCTCCATTTAGGGACTAAACTGACAGTTTTCCAGGTAAAATCAAGGCCAATCATGCAGAACCAAGAGACTAGACCCTTTCCGGTAGATGAACTTCTTGGAAAGAAGAAAAGCAAAATTTCACAGAAGCTCAACAAATGCAATGAGATTGAAGATATCTTAGCTCCGCAAGCAGCCTTCATGTCGTTGAGTCCCAGTAGAGCCTTGTGGTCGAAGCCCAACCTATTGATCCAGTCAATCGCTCGCTGATTTGAGAAGTTTATCAAATTCAACCTGACCACATGAAGTGTTTAACTACAGGGTTTTTAATATCTTGGTCTGTCAAACAGGGCCCCGTTGATGACAGGAGAGTCGTTTCAAGTGCTGGTCAAGAATGACGGGCTACTGAAATTTATAATTCCACCAACGCAAAGAGCTCGAATGCTTGCTACTGAGAAGTTTTCATATTAACAATGTATAAATAGGAGTTAAATAGGCATTGAGACTCAATTCAGTGTCTTCAAGCTAGATGGGTTATTACATTACATACAAAGTAATAGTATAGGGTAGTGTACATATAAAGAGAAGTACCAAGACACAAAAATACCAACAGACCAAACACCAACGCAACGCTCGGTCTAATTGCACTCTTCCGTGCTCAGTACTTGATGAAACAGATGGTGGAATGGATAAAGGGGATGTTTGGTGGACATTAGCTGTACGGAGCGACGCGAGGCCGCAATAGCCTCGCGAAGATCTTCTTCTGCGCCGGTCTGTTCGTAGCGTTCGTAGAGACGTCGCGCGTGACTGCAAAGATAGATCGGGAGGCTGGGATCATCAGCGGACGTGATGTCCAATGCGATCCGGATCACCTCGAGCGCTTTGTCGATATCGCTCGGCTGCCGCGTCATCCTGTACCGGGCCCCTAACCAAAACGCGAGGGTGCTGCGGTGCATCGCCACAACTTTGGTATCGCCGGGATTGATTGACTGTGTAGTGACAACCGCTTCGACAGCGGCCCGGACAGCCAAATTGAGATCCGCAGGGTTGCCTCCGTCCAGAAATCGCTGTCCCAGCAAGTTCGCCAGATAGTCCAAATACCGCGGTTTGGCCGATGACGGGGAGACCAGTTGCACAACGCTGAAGATGTCCTCAATAGCCTGGCTGATGGCCTGGGCATCCTTGGTGCGCTGGTACTGTCTTTCAAGGACAATCGCACGTTCATGCAAGGCAGCCGGGCGGCCGGGATGACCGGTAGGCGTGACGGCGACAGCTTGGTCGGCCTCACGCATTTCATTTCCAGTAATAGGAACGTCATGATGCACCGCATCCCAGAACCGCATGTTCAAACCCTGATCGAACGTAGCCAGTCTCTGGGTCAATTGCGGGTGGCCGCGGCGTGTTCTCTTGAGAACCTGCTCTGTCAGATCAGCGCAATAGTTGAGGTCGGCTCTATCGCCCAGTTGACAGTATCGGGCCATTAGGCTTTGACTAACCGCGGTGAGAAGGTCATCGCGCGCCGGGCTTTTCGCGGGGAGCATTTCGACAAAAGTCTGGACGTCGACAGAAGACGGCGTTCCAGAGCAGCAAAACAGGGGGAGGGCTAGCTTGAACCGGAACTCTGGGAATAGCTCTTTGATCTGATCGATCAGAATTCTTTCATCTCGTCCGTCGGACACCTGGGCTGACCGGCCTTTTGTCTGTCCCGGTGCCTCGTCTTTCTGGTCGCCAGCTTGCTCCATTACATGTCCCTCTGGACGACCCTCTGCATTCTCCCCAGTCTCCTTGAAGCCTTGTGCGGCATCCACTTTAGCCTCTTTTTCTGTGTTATCTTCTGTATTCTCTTCGGTCGTTCCTTCGAGTGACTCTTCGTGCTCTTCCAATGGCTGTTCAGCATCTTGCCTGGCCTCCTCGTCCATCTTATCAGACCCTGCCCCTGTCTGACGCAGATCATCGGATTCCTCCGTCTGCTGATCAGGCTGTTCGACTATAGGCTCCTCTGCTTGAGCCTCTGCATTCTCTCCTGTCTCCTTGATGTCGTGCGCAGCGTCCACTTCAATCTCCTTTTCAGCCTTATCTTCCTTCTTTTCTCCGGTTGTTTCGTTAAGCGGATCTTCGTGCTCTTGTGACGACTGCTCGGAATGGGCGTCGTGTTCGTCCGTCGTGTCCGACCCTGCCTCTGCCTGGCTCAGAACCCCGTTTCCCTTCGTCTGCCCTTCAGCTTGTTCCATCACGCGTCCCTTTGCCTTGTCGGATGAGCGGTGGGAATTCTTGACGTGAACCACCCACTTGGCAAACGCATGCTCTGCAAATACAAACGACTCTCGGCACCACTTGTGGTACTGTCTCCTTGTGTAAAACGGCGCTTGGACGTACGCCTCGATCGACATGAACCTATTCTTTCTAATGAACGGGAGCGATTGATAGGCGAAACAGCTGTGGGCCATCGTCTTGTGACAGGACTCAATCGACAACTGCTCCAACCAGGCGGGCCTTTGTGTCGGTTCTTCCACAAGGAGGTAATCCCTGACTGTCTGATGGGCAAAGTAGATGCGATTGTTGTAAACGTCGAAGAACGGTCCGCAGGTGTCGCGAAGCCAGCTTTCAAAGTCCTCGGCAGGCAAGCCCAGATCGTCTTCCCGATCACAGTTCGTGCAGTCATCGATGTGAAGAGCGAGTGCAATGGCCATCTCCCGGACGGTGAGTGGTTTGGTCGTGGCGAGTACTAGTTCTAGCATGATTCGCACGTCGTCGCGGTTGCTCTCGGGGATCTGGTCCAGCAGCGCCCGGTAGATCTCGATCACGCTCTTTGGCAGGTGATCGACTGTGCGTGACCAGTAATTTGTCCCCGGTCGGACAGGAAGAGAATAGAGATAGGCGAATAGCAGGTCGGCAAACAAGTAGCTCGCGCTGTCGTGGACTTTCAGGTGCCGGAGTAATTTCGATTTTGTGCCCTCATCGCGGACACATCTCTCACGGGCGAAGCATTCCACCCGATCCTGCGCCACCCGGGCGATATCGCCGATGATAGATTCACGACACTCGGCGTCCTCACCAAGGTTGAGAATGGTGCCGTTCGTTAGTCGCTCGAGGAGGCCGGGAACGGGACGGGTCGTGAGAAGGAACTTCACGTTAGAGTCAGGGAACCTGGACTGGAACCGGTTGAGTCGTTCCAGGGCAGTCTCCAGATGGGCGTTCTTGCACTCATCCAAAGCATCCAAGACTACGGTCACCCGCCCGTGGGGAGTCCCCCGACTGGCAATCCCAACCAGTTCCCAGAACAGGTCCGAGTCGGGTCGCACGCTGTGCCGCGTAGCCTGTTCTGCCTTTTCTTCCACATCGTCCAAATGGGAACACTGCTGTAGGGTGCTGTTGAGGACTTCATACATGGCAGTGCTCAAATTATTATGCTCGCCACCGTCTTTAAAGAAGAAGGAGCAGAGCGATGTAGGGCGTACTCGGGCAGCTCCGTCAAGAGATACTTCGCGAGGACCGACTTGCCCGTTCCTGGCTCCCCGGTAAGGACGAGGAGTCCACTGTCGGCGTTGCTCCAGGTGGTAAAGGTCGGGTGGCTTAGCACTCCATGCCCGGTGTTGATATGGGGGTTGGCAATCTGGTTCACGTAATCGTGGTACGTATCGGAGTGGGACAGTCGGGCATCCGGCATGATCCTATCCATCAGGTTGGCTCTCCGCTGGGCGACCGAAAAGACGCTGGTGATGTTCTTAATATGCTCGCCCTGTCGGGCACCTTCAATGAGCGCACGTTTCAGCGACCTGCCGCTATGCGTGTGTATACACCACAGCAGCTCTGTTTCGGCCGCCTGGATTTCGGCGAGCATGGCCTCCCAGTTGCCCCATTTGGCCAAATTTGGTTCAAACCGATAGGTGGAGTGGTCGTAGAAGCGAGCACTGGCGAGGAGATAGCGGATGACCAGTTTGTACAGCTCGACGACCTTGGCGGTCACTGCTGCTTGCAGCGCTGGCGTCTTCCACGAACCCACTGTCGGGACCTTGGTTAGTTCCGTGTACCAGGGCATCCTGGATATCACGTAGTTGATGCCCGGTTGCAAATCGGCCTTCTGGACGTTGCTGATGATAGTCTAGACATGCTTAGCATCACATCAAAGGGAAGGGTGGCCTCGCATACCGGTGCAACGAGCAAACAAGCTGCCAGCCATGCGGTCGACGAGGCGGGACAGGTCTCCACCATGGTTTCAATGGTGGACTTCATCTTGTCGATAGACAGTGCGACAAAGGACAACATCTTGCGCCCGTACGAGTATCGTTCAAAGGCCTCACAGCCACGGGTCACGAGGGCCTCGATTAACGCACGCCGAGAGACCTCATCCAAGCGTGATATCCAGCCTGAAGGGTTTCTGTCCAGGCCATGGGCATGTTCCGGGCTGATGGGACGAAGAGCTGCCCCCAATACATGTTCATAGTCGGCGATGACGGCAGCGGTGGCAGGCTCGGTCCTCAGCTGGATGTAGGCCTCATCCCAGACATCGCGACTGGTTTCGGAAGGACTACCTACGTCGTCATCCGGGGAGTCCAGATTGGGGAATACAACAGTCGTCCGGATGGAGTCAGGCCTCGACCTTAGGGACAGTCGAACCTGGCGAAGGGGCATGATGTTTGTTGGCAGAACGTCACAGAGACGATCATTCTCCAGAAAGAAGATTGGGGAAAATCCTCAACGAGATAAACCAAGCCGCCATCGGAAAAATCCTCCCCTTGAAATGATGAAATCCACCCTTCCCAGTGGAACAGTCATCTCTAGTCCTCTATCATGAAACGCACCATTTGCCGGCAAACGTGGGTCAATCGGCACGGAAGGAGTCCGCGGTGAGCCAGCAAGCACCAGTGAGCTGGTGCGCACGAACTCCCTGCTCATCCGGTCCTTTCGGGCTGGCGGGGTGCGAGATCGATCCGGTAAAGACTTTCGATCGGGTCCACTAAGTCGGAAAAAGATTTGTGATTGTGATGGGATTCTGATTCATGAATCAACCAGGAGATCGGAGATTCCATTCCTATCTGCAGTCAGAAACTCGGAATGTTTAATAATCAGCGCATGCGAGGCGAATTGTTGGCGGTGACAATTACTGGATATAACATGTCAGCGATGAGCGCTACACAGGCAGACTTCAATCGGAGCGGAGATGAAGAGAGAGAGAGAGAGAGAGATTGGAGGTTTGCAAGCGAGCTGAAGCCGTGGCTCCGTGTGGGTCACCTGAGACCTAATCTACTCCGTACATCTGGCCAAGTCGTTCAACTCACGTATTTCGGTATTCCATATAGAATGGCCATTTTTTCTAAGCTCAATATCTCAACAGCCATGATCTCTAAGGATACTCAATCTTGCTGTGCTAAGCATCGGTAATTTGAAGATTCAAAAATGAAACCAGCTTTTGCTAGCAGCCAGTAAGCCTAGTAGATGAGAATAACGATTCTTTAATACTGATCCCGCTGCCAAGACAGCATAGAACCAAAAGAATCTTTATTCGTATTGTCCGTCTTCGAAAGCGAGAATATACCTGGATAGGCTCAGAAATAGCATTTACAGCAGATAATTATTCGAAATAGTCTTTCACAGTTAGTGCCAGAAGGTGCCTAATTGGGATGGAATTCCGAGGAATTGCCCCACGTCTCAGCTCGTGGATGTCGGCCCGTAAAACACACTGTCATCGCACACCATCTGGTGTATTGAAATTGTAGGGGGCTTAATTAAGAGATTGTATGAATATATATAAAATTATAATATGATTATAATTTCTTTAGCAATAATTTATGATATTGTTAAATATATATAATAAACTAGCCTGCTTTCGTGTTTCTGATTTACTTAATTTAAGGACAATCATAAGGAGGAGGCCTGTTAGGGGTGCTGTGGGGTTATATATAATCTTCTAGCAAGAATAAGCATATGTCAATAGATGCCGCGGGGACTTATTTCTTAAGACAAGGAGACTTTTTGCATAGATTGGTACCCGCTACATTCAATATTAGTAGTCTATCTCTGGTAATCCCTGGGCTATCTCATATTGACAACAGAAAGCGCTTCTTACGGGTTTCCAGTCTTGCTTTGGCAAACCTCCTTTAGTCTCCCTATCTAGAGATTGTTTACTTCGGATGCCACCAATCATCGGGGTATTGAATAATGTTTCCTTCTTTGCAATTTGTCTCATAACATGTGAATAAAAGAAATCCGGCATTCCAGCATCACAACTTCAAATGAGCCAACATGAACGGTCGAGCAGGTGACCACATTCCAAGTTCCCAACTAGAGATCGTCTTCACAGCTGGCAGTCTGGATTCCATCAAGCTGCAGTTTCTCAATAACCTCATCAGCAGTCATGTAACCGGGAATCAAGACACTCTGTTCCATTCCATTGCTTTCATAGAAGATTGTATCCGGCTCTGCACATTCTTCGTGCTGAGAATATTCGTCCTCATCCATCTCGCATTGAGAGGAAAGACCAGTAAGCCATCTGGCAGAGCGACCTACGCCATTGGCTGGAGTGTGGCAAACTCGGCCAGCTCTGGGATTTTGAAAGGTACGAATATCTCCCCGGCATTGGTTTCCCGTCCATGATCTCCCACGACTGAATAAAGACAAGGGAATGACATATTAGCTTAAATATGAACATTGGAGGTCAGGGAAATTAGGGGAAAGGACATGGCTACCTGTTATTCGGCAGTGTGAAGAGAAAACTGGCTTGACGATTCCGAAGATTGCAGCATCTGTTCTCTTGGATGTTTGTGCAGCATGTGCTCATTCCGGTGCATCGGGGTCCAGTATGTCCGCAGATATCAGCAGCAGAGGCAAGAGGTGCAATAAGGATGGTGGCAAGTATGAGGAACTGCATTTTGCTTGCGAGTAGGCTGGAAGGTACGTAACAGAGATTTAGACAGTTGTGTGTAAGATTTGTCCTCAGTACTATACTTCTCGGAATGTTCGAAGTGAGCGTCGGCTTTTTATGTCTTTTCTGACGCCATTATTATCGACTTACCCTAACCTGTCAGTCCTCGGCCATACTTGATGAACTTCCTTCTCATTCGATGCTGGGCAATTGTTTCACGAATACGAATAGCACAATAATCCGTGATGGGCCTTATCAGAATCATAACCTTGGCAACTGTCCATCGAGTTCAACAATGGTATCACAATTGTTTCACCAATATAATAATCTGCGATCGTCTGGTCGGAATGACAATATTGCCAGCTATCTACCCAGTCTAACAGTAATATCACAATTGTATCACGAATACGAATAACACTATAACCTATGATGGTCCTTGTCAGACTCATGATCTTGGCAACGCTTAAAATCTCGACTGCTTAAATTTCCGTCATTCAATACTACTATTGCTTCTCTGATATAAATTATTCTCGACTAATTAAACGATGACGCTTTCGATTAACATATCCTCGTTATCTGGTTTTCCTTTTTTCCTTTTTCCACTCTAAGGATTTCTCAGCATACCCTTCTTTGAGCAGAATATATAAGTGAAATATCATTAGCCATACTTCGTGGCCATGCCTCAGGATACACTGCAGGATGACGCTGGTATAGTCCAGCCACTTGACTAGATCTGTAAAAAAAAGTGTAAAGATTCGAACTTGCAGGACATTCTTTCTGCCGTGGTAGTCATAGTTTATCTCTTCGTGCTACTTTATCTTCGATCTTGCATATCTCAAGTCTGCCACTCACATCCTCCCATTTATCATGGCTTTCGTACATTTACTATATGAGGTCAGAGCTTTACTCATGGAAGCCCACTTGTGTAACCCTAGAATGTGGCTGGGCGAAGCCTTACACCGCGCTGGAGGAAGATCGACAATGTATCAGGATGAACAAGGATATCGTGGCTTCAGAGCCCGGTCCCTTTTATTTCCCGTCTTTATGATATCCGCCTTATACGCCTAACAAGTATGCACTACAGCGGACATGTATTCTAGTCTACGAAGTATCGCCATGTGACCTATAGCTAGGCACAGATTTCCATCGTGGTCTACATTCTCTAGTCGCCATTATTATTGTGCAAGCTAGACAGGTCTGAGCTAGATCTCATGGCTACGCTATGCATTACAGTCTTGGCTCAAACCCTGCGCTAATAGATCAATAACTTTACCAGATCTCACGGTAATCTCCGTTACCCCCGAGAGCATTTGGTCCACGACGGGAACAAAAGTTTAGAACATGACGACGACATCAACAATTTAGTACCCGAAATCGTTGCAGTAGTCCTGGGCTCCCTGTCACCAATGTAGACTTGACAAGCTTGTTCATGACCGTTGGTCGCTTCAGTGTTCCTTTTTTTGTCTTGTACATTTCGCGGTATTGCTATGTGAATGTGAAGGAATTTGCTACTTAAGGCTTTCGATTCACCAATGGTTTGAGATTAAGTTGAGGGATCAATTCTGTATTTTGTTCGATTTCTCTTTCTCACTCAAACAGAATTCAGAATGCATCATTTTCAAGAAGAAAAAAAGAAAAAATCAGATACCTGGACTGTTAAGATCGACAGTCTTACATCCGAGCTGTGGGGCTATACCTAGTCGTCTGGCAATAATGAGTATATGCAGGCGGACTCCGCGTGCGCTCATCCACAAAGAGATCCGGATATTTCCCATATGGATTAGCGCCCTCCATGTTCAGTGTCGGTAGTCTACCTCCTGTGGTTCCTGGACTATGGAGATCCGGTCTGAGGAGAACTCCGGACCCTTCGTCGCGGGCTCTCCGAAACACATCTTTCACTTGGCCTTCGACTAGCTCCCATGCATGTCGCTCGACTGATATTCTGCCTCTTGCATCTGTACCGAAATCCACCTCTGAGCGCTTGGTCTTGACGTTTTCCCGGTACCATCCGACCCGGGTGCTGAAGCCGGCAGCGTAGCTGTTGAAGTCTCGTTCGTTCTGGCGCTGGATCTCGGTTCGCAGGTGTTCTTTTCTGGTCGCGTCGGTTTCGTTGTCGTATGTGTCGTATAGGCTGCTCTTGCGGGAGAATGCGATGTTCACTTCCTTATTGTCTCGTGTTGTTCCTACAAAGTTGACATGGTATCCCTTTTTGACGTCGTTGGGATCGAAATCCATTCGCGCGGTGAATGATGAGTAGTGTGCGTTGGTGAGAGTAGCTGTCACTCCTAACGTTGCCCATCCGGGCCCTCTAAAGTCCGGGTTAAATCGATGGTCAATGTGCGATTGGATGGTCATGTTGGCGATGGGATCTGTCTGTGTTGCTGCTTTTTTAGGACCAGGCCGGAATGCTTCCCTCAAAGCCTCCTGGAATGGATCACCGGCCCATCGGTGCTGCTCTGGGGCTCGGTTCCTGCCGCCACTGTCGTTGAAGTTGATCGGGTCATTGCTAACATAAGCGTAGAGGTTGAGGCCGTCGACGGTACCCAGTGGGTCGGGGGATGTCCAGCGCCCTAGCCAGCTGGCATAGTATCTCTCGCCGCAGAGATAGAGTCCACTTTCGTTGTCACGGTGGTAGGCTGCAAATCTATACTTGCGTGGAGCTTCGATAGTGCGCGCTTGATATGTGCTAGAACCGTAGGGGGAGTATTCTTCGTAGGAAATCACCTTGGCGGTATCATCTAGTTCTAGGTTGTCGCTTATTTGGTATCGAAGTAGCCGCTGCGTAGTTGTGGTATCAGTCTGGGTATTAGCTTCAATAATAACCAGTGGAGTGCCGGAAGTGCTGAGACTGCCCACGCTGGTTGAGCAAGTCCTCCGCACTTCAGATTCGCCATTGCCCGCATACGTGATAGAGATGTCACAGAAAGGGAGGCAGAGGGTCTCTTTCAGCCTCGCTCCTGTGTCTCTCACAGTTACTTTGCGGACTCGCTTGCCTTGTGAGTTGTAGATGTACCATGTTCTCTCTGGCGTGCCACCTTCGCTGACTCTCTGTGTGCTGAATGAGCGCAGCTGATTGTTATGATCCCAAGCCAAAGAATATCCCGCCATATGCGTCATGCACCCGTTGAGTCCTGCATCGTCAGCGTACTCGTAGAGATCTGTTGCTGAGCCGACTTTGGAGCTCTTCAATCTATTATTGTCCGCTTCATAGGTGTAGGTTCGTGTCCATGGCGAGTACATGGGATCAGATGCTGGTTCATGCTTTGTTTCCATGATATTGCCAACAGCGTCGTACTTGTACGTTTCGCAGTATTCAATCAATTGGCTCCCGTCTCCAGGAATCCCGTTTGGCTGTCCCAGCGTAGGACCATAAGGGACCAAGCGATGCCCCGGCGCATCGACTTGCTCTCGACCCGTTGCCGAACATAGTTGACCTAGGGCATCATACGTGAATTCTTGATTGGCCTTCACAACTTGGTTATTGAAGTAGATGGTCTGTTGGGCTTTGTCGGTCTTTTGAACAACCTTCCCAAGGCAGTCATATGTGTAGGAAATGTCCTGAAAGACAGTACCATCAGCCCGGGTGATTTGGGTCCTCGCCAGCCTGCGTGTCAAAGGATCATATGAGTGGAGTGTTTGCGACCCGTTGCTGTATTCGATCAATGTCACCTCGTTGCCTTCCGCATAATCGATATTGTCAACATAGGGGGTGTGAGTGTCAGGGTCTTCGCGAGCAGCAGAGGTGGCACTCGTCAATCGGCCAGCTATATCGAAGGTATTACTGATCGCACCACCCCCTGCCGTGGCTGTCTGCAGAGCGTGGCCCACAGCATCGAACCATGACTCTGTCGTATAGTCCGTGGGATTCAGCTCCTCGGTCTCGGTCGACCAGTCCAGGATGCTATCGTACTTCGTCGCATATTGGATAGAGGACTCGATACAGTTACCCTTGAAGTCGAATCGGACATTCCGTTGAACACCCGATTGATCCCAGCACGTAACGAGCTGACCTCGCAGGTTTTGAGCCTCGGGATCTGACTCGTAGCTCTCTCCATATTCATTCTTCACTACCACCACTTCATTCTCGTCTGTTTTAGATGCTTGTACTTTGATGGCCTCAACTCTCCCGAGCGCATCGTATACAGTGCGTTTCCGTGGACCTCCAGACGACCACGACAGGACGGGTAGACCAGTACAATCTGACAGAAGCCAGCGATCTCCGCTATCCATATTCACGCGATGGATAGGCCGTCCCAAGAGGTCGTACCGGTTTTGTGTCACGACACGCCCCAGGGCATCCATTTGGACCGAGACGTTACCACGCTCATCATACTTCTTCCTGGTCCTGCGAACGTCATCGATGCTGTTGTTCATCTCAGTGAGAATCTCCTGCGTTACACTGTTCAGATGCACGATCTTCGGGGTATCGTTGTAGCATTCTGATTTCTTTGCAGCCTTCTTCTCCTCGTCGGCAGCGTCCGGTGTCATTCGTTGATAGTACCATGTTGGATGGTAGGAGGTTTTGTCGAGGCCCTGGAAGTAGCTCCCGATATCCTCATCTGTGCTGGGGTCCTCGATTAGAACAGTGTCGCCAGCGTCGTAGGAAATTTGGGACCACGGCGTTATTCGCGTTTTACTCCAGGTCTGATCCGCATTCAATACCCCTACCGTTCGGTCCAGGGGGTCCAGCAGGAAGGTAGTGGCGGGCTTAGTGGCAATCTCGGATTGAGCACAGAATTCGTGGGTGGGCTTGAAGAAGGGGAGGAAGTTCTTGACCTGCTGTCCGTTGCAGGACGTCACAGCACTGCTAACTTGCCATGTGGTGGTTTCGTCGTTGGAAAGGCATAACGTCTGCATTGCCTGGCCATTGCCGTTCAGGTACGTAATCGAAATCGATATGTTGCCCGGTCCATCCCTGTAGTGCGTGTCACGGACAAGTTCCGCTTGCCATGCAGGAGATCCCATCTGCTGTTGATTCCGGCTAAGACAGTATATTGCCCGTTGACCGGCATCCTTCAGGAGCTCCTGCGCTGCCACTGACGGGCTTTCCCAGAAGGAACGCACGTCATCGTCACTCAGATCAGCTGAGAAGCCATCTAGGCTATCTCCCACAACCTCCCCGGGTTTGCCCTTCACAGCCAGTCCAACACGCCGTCCGAGTGAGTCGATTTCAAACTCGGTGATGTTGCCATTTGCGTCGGTGATGGATTTCGGTAGCAGACGAGCATAATCGTTGACTAAGGTAGTGGTATTTCCGACAGCGTCAACTCTAGCCGTCGTAAGCAAGTTGAGCTCGTCCCGATGCTGCCATGACTTGCTTCCGACTGCATCAATCTCTCCATTGGTGAGATAGAACTGCGTTCGCGCCGCAGAAAGCCTGCCCTCGAGACTGTCGTCTCCAAATATATCCCGCGCTGATGGAGCCCACCACTCATCGGGGTCTAGTTCGACGTATCCTCCATTGCGGAGCTCCTCTTTTATAGCTGCTGATGACAGAAATGTCTCTGCTCCAGAACGCGTCAAAATCTGGGCAAGCAGATTGGTTGTGGCTGCCAACTGATAGCTCTGCCACTTCACGGAGAACGTCTGTAGCTTTCCTGCTTCCAAGACCCCTTTGACATTGCCATCCGAGTACAACGTTCGGTGTTTGGACACCAGTGCCTTGTAACCTGCCGGTGGTCTATCGGATATAAGGTCCTCGGCCTTCTGTTCAATGGGAATGTTCTCTGCTTGCTGGAGCAATTTGCAGCTGTCGGCAGCTAGCTTGTCCCATTCATACCGACCATCCGACATCGCGTTGTTAAAGTTATCCCCAGGGTACATGCGATACTGGGCCGTCTCTGAAACAACTGGGACGTGGAAATAATCTGGCTCGCTGCTAACATCGTCGATCGCGTTGGTATAGCTGGTTTCAGTGTAAACAAGCGAGGTGTCCATTTGCTTTTGCTGGTCGTCGAGGCTCGGCAACGAGCTGGTTGATTTCCCATAGTTGACTATCAGCTGTTTTTCAGCACGACCATAGCAATCCGTCGAGAGAGTAAGTGTCTGCTGCACTCTCGGCTCCCCTTTCTCTCTCTCATAAACAGCGGTGATCTCCTCCCGCGGGTTGACTCGGAATGTACCGGGTCTGCTGCCCTGTGTCTTTTGGTGAACTACCACCTCGTATGATTGTTGTGATATGGCATATGGTAGGTCTGTATTCACCCCACCGTCAGCGGAATATGTCTCCTGTCGACGGACCTTTCCCGCTAGTGCGCGGTAGGCATCAAGCCGTTCTACGCCAGCAAGGCCCTCCGGGAGCTTTGCACTGGAGACAGACTCCGGACCATCAACCGCTTGGCAGGAGTTGGGGAGTACTGATTCCATGTCCAATCGCTCGTGACCAATATAGAACCAGCTTTTTGTAACCACTGGCGGGCGTGTGAATTGGACATTGGGGACGTCCACGGCGAAGTCTTCGGTTTCAGAGAGCTCGACCATCTGGAAGCCACGGAACTGGCGTTCAGCCGGATCGTAGTGACCGTTATGATATGCATACGAGACGGTTTGGGACGTCTGTGCCACATAGTCGACTGAGGTCGTACTCGCAATGCAGCACATCGAAAACGGCAGTTTCGTGGACCACGGTCTACCATTGTCCTCGTCTTCTCGACAGTAGCGCACAGAAGAACGGTAGGTAGCTGTGCATTCGCCTCCCATTCCATTGCTGCACTTGGTCAGAAGTCCGGATGGAACGCCACCCATGAGATCCACGAAATGGACGGTGGTCGCGTCCGCCGCTCTGTTGTGAGAAGGAAGATCGGAAGTCCAGCATAGAGATTGTGTCCCCCTACCGCTGATGTCAAACACATCCACGGCGCAGAGACCATCGAGAGGTGGAACTGACTCCAATCGATATCCGTCGCTCCAGCCATTGCCCCATTGGTTGTAGTATACCACCGCACCGCCACCAGGAGGCAAGTATATGTAATCGGTGCCGCCAAAGCCGGTGATATTGGCCATGCGAATCCGGCGCGTGGAAAAGTTCCCATCCTCAGGTTGAAACGGCGCCTTGACCATGATCACTCTGGCACCAAACTGCCCGTGTCCCAGGTTAGGCCAGTAGGAGACATTGCCATTCCGCACCCAGACGACATCTGTCCGGCCATCGCCACTCATATCCTGCAGGAAGAGCGATCCGGTCCCATCGGGGACGACCTTCGGCGCTCCGGTCGTGCGCTGCTCGGGCCCATATCCCTCTGGTCCTAAAGACGCGTGCCAGGCCAGTTCCCCATCCTCGCCCGGGGCCATGCGCAGCAAGTCCCCGCGTCCGGTGCCGGTGAGGTCAAATTTATACACGGGCCATGCTTGGGAGGAGGGATCCATGGTTGGGTATGTGGTAAAGGGGGTGTATGTCCGCCATGCACCGTCCTCCGTGCGGCCATAGAATCCTCGAATGGTATGACCGGGCGAAACAGGGCTCAAGTCGAGGAGGCCGTCCCCCGTCAGATCTTCAAAGGCCCATGTAGTTGGATTGGCACTACTAGGAACCTGACGGACTAGCGTTGCTCCTCCAACCTGGACTTTCTCGTCCGTGCTTTCGTTGCGGTGATAGTACCACCCTCCGCCTGGCACTTCGACCAGCACCCCTGGCGCGCCATCCCCGTTGAGATCCACCCATTGCGCTTCTCCCGTGGCGAGCCCTGCTGCGTCGAGCCCGAGTATCTCCTCCTGCAGCGTGTCAAGCTCTGGGGGCTCTGTATATTCCAACGTGATCGGCGGCAACGAGAGGCTGGAGTAATCCTTCTCGCCAACAGGAGTATAACCGGTACCCACGCACGACTGAAGCAATGTGGTTCCAGTTCGTGGCTCGATGGCGTACGTCAAGTTAGTCGAGGCCACCAGGCAGTCGGCGCGCCCGAGTTCCTGAGGAAAATGATGAAACATGAGCACACGCCGACACCGGCGATATGTTCGTACCTCGAAGCCTCCGTTGCAGGTAGAAAAGGGGTCTGGGCGCGAAGCCCACATCTTCGTCTCTTCAGTGGTTGGACACTCCTCGTCATGCTCGCCGTAGTCGAGGACAACCTCAAACATCCAATGCCCCGGAGGAGTGTTTAATACCTTCCAGGTATCCTTGTCTCGATTGGGCTCTGTGTTGCCGTACTTGATCGACTTCAGGTAGCGCTGTCGGGTCCGGATCTGTTCTTCACGGTTTGCTTCGAATACGTCGGTGTCGACGGTCAAGCCATTGGCGTCTTCTGCTTTGTACTCAAACACCATGTGGTTTCCATAGCTGTCGTACGTTTCACATGCGAGCCAGGAAAAGATCTGCTCGGCCCCGGAGACCCGCGACGCCTCTGTCGCGCCATAGATCACAGTCACGTTATCCGAGCTGATCATTCTCCAGTACATATTGCCCCGGTTGCTCTGCTGAGTCCACCGTTCGATGCGCATAGGGTCAGACTCCACGCGCGCTCGATATCGACGGACCATCCAGTCTTCGAGAATTGTTTCCTCGGGGCTGCCATCGCTTTTCATGACGGGAACCACCTCTCCGACGGTCGAGTCCACAAACACATCTTGATCGTCGTCGTACACGGGAATGGAAGTGGAAGTCTTGCGGCTGATACTCTGCACCCCCTCGAGGTGCCATCCCAGCCCAAACACCCCATTAGCTGCACTGGACCCAGACTCGTAGACTAGGCTCAAGGAGGGCCCGAATCCGCTGCGGCCCGGTGAGGTCTGAATCGGAATAATGAAAGACATCCCTCCGGTACACGCATCCACGTTAAACCGCTCACTGCTCGCCCGACGGCCATCCCCTTCTGCCAGTAAGTGTCGGGGAGCCGTTTGGCTGCCTGCGGCGGTGCCGACAGAGGCGCTGTTCCCTAGCACTGGCTTTGAGGGATCGACAGGATATGCAAATTCCGCCATGATGTGAGATAGATCTCCTGGGGTTGTTTCAATATCGCGGAACGGGTTAATGGGTTAAAGGAAAGAGAAAAGCAAGATATCCTGAACAGCCTCGTTAGATCACTCGAATCAGTATGGACATACGTGGATAGTGTACTTTCGACAGCAGCGTTCGGACCTCCACTTCAGTCGTAGGTGCATTTCCAGCTGCGTCAAACGAGACCAATGCATCGGGACGCTCCGTCTCTCCACTCAGCCCCGGCAGGAATATGCATGCAGCTGCAGATCGCCTAGACATACCCCTCAGCAACCCGCCTATCATGGACCCTTGATGCATCCAGCCTGGTTAATGTATGTATAGTTGTCATCGGCTGAGCTGAGACCTGCAGCCAGATTTAGCGTCAGTCATCCTCTACCTCTCATGGTGGTATGAGCGCATAACTGAAATCGATCTAAATCACAAAGTCCCAAAGCACAGACCCTTTATTATGGTGGCAAACTACTTACTCCAGCTAACTCCAGACTCTAGCAGCCATTATTTCATGCATGAGGTGGCGCAGAGGCTGCGGAGAGTATTTAGATTCCTAGGTAGCAAACAGTCCGGACTCTTGGTCCAATTTATGTACCTCGTAGATAATGTTTATGTCACAATGCTGTGTGGCGGGAGCCGGTGATGTTGATGTGATACAGCTCATCCCAATCATTCACAGTCCTTAGCTTGGGTCTCCGCAAGGAGCTTTCTCAATGATAGTCATGTCACTCTCAGTGTGCTAATAAACTCCCAAGGGCTATGTGTTGTGTGGTGGTGGTCCGAGGGCTAATAGAAGAGTGACTATGTGCTGTGCGTCCGTCGTAAAGAGATTAAGCGATGTTGAAGATATACTTCAAGTAGTATACGAGGGTACCACGGGCCGGAAAGCCCATTGCGACTCAGTTATTCCTCCAGAAAATATCATTGCGTAGGATTTAGGATGATCGCATAGGTTTGGCTATCTGCTTGATCCTTCAGGTTGAGAACTCTCGATCACCCATACCTTCCACATCTGCCTGTCCCACTGAAGCGTACTATATATACCGTAGCCCTAAATCGTGACTTGTCCTGCCTCAGGGGGATACAACGACATCAATCGATTGAGACAGGCTCTGGCTAGCTTCGCCATCTACGGGTGGCCATGTCTCGGTGATGGGAACTTGGTAGGTGTTGGGGACGCCCGTTCCCGTGAAGAGGGCCAGGGTGATAGTGCCGCCAGAGGGGACGGACAGATCGCCGGTGCCGGAGAAGGTCAGTGGCGTCGAGCCGTCGCTGGCCAAGGGGCCGGGGACGACCTTGACGCTGGCAAACGCCGCCGTGCCGTCCGCGTTCACGATTTGGAAGATGTCGGACTTGGCCGCGTCCGGGGACCCAATGACCCATTCGTCGGCTGTAAACTTGTGGGCCGTCACGAGGCCGCGGCCATCCGGCTCAGAGCTCACCGTCAACGCGATGCCCTTGAGCAGGACGGGATCGTCGCCGTTGTTGGTGCCCTGAATGAGGACCTCGACGGCGTCTTCTGGGCCCTTGAGCGGCTTGCGGAAGGACCAGTCCAATTTGGGCTCCGGCGCTATTCCGGGCGCACTGACTGGGACAGTCCTGAAGCCGAACTGCGCCATGGAGGCCAGTTTATGGGTGACGGGAGACGGAATCGTGGTCTTGCCGGATGTGAGGCTAGAAGAGGGGCCCACGAGCCCATATTAGTTGGATGGCTTGCGGGTCGGCGAGCAGAAGTGGACTTACGGTTGGTATTCAACGGTCGCCAGGATTTCCCCGGTGTTTCCAACGCACGCCGCCGAAAAGTTGAATGTGCCATTTCCCGGGTACACAAACTGGGCGCTCGTTTGGAAGTCCTTGGCCAAGTTCTGCTCAAGGGTCTGAACGTGGGTGGAGATCTGGTTCACGATTTCCGCCTGGATCCTCTCTGCTTGGCCTTCGGGTGACACGCTTTGTTGCTGCTCGTGTTGTGTTTGGGTGACCTTGGCATCACCATCGCTCTTGGAGCCGGCGTTAACACTCAGCTTGAGCACGCCTCCTTCGACGCTATCGATATTAATACCCATACTCCAGTGGCATTCAAATGTGTCTCTAGTGGAGGATTAGCGAATAACACTTCAATCTGGTAATAGTCCCCTACCTCAACCACCCATACGGTCGCTGCATGGCATCGTTGTCTGCCCATTCGATGTCGTACTTATATACGGACGACCCCGAGAGGGTGAAGCGCTGTTCACCCGGATTCCACTTGAAGTCAACCTGACAGCTGCCCGTTGCATCGTAGCTGCCGTACACGCCATATTCGGTATTGTGCCCGTGCGGTGAGAGGCTGGATGTATATTGTTTCGAAAACCGGTACGCAGTTGCGTCAGCTGGCGTGTCGATGTTGGTGACCGGATTGAAGACAAAGAACTCGTCGGCGCTGTCCTGGTGCACACCATCATTGCCGACGGCGAAGTTCCAGTCAATCTGGCTCGCACTGCCGCTGGACGAGAAGCTTCCGTCCGTCGGGTAGATGATTGAGGTCTTGTTGAAAGCCTGCAGCATTGGCAGTAGGAAGCTCTCCAGGAAGAGCTGGTGACTCAGTGCATAGGTGCCGTCGATGCGCGGCCCGCCAATGGTCGAGGCCTGCGTCGTGAAGTTGCCGGCGGAGGCAAGCTGCCTGTCCTTGGGGAGCTCGTGATCGGCGACCATCTCACAGTAAAGCAGCGCGTTAAGGTCCCCCGGCACATCGTAGGAGATGACGGGGTCCGGAACCCCCTTGCCCGGGTTGGTGTATCCGTAGACCTGGTGAACCATGGCTGTCGGCTGGAAGGTCGGCTTCAAGGGATCAATCTTATCGGGCGGAGGCAAGGTGAACTTGATTCCCGTCGTCGTCAGGCCCTTCTGTTCCTGTTCCAGTGCCCAATGGTTGAGCATAATCTGAAGATCGGTCTCGAGATAGGGGTACTGCTTGATCAGCTGTCCCCAGGACCTCGGCGAGCCGTCCGTGTTGACCCCGAACTGCGAGTTCGCATAGTCAAAGTCCCTCCAATGCGCATCTGTACCGCATAGCGTTGTGCGTTAGCATTCCAACGGGGCCTGTCGGGATGGGGAAGGACTCACCGGCTAGTTTGGCGTACAGTCGCTGGATGCTGTAGTCGCCCGGCACGTCGAACTTGCCATGGATGAAGTCCCAGATGGCTTGCTGTCGCTCCTGCTCATCCGGATCGGCATCGGGATCGACGACCACACTCTGGGTCTTCAAGTCGATCGTGACTGCGAGGTTCCACCCAGCCAGCGGTTCGACTTGATCCGGATCGTTGTCGTCGTCGGCGGGAATGGTGATCTCGCCATCCTTGAAGCTAGGTTTCCGGTCAGCCTCCTCATGCACTCAGAAGGGGCTCAGAAGGGATTACATACCGCATGACATACAGAGCGGACGTCAGGGATATATCGGCCCCAACGCCACCGCCGAGGAGAAGACGGGGCGAGTACAGAGACCCTTTAATGCTCCCGATCCTTCGGTTGGAGAAGTCGACCTGACCATACTCCGGGAATTGATTGTACAGATCATCGAAGGAGTCATTGATGATCTTCTGCGAGACGGCCACAACCTGGTCGTAATGAGCGTGCGCCGTCGCACACGAGGTCTTGAGACGCAGGGCGACGTCGGAGTCAGTCATCGTGAGATCCGGCAAAAAACGGCGGGCAATAAAAATAGATAAAATTGGAATTGACCAGCACTATGACTTCTCGATCTCTATCACGACGGAACGGCCTCTTATACACTACGCTAAAGGGCGTGAGTCGCTGCTGTCAACCCCCAGCTGCGGTCGCGTCGCATTGCGCCAATAGATATCCCTGTTTCATTTGGACACTGCTGTATAATCAGTATGATCAATATCATGGGGCAATACACTCGACCCCCAAGAGAAGAAGACCTCATCTACACGTCATCTTGCACTCGACAGCCAGCCACTGACCCCGAATTCATGTTGTATATGATTGTTTGTCTCGGGGTGGCCGAGCTTTGAGCTGAAAACCTACCCCTGCAACCAGGGCGCAGATACGGAGCTAATTCAGGCATGTACGGCATGGGCGAATCGACGCACGTCGTAGTCTGGGGTACTTTCCTCTCGCCACGCCAAGGATCGGGCAAGTGATCCAGGGTCTGGTTGTGAGATTTATTCCGACGTGCATAGATCGGCAATGCGAGCGACAGAAGCAAAAGTACGCTGCAGTTCCCCTCATTCCAGTCACGATTGCAACAGATCTAGACCAAAACCAAACCCCTTCATCTCCACCTTCCTCCTGTCTGTGATACAACCGTGCGGAGGCGAAAAGGTAGCCACGGGCCGTGCCATCAGGGACATAGACCAACCAGGTCTTGCGAAGAAAGTGCTCAGGGACTGCGACCTCCGCGGGCATGACTTATGTGCCTCGTTAGAATTTCATGATCATCGAATGTAACCCTACTATGCAGGCATGACGGAGGTCCGGATCCCCCGTGTTTGCTTGAGGGGCAAAGTCCGCATGAGTGTTGTCGTCACTGCTACTGCATCGGATGAGTGCATATACCCTCAGCTCATTGCATTTAGAGGGTTCGAATAATCCGACTGGCTGATATGGCACCAGTCCTGCTGCGTGTAGTAATCAACATGCGTCCAGGCTCTTGCGCGGGGACGCCCCTACAGAGGCACGCAAGGCTTCGGCATGAGACTTAGGTCGTTTTCGATTGCCCTTGTCCTGACACGTCGACAGTCGGACCATTTGGTAGATTTGCAGAGTCTCTTAGACAGGCAGCATTGCTGGTAGGGCGGGATCGATTTGCAGCTGTCGTGTGTTCTGAGGCTTCCATCGGAATCTGCACAATATAAATTCTCCCGTCAAATAAAGACAAAGAAAGGAAATCAAAAGAAAAAAGACCAACTGGACTGGTCTTGCCCTGTTATTCCCATCGCTAGCAATTACAGCTGTCCATTGATCACTATGTTTTCCATGCTCGACGACACGCGCTTGAAGGAGGCCAAGAAGCTCCTGCAAGACCTGGTAGAAGACAATCGCGTACTCTTCGCCGCTCTCGAACGCACGAGAAGTATCTCCCGGGCCATCGACTCGATTGGTACGGTGGTTGGCGCCACCCCGGAGTCGCAACGTCGACTCGCCCTCCTGGCAGACCTGGACCGCGCGGCAGCAGGAAATTTTGAGCTCGCCAGCCTATTCTGGAATCAGAGAGACATCCAATCCATGACCGATGCAGCCGGTTGCTATAGCCTTCTGCTGGGCCGCGAGGAAGCCGGCGTGGAGGACTTCCAGACGAGATTGTTTGCAGAACAGCCGACGGCGACGATCTACAGCTTAGTATGCTCTGGACACCTCACCGTCCAACCTGCAACCATCCAGACCGTGGTGGTCTCTATGCTCGAGACAGCCATGTCCACTGGGTTTAATATCGCCCACGACCCGGTCAACCATCTGCTCGATAACCTGGATGAATTGAGTTCTGAGACCGATGTCGAGGCACTGAAGACCTTTTTCCGAAAACTACAGAGACTGCAGGCCCTGGTGCGACTGCCAGAGGATCTTGATGCGCTGCTGCGGTCGTCATTCATGTCGGCGCATCAGATCGCCCACACGCCGAGGCACTCGTTCGTCAGTGCTATCGGTCACTACGGCATGCCAGCTGAGCGCGCCGTTGGCATCCACGACCACGCAATTCTCGTGGACATGCGCAACGAGCAAGTGTGGACAGAGCTTCTGGCATCAAGAAACGATGTCTCGCTAGCCGCCTTGGCTCGCCCGGAGGTCGCGCAGTCAGCATTGACACCCTCAACACCTACAGACGTCTCGCAGCAGGTCACCAGCTACACACAGATCTTTGGCGACGTGACGATCGGGGCCTGTGACGACTACAACTCGGTCACCAGCGCTGCGGCCTATTTTGTGGACCTGCTCCGAATGCTGAGGAACACGCCCAGCGATACCACTCAGCCCGAATCGCCCAGTCTCCTCGACAAGCTGGCGACCCGACGGCCGGACCTGTTGACGCTGCAGCTGTCCTGTGTCAATACCAACGTCCTGATCCCGTACATCGACCTCGCCAACGAGGCGATGGAATCGTTCATCAAGAACGTCGGCACCCTCCTTCCGCCGTCGCCCGTCCCGATCCAGGGTTTCAACATGACGGACCAAGACACCAGTGAGGTCAGTCTTGCCGAGCCCCAGCACACCGACTACAGCGTCTATCGCGATCAAATCGCGACCCGGGCCTTTCCGCTCACGGTCTTTCCATACAGCCAAGCGCTCGATCTCCAGCGCCTCTTCTTCACGCATCTGAACGCATCGCTGGCCGACGTCATGATGCTCTTTGGCTCTGCATCCCGACTGTTGCCTGCCGCAGAGGATAGCGCGACAGCGGACACGCAGCAACTCGCTGAAGACGTGTTGCAGAGCGCGTGGGCAGCCGAGTACCTAGGGCTCTCACCCGCTGATCATGTGGCCATCACCGGCACTTCTATCTTCTCCCTCGAATTCCTCAAAGCGGTCTATGACCCGAGCATGCAAGAAGAGGCATACAATAAAAGGATTTGCCGGTTAGGGACTGCGGAGTACTGGGGTTACGAGGCAGCCGACGGACATACGGCCGAGGAGCTGATGCTGTCAGAGGAGAACGAACAGGGACTGCCGTTCGTCAAGGCCCAGCTGCTACGCCGGGCGGAAATCACGGTGGCGGACCTTCTGAATCTGCTCCGTGGGCGACTGCTTCAGCGCCAGCTCGTGCTCGAGACCGCAGGTGGCTCAGGCACCTTCTCTGGCAAGCTCGAAGACCTGCGTTTGCGTCACCCGACGAGCGACAACGCAAAGGCACAGCTGACAGAGCCGGATTGTCGGCACCTGCAGTCCTATATCCGGCTCTGGCGCCGGACCGGATGGACGTTACAAGACCTCGACTGCCTGGTTGTTTCGTTTGGCAGCGATGATGAAGCGAACGGCATGCGTGTCGTCACGGCGCAGACCATTAAGGCGATGGCAGCGGTGCAGCGCATCGCGACGCTGACTGGCGTCGATATCTTCACGCTCATGCCGCTGTGGGGGCTCATGGACACGAATGGGGACCAGTCTCTATACGCAAGACTCTTCCTGAAAGGCAAGGCTGGCCGGCCGGATCCGGTGTTCGGACCGGACGCTCAAGGAAACTATCTCACAGCCGGTGCCAGTCTTACGACGAACCGCGCGCCGCTCCTAGCAGCCTGCGGACTGACAGAAGAGGGCTTCGCGGCTGTTGTCGCGGCGGCGAAGATCACCAACGACACACTGGACCTGACCAACGTAACGGCCGTCTACCGTATCGCCGTCTTCTGTCAATTGCTCGCCATCGATCCAGTCGACTTTGTCAGCGTGCAGACCGTCTTAGATCCGAGCCAGACCGCGTTTTTGAGCCCCCAGGCGGCACTGGACATCATCCAGCAGGTACAGCAGTGGACCGATGCTGGGCTCAACTTGGAGCAGCTGCTGTTCTTCACCGGCAACGATGCGGCCCTCCGTGCAAGGCAATCGGATGCTGAGCTCTCCATCCAGCAAGTCGCGGTCGCCGCTTCGGACATCATAGTCAACATCCAGAGCCGGATAGCCACCTTGCCGGCTATGGATGCAAACACGACGACCGCGGCGCCGTCGGACGTCGCGACTGCTGCGGCGGCGCTTTACGACCACGCAACGGCGCAGCTGGCTATGGCATTCATTGAGAGTAAGTCTTTGTGGGTGTTCTATAATTTGTGATTCACTCACTGAACTTGTAACCCTAGTGCTTTCTGGGACACCCCTTACTGAAGATTCCACGGTGTATCAGAGTGTTCTGCTCCCCTACTTCTCCAGTGATGCTGAAGCCGCACACAAGGTCTTCTTCGAGCAGCCAGATCCCACCGGAACGGATGAAGAGAAGGCCATTGCACGCGAAGAGATACTCAATTCTCGCCGGGTGTTCTTTCTGCAGCACGTCATCGGACCGCTTCACGCGCGGGTAGCCAAGGATGCAGTACTTCAATCCATCACGCCCCTGTTCCCAGACGCGAAGTCGGCAGTGCTCAGTCTATTACTCGAGATGATCCAGGAGCCGGAGTCGCAGGACAGTCGTGCATCCCGCACGTTCATCTTGGCTGTCCTCAGCAGCCTCGCCACGTCCAACGCGGCGGCTCTCGGAAAGAACTCATCAGACGTCTTCTTCCGACCCTCGACCGCAGACCTGTATCGCTTTTTCATCCCCGACACGGCCCTTTCCGCCAGCCCCAAGGTGACCTTGGATGGCAGCATCGTACTTTTCGATCAAGGCACCGGGGGGTGGACGTCCAAGCCGGTCCGCCTCTCGAACGGACAAGCGTACAGCTTACGTCGCTCTGACGGCGGCGGGCTGGCCAACAGCTCATACTTGACAGAGCGCAGTCCCAGTCAATCTTTCCCGCTTGGCGCGTTGCTGGCACACGAGACGGTTGACCTGGCGCAGACGGTCTTGCGATTGCTCTCCCGGGCGGTCCATCTGTCCACGAGCTTTGAGCTGAGCCTGGACGAGGTGCAATTCTTCCAAGACCAATCCTCCAACAATGGTCTGTCGATGGACTGGGGAAATGTTGATTACCCGGCCGTCCAGCGGGTCAAGAGCTACCGGGAGATGTCTCGTCGGCTGAATGGGACAACGACCCTCCTGGACTTCCTGAAGTGGACTCAGGTCTCTCCCCGGGAGGGCAGCCTAGTCAGCAGTCTTACCAGCCTCACGAAGCTGTCTGCATCGCTGATTACTGACTATCTGGAGCAGCGGTTCGCGCATCTCAGTGAACAACAACTGATCGAGGTGTTTGCGGAAACAGCAGAAATCGCACGGCTCCTGGATCGCGTCGCATTCATGAACCGCACAGGCGTGCCTGGTTTAACTCTCAAGCTCTTATTCACGCTCGCGACACCGGTGCCTCCACCGACTGCGTCGACGGACTTTGACAACGCGGCCCAGCTTCGGCTGCTTCTGCAGTCAACGCCGCCCTCCCCAAATGGTGCGGATCTGGCGACGCAGGTCAACGGCGGGCTGCGAGTACATCAGCGCGACGCCCTGGTCAATTACCTCCTTCATCATCCGTACATCACAGAACGCGGCATCGCCGATGCCGACGGGCTGTTCGAGTTCCTGCTCATCGACGTGCAGATGGGCGCGTGTCTCCAGACGTCTCGTATCAAGCAGGCCATCTCGACGGTGCAGGTATATGTTCGCCGGTGCATCCTCGGCCTCGAAAAGGCGGAGCAGGTCGCCAGTAACACGGTCAACCTCGACCGTTGGGCCTGGATTGAGAGCTACCGGCTGTGGGAGGCGAACCGCAAGGTCTTCCTATACCCGGAAAACTGGCTCGAAGCCAGCCTGCGCGACGACAAGACCGAGATTTTCCAAGCGCTCGAGTCCGGCATCCTGCAGAACGACCTCGACAGCGCCAAAATCGTCGATCTCGTCAAGGCCTACGTGTATGGCGTCGACGCTATCGCGGACCTGGACGTGCAGGCCTACCTGTGGAAGAAGGTCGAGGATTACACAGGCAGCTTCCACTTCTTTGCCCGCACCAGGACGGCTCCGTATATCTACTACTACCGGACCCTGGACATCGTGCCGAATGCTAGGGGTAGCAGCATCAAGATGTACTGGCAGCCCTGGACCAAGATTGACGTCGAGGTCCCGGTGCACGAGGTCGGCGCCGACGGCAAACCGTTGCCCGTGACGGGCTCATATCTCATTCCGGCGTTATACGGAGAGCGCCTCTTCCTCTTCTTCCCTCAGATCACCCTGAAGACAGACCCCAACTCCGCGGTCAAGGACACTACCATCAAGGAAATGGGCGATCAGAAGCCAGACGACATGAAACCGGCCAAGTACTGGCAGGTCCAGATCGGCTGGACTGAGTACCGCAATGGCCGGTGGACGCCGAAGCAGATCTCGCAGGCCATTCTCGAGGTCCGAGGCGCCCAGGACACCGACTTCCCGGTTAACGGGCAACCGTCGCCGGCGGACAATATCTGGAAGGAGGCACAGAAACTCCCCGAGGTCTCCTCCCTCAAGTTCTGGATCCGGTCCCGGTCCAGCTCCTCGATCCCTTCGAGTGCATCGGGGTCTTCGCCGCGGCCCAGGAGCGCTCCAGCCCCGAGCACCAGTATTTTGGTCATCGAGGTGGAGCGCTGGATTTGCGCCCAGGAGGACGGGAAGGAGCCACAGTTCCTCAACTATCCACTCGGCCGGTTCGAAATGCGCGGGTCACAGGTCATTCTCGCCGATCTCAGCGCCTCGTCGGACAAAACCGATCCCTTCTTGGCTCCCTGGCGGCCCACCATCCCTACTGTCTTTGCAAAGATGTCGTATCACATGGAAAAGGCCTCGGACAGCCAGACTCCGGGCCTCAGCATTGGCCGAGGGGCAGGCAATAAGGAGCCGCTGCTGGGGATCGTAACCAAGCTGGTGGACAGCACGCCGAAGAAGGACGTGGTTTGGACTTTGTCTTTCAACGATTCGCAGGCCCGGAACGCGACCGGCTTTATTCAGGACATCGTCACCACGGAGAGCACCATCTCGTATGTCACCTACCCGCCCATCTCGTCCACCACCACCTTTGCGTCTGACGTGTTCCAGCACACGCTAGACCGGGATCTGGTTTCCATGTCCACGACGTATGACGGGGTGGACCAGATTTATGCCTTTCTCGCCAGCGTACCAGCGGATGACATCTTCCTCGCCTTCGGGAAACGCAACGGGACGGTCCACGAGCTCTCCACCCCCTATGCCCTCTACAACTGGGAGATCGGCGCGCACACGGTCATGCTACTCATGGAGCGGCTGCAGGTCAACCGGCAGTACGACCTGGCCCTCCAAGTGGCGCACCTGGTGTTCGATCCCACCGTCGACGGTAGCAGCCTTGACCGCTGCTGGCTGTTCCCGCCCTTCAAGGAACTCGCTGACGGCACCATTGACTCGATCGAGGACATCCTGGGCCGTCTCGAGCCGTCCAGCGGCGACGAAAGCGAAATGAAGACGAACATCCTCGACTGGCGAAAGCATCCATTCAATGCCCACAGTGTGGCGCGGAGCCGGCCCCTGGCGTACATGCGACGCATCATCATCAACTATATCGAGATCCTAATCGCCAGCGGCGACGTCTACTTCCGGCAGAACACGCTGGAGGCGTTACCCCTTGCGATCCAACGCTACGTCGAGGCGTCGCACATATTTGGCTCGGCCCCGGTGCGGGTTCCACAGCTCGCCAAACCGACATACCAATCATACGCGGACCTCGCCAGCACACTAGACGATTTCTCTAATGCCGCCTTCGACATGGAGCTGGATTTCCCCTTCGTCAGCGACCCGGCATCGCGAGGGGCAGGCGCCTCCGGGACGAACGGCGGCCCCGTAGGGCTCACCGGCGTCCTCAAGACGACGTATTTCTGTGTTCCCGCAAACCCCAAGCTAGTTGAGCTCCGTGATCTCATAGACGACCGGTTGTTCAAGATTCGCCATTGCCAGGACATCAACGGCGTGGTCCGTAGTCTGGCCCTCTTCGAGCCGCCCCTGGATCCGGGCCTCTTGGTCCGGGCGGCGGCGAGTGGCGTGGACATCTCTCAGCTCGTGGGTAACACGGTAGGCCCCATGCCCAACTATCGCTTTCAGTACCTATTGCAGAAGGCGCTCGATATGTGTGCGGAGGTTAAATCTATGGGAGCCTCACTGCTGTCCATCAAAGAACGGAAGGACACCGAAGCGCTGGCAAACCTTCATGCCCGGCAGGACAAGGTGCTGCAAGGGCTGATGGTGGAAATGAAGAAAACGGCAAAAAAAGAAGCGGAGGCCAGCATCGATGCGCTCTTGGAAGCCCGTAAGGCCCAGGTAGCCCGCCTCGAATACTACCTCGCGCTGACCGGGAGCGACGACCGCTCGGCCCCGGATGAGACACAGGATTGGGAGGATATCACGCAGTCGATCGAGAAGCCGACGTCAGACGATCTGCGAATGACCTCACACGAGAAGCTGGAGATGGAAAAGGCCGACGCGGCTGCGGTTCTCAACCAAAAAGCCACCGTTCTCGACATCGCCGCCAGTGTTATCAAGATAATCCCGGACATTAGCGAAGAAGCGGAGCCCCTCGGTGTTGGGGTCTCTCTCGGCTCCGTCACCAAGAACATCTGCGAGGCGATGCTCATCAATGCCAGCGTCATGCGCTTCCAGGCACAGTCCTTCAGCGAGGAGGGTTCTCGTGCCTCCCGCACTGGCTCTCTAATTCGGCAGCTTCAGGAACGGCGTCTGCAGGCGAATATGGCTGGTCGGGACATCAAGGGGACCGACAAGCAGATCGCGACGTCTCGCATCCGGGTCGAGATGTGCGAACGCGACATCAAGCTCCAGCAGCAACAAGCCGACTTCGCGCAGGACACTGAGGCCTGGCTCCGGACCAAGTACACCTCCGAGGAGCTGTACGCCTGGATGGACGGCGTCGTCCGGGACTTGTACCACCAGACCTATCTCGTTGCAGACGATCTCGCTCAGAAGGCCCAGGCGGCCTTCCGGTTTGAGAAGGGCGACCAGTCCATCAACATCATCAACTCGCCCTACTGGGACGATGGCCGGGATGGCCTATTCGCCGGTGAAAATCTCTTCCTCTCGCTCAAGCGCCTTGAGGCGGCGTATATGGAGCAGCGCCTGCACGACGTCGAAGTGGTCAAGAACGTCTCGCTCCGCCAGATTCGGCCGTGGGCGCTGCTGGAGCTGCGCGAGACCGGCACGGCCGAATTCGATCTCCCCGAGGTACTCTTCGACTTCGACTTTCCTGGTCACTACTGTCGCCGCATCAAGTCCATCAGCATGACCGTCCCCTGTCTTGTGGGTCCCTACACCGGCGTCAACGCGACTTTGACGCTCCTCGAGCACTCTTACCGGGTCAAGTCCGACGCCAAAAACGCGAAGGACTATCCCCGACAATCGGACGACGCGCGCTTTCAAACCGACCGCGTGCCCATCGCCTCCATCGCCGTCAGCCACGGTCAGCAGGACAGCGGCGTCTTCAACCTCGACTTCCGCGACGAGCGGTACATCCCCTTCGAAGGGGCGGGCGCGGTGAGCAGATGGCGGCTCGAGCTTCCGACCGCGGTGAAGCAGTTCGACTACAACACCATCAGCGACATTGTCCTGCAGGTCAAATACACGGCGGTACAGGGCGGCGCTGCCTTCCACAAGGCCGCGTCCGACGCCGCAATCGCGTTCCAGAAAACGGCCGCCGGTCTGTCGCAAACCGAGGGCCTGTTTGCCCTTCTGGACCTGAAGAACGACTTCCCGACCGAATGGCAGCGTCTGGTCTCGTCGGACAAGACAAAGCCGGCGACCATGCCGCTGCTTTCCCTGCAGGACCGTCTGCCATTCTTCACCAGGGGTCAAAAGGTAAAGGCCGAGACTATCTCGGTCCTGCTCGCCGCAGACTCAGACTCCGGGGTAAATATGGCGCAAGATATCGCCCTAACTGCGTCGAGTCAAATTCCTCTGGAGGCTGGCACTGCAATCGGGTCATACCAGGTCGCCATGGCGGCAGATCAGAAGGTCACCGTTGCCGACTGGAGCCTCACGCTTTCGGCCAATGCGATGAGTGCGAATGTCGAGAGAATCATCATTCTGTTTAGATATATCATGTAGCATGGTTGGCCCGGAATCGTGTAACTGCCAGGTCAGTTTTAGTTGATAGTTGAGTTGGTTGTTTCGTTATTGAACCAAGAGCAAGTAAGAGGGGAGGTTGACCCCGCCCTCGACTCGCCTGTTCGCAACTTGTCTATCAGGTGACCATCTAATTCGATTGTTCTTTCTGTCTGCTGTGCACCAGCCGCTATCAATATTAAGCACTACACACATCAGTTCAAGATCCCTCCCAGTTCACAGTCTCTGGTTGGTAACCCGCGAACAATTGGCGCGCCTCGAGCTCTACATGATCCATGCTCGCATATTCACCATGCCAACACTTCTTAATGATCTGGCCAAAGACAACATACTCAACATTTGGCCATGAAGTAGGCCAACAAAGATCGGGATTCTCAGCACCGAAGAAATAGTACTTATGTACCTGCCAGGAAGCAATCGAGTAAAGAATCCAACCGAGGTGGAGGATCTCAATCCGAGCATTCAGATCATTTTCGTTCGCAGAAGCAGGGTCAGCATCAAGAGGCAGTAAGATCGACTGGCCAAAGTCGGCAACGTTAAGCTGCTCGTCTATGATTAAAATATTCCGAAGAGCAATATCATCCACAAATACTCTGCGAGAGTGGATGTAGGCGAAAGTCTTGATCAAACGTATAATCCACTCAATCTTCAGTGTATCCTCGCGCTCTGGATGCTTTTCTAGATAGCATTCCAGGTCGTCTTGCGCTCGCGCTAGCTCAATCCCGTACCGGGATGTTTGGAAACAAGGGATGATCCCTTCATGGCTACCCAGGCGTTCGAAGACTAGGAGCTCATTCTCTAGGATCTTCTGGTTGACTTCGTTCATGTATTCTGCATCTCCAGCGTCTCGGAGTTGCGATTGCTTAGCTTTCTTGACAACGCGGCCTTCCCCTATCTCATGAACAACCCCGGTCATGCCAACCCCTACGACGGGGAGGTCGAGATAAGGGTCATGAGTAAGCGGAGGGTGCTTGGTATCAGGCTGGCTCGTAGTGTTCCCAGGCTTGATCGGTTGAAGTGGAGATTGGGTCGGTTGAGATACCGTGTCGGTTCTAGGGGGTTCGACGTCGATGGGCTAAGAAAAGAAGCTTTAGCAGCTGCCGACCACGGTGGAGGGGGAAATCATTCACACGCACCTTTGAGTCGCCTGACTCCTGGATGCTAGTAGGGCGGATTACATTGCAGAGCCAGTGGTGGATCTTCGAGAGGATCATCATTTAGGAGAGACCTGACCTGATACGATAGACGGCGGTTAAGGACGCCGCCCAAGTGGAGTTGGTTGCGGGAAGGCGGAAGGAAGATCCATTTATCCTACTTGTGGCTACGGGGAGTCGCCAAGGGATAGCAAGGCGATTAGATTGAAACTGTACCGACGTCATTGTATGGTCAATCATGCTTTGGTCATTGGAGTTTGCACCTGAAGAAAGTCGGGATTAGATGGATCATCAAACGGAGATGATCTACTGACGGAGGAAAGATCTCGAAGACCACCGTGGGTCCTGAACTACATCAGGCAGGCCATGAAGTCGATGGGAGGTCCAACATCTACTATTGTTCGTTGCACCTTTTTGGTTGGCCAGCTGAGTGAGGATAAGTAGAAGTACTTATTGATGGGTCGTCCAACTAGCATGATGCATAGGATAAGGACGACCTGTGTAGGGCCTTTCCAAGAATTCCAAGCCCGGATATATAACCTGTCAGCTTCATCATAAGGTGATACTGTCCCAGTGTCCCTCAATAGACTGACAATCTATCGTATATAAAAGAGAGAAAAAAGATTATAAAGACGCGTGCTTAATAGCAAATTTATTTGTCTCTAAGCTAGATATACCACTCTGGTGGTCCTGCCTATCAGATCATGAATTGTCTCATCCTCTACAGCAGATCCAAGGAAAGCTCCTATGTATAATGAGGTGGGCTTGAATAAGTTACTCTATACTTAGGTTATTGTGAACAAGAATAACCTTAGATAACTGCTCGCTCCGTCAGTGGCCGACCTTCTAGAATCCGTGTATAAGATAGTGCGCTGAGATCCAATGTCTTGAACTCCCCATACACAACCAATTCCGCAATGCCACGACCGCAAGCTGGGGCTTGCTGACTCCCATGGCCCGAGAAACCGACACAGAAAAGAAAGTTGCGGATACTGTTGTGTGCGCCAACGACTGCGTTGTGGTCAAATGTATTGAACTCGTAGTGGCCCATCCACGAGTCAGTGACTCGCGCGGTAGAAAATTGAGGAATACGACGAGATATAATAGGGAAGACCTTTTCGTCCCAAGCATTTTCGGCAAAGCTAAAGTCGTTCACATCAACTGCGACGTCTGCCCCAGTCGGCGGACAACCAACAAGATAGTCCTTGTCGGCATAAGAACGGAGGTGTACACCAGATGGATCAATGGTCAGAGGTAGGTCTTGAGAAAGTGGATCATCAACTGAAAAGATATAAGTATATCGCCGCCGGGCCTCAATGGGTAGTTCAACCCCAACCAACGAAGCGACCTGGGCGGCACGGGTGCCCGCGGCGTTGATAACCTTGTCGGCACTAATCCTCTCGCCATCCAGAAGCTCGATAGCTTGAATTTGACCTTTATCGATGACCATGTTGACCACTTCATTGCAGATGTATTCAATCCCATTGTCGCAGCTGGTCTTGCGCATCCATTCGACCATCCCAAACGCATTGAAACACCCCTCGTCCTTGGTATTCAAGCTTCCGGAGTCAAGGTCATCCGTATAAAAGAAAGGGTATCTTTCTTTTATGTCTGTTGTAGGGATTATTTGCGTCCCTGCACCAAGGCGAGACTGCAGCTGTTGATCCTTCTCGAGGACTTTCGTGAAGGACTCGGAATCAGACAGGTATAGGTAGCCGAAATCGCGAATTGGAGGCTGTGGGACGCAAGGATCAAGGCCAAAATTGGCCCCGAAACGCTTGGCAAAGTCTGCTGCATACTGTGCGATTTCGATGTTGATCTTGGTTGCAAACTGTTGGCGCATGCAGTTGTTGCTTGCCTTGGTGGCAGAATATTGCAACGAGGGGTCACGCTCAACGACGAGAACTGAGCCGCTGAAATCCGGGTTGGTGCTCAAGTGCCAGGCAATCGAGGTGCCACTGGTCGCGCCTCCAATAATCACGACATCGTAGTGTTTCTGGCTCGGGGTGGTGGGGAAACTGGTAGATGACATTGTGGGTAATAGAGGCTAGGGCAAGCTGATAGATAGAACGAATGAATGAGATAGAGAGTTCACACAGGAAAGACACTGCATTTTATATCCTTCTCATTCTAGTCACTCTTTGTGATAACATGTTTAGTTCTCGTGATAACTTTCTATTTGTGATCACCTCCATTTCGTGATAGATTTCCAAATTGGTTTAAGGTTCAACACAGTGGATGGGAAAGGGGATTGAAGGGCATAATTACGTAGTCTATCGATCCCTTTTGAAAACAAAAATGTTATTTTTCTACTTGTCTCGCCAAGCCGCTCCCCCCTTTAGGAAGGTGGCTGCCCCGCTCCCTAAATTTGGCAGGATATGCCGATTATGTGATCATTAGGTACTGTGCGGGAAACTATGAAGACAAATTGAAGCAAAGGAATAGCCAGGCCTATATAAGGACCTGTTTCTTGTTCTTCTATTTACCTTCGATCGCCTTGGTTTTATCCCAACAACTTGATTCTTTTCAGTCGAACGTGCCGAAGACCTTATTATTCACAATGAGCCGTATCTTAATGTAGGCCACATTCTCGCTCCACGTCCTACAAGCATGATTAAGTCTCACGTTTCGCAGAACAGGTGTCACCGGGTACATCGGCGGAGACGTGTTGTATGGCATTTCCCAAGCTTTGACCTCTTCAAGCATTGTAGCTCTAGTTCGAAATGAGGCTCGAGCAGCTGCAGTCACAGAGAAATTCCCGAGTGTGACCCCCTTGATCGGAGACCTGGATTCGACCGCAATAATCCGCCAAGAAGCGCAAGAGGCCGATGTCGTGCTAAGTATGGTTTGCTCCTAGTTTTCGAAATCATATGTCATATATCTAGAGAATCTTTTGTACTGACGTCTGAAATTAACGATAGACCTTGCGAGTTCTAGCCACGGGGCGAGTGCTAAGGCAATTGCAGAGGGGCTGGCGAAGACAGAACGCAAGTCTCCAGGTATTTAGTCCGCTATCCTTAGACAAATAATAAGTTCTGACTAAATTACAGTTTGAATTCAAATTGGTGGCGGGAGTGTCTTGTGCGGATCGGGGATTGCGTCCAAAGCCTATGGCCAACCCGGCTTCAAGCTCCATAACGATCTCCCAGGAGTTTCGGAGGTCCAGGATATAATCACTACATCTCCTAAGAGAGTTGTGGACCATATCCTTCGAGATCTGAATTTTAGTCAGCCAAACATCCGTACGGCAACAGTGTATGGACCTCTGATCTATGGTCAAGGCAGAGGCCCGGTCAATAAGCGGAGCATCCAGCTTCCAGACCTAGCAAAGGCTACCCTGAACTATGGCCATGGCGTTCATGTGGGGAGGGGTCTTAATGCTTGGAGCAATATCCATATCACTGATTTGACTCGTCTGATCGTGGCATTAGTTTTAGAGGCATCGCGACCGTCTAATCCGCAGCTGTGGAATGCGAATGGAGTATTCTTTGCTGAATCTGGGCGGATGGTAAGCCTTCTCCCTGGCTTTACTCTTTCTGTGGTTTGTTTAGTAACACGTCTTCCATTACTCCAGTCCTTTGGAGACATTTCCAAGCGAATTTCAGTCTTCGCTCACTCCAAGGGCCTTATCAGATCACCCGAATCTGTCGACATCGATGCAGAAACTGCGGACAGTCTCACGCCCCATGGATCTGTGCTTTGGGGCACAAATGTGCAGTATCAAGCTATTCGAGCGAGGGAACTCCTTGGCTGGTGTCCACAAGGCCCTAGTCTTGAGGAAGAGATTCCTCGAGCAACTTTAGTCGAGGCGACATCTGGTCGCTCGAAATCGCTGGAGAAATTAGCCTGAGTCTGATGATGTTCTTTTTATGTGTTCATGGTAGATAATCTATAAGCTGGCCAACTAGGTTATGCTCGAATATACATCGTCCAATGCAATAAGGGCCTTTTTCTTCTTCATTCTCCCGCCTTTCCAACCACTAGCATAGTGAGGATATGAAAGTATATCTACGTATTGGTGTTAGTTCCATTATCACTCCTTGGTGTGCCCAATTTGGTGTGCACGCCTACAATAAATGTGGATTGTAGTGGCAAAGCTGCCGATGACAAATCATTTGGCGACCTTCCAAGACCACTAACTATGACACTTACCCCCAGTTTCGGATCGGCCGACCGGGAAAAAAAGGTCAGGTCATCTCACTAGCAACAGCCGGCATTTGAGGACAATTCGATTTCATTTTCAGGTCCGCCCTGAGAACCTCCGTCATATGACGCCTCGTGACCGTTCCTTAACAGGCTGTGGTGCTTGTCGCCTCCGTCATTTGAAATGTGACGAATCTCGCCCAGATTGCCACATGTGCCTCACAAACGGCCGGGCTTGTCCTGGATACACACCTCAGTTTAAATGGATGCAATTCTCACATGAGTCAGGCCACTCTCTCAGTAAAGAGGTTGACGACCGTGTCTTTCGTCGTCCATTATATCACAGTCAGATCTTGAACCCTTTCCGCTTCCAACATGAGTCCTTCCTAACTCAATCAGTAGAGAGTCAACAAGAAGTAATGACAAGGGCCACCACCAACAGCCTTGGCAAACAAAAAGCAAGTGCCGCATTAGAGAGCCTTGATGCTTGGCTAGTAAGCCGCGATCAAACAACGTCCCTTGAAGATTCATCACATTTCTGGGGACCTTTTGGGATCTTGGATCTATCAATAGACAACAGTACCCAATATGACCAGTCAAGGCTGATCACGAGCCAGGGAGAAAATTTACAGCAAACACACAATTCGCTGTTGTCCAGTCCAGAGAGCATTTCTGTGACAGAAACTGACTGTTATGTTCAAGAAGCGCATATTGGCACGTCAACTTCTGATGAGACTGCTACTAACCTCATAACACCGCTTGATGTGGATTTCACGATCGATACTGGTTCCTTTAATCAGAGCATTTCCAGCCGAAACTCTTCCCCATGCTTGCTACCAAAGAACACTCCACCTATTCTATTGGACATACCAGAGAACCATTTAACTTGTCCACCGGTTCCACCAAAAGCTCTTGAGCTTTTACGGTATTACACAGAATACCGTGCTTCGCCACTGTTATCTTTGCGGGGAGCGCGCAGTTGCCCGTGGCACACAATACAGCTTCCGAGCGCGAAGAAAACGTATGCCGAACTTCTCCTACACCAACCGGTCAGCCATACTGGCCTATCTCTCTTCTTCTCCCTTCTTGCTGCTAGCTCCCTACATCTCGCGTCTCGAGGTGATCATTCTGACAGTTGGGTCAAGCTGCGTGACTCATATGAGCAAACGTCCAGGCAGCATCTCAATATTGCGTTGAAGGAAGAAGTTGCGGGAGAAAATCGTGTAAAATATAAGGAGCTACTGATGGCTTTGTTGTCGATGGTAATGATTGAGGTATCTACTCATGCTACCTTCCACGGTTCATGATGAACAGCCCTGATTAATACATTCTATAGATATTCCGTGGACAATATTGCAGGGCCCAGAACCTTCTCGTTGAGGCTGAGCTCCTGATTAGACGGCGAGGCTTGCCAAAGGTGCACAAGTCTCTCAAAGTCCGATCTCTCCATCACGTCTACACCTATTTGCGGGTTATGGCTGAGAGCACGTGTGGCTGTGCCCTCGTCAGCATTTGTCCTCAGCGCCCTAACTCCAGTCTTCTCTCGGCTGAGCCCTCTTACCACTTACTGCGCAGCTTTCGTGTAGCAGACCACACTACAACTACCGATCTTGATGCCCACTTTGAAAAACCCCTAGAGTCTGGTTATAATGACATACATCTAGAATTAATGGGAGGATGGAATAACTCTCTCTTCCCAGCGATGTATGGGTTACCGGAGTCATTGATGGGACTTTTATCCCACACTATTCGCCTGGCAAATGAACAAGAGCTTTTGAACCGCGACACAACTCTGGATGTTGATATTGTCGCAAATCTGAGTCTGCGAACAAGGGCCCTAGAACATAAGATTCTTTCTTGGGACAGAACACAGTCGTTTATGCATTCGACAGAGTCAGGTGTCAGCAGTGCAAGAAGCAAGAAGATTCTCCATTACAGTTCACTTGCTATGCATCAAGGTCTTGTTCTCTTCTATTACCGGCGAATTCACAACATCAATGCGTTGATTCTGCAAGATACCGTTCGCAGGGTCTTGGAATTTGCAGAAGAGAGTGCCACCAATGACAACGCAGCTGATGATCTCAACCCATTACTGCTATGGCCTTGCTTCATAGCAGCGTGTGAAGCTTTAGAGCCAAGCTTACGAGATCGATCTCTCAAGTGGCTGCTCGATGCTGACCGTCGGACACCTGCTCCATCCTTCTTCGTCGCTGCTGACGTAGCTCGAAAGGTATGGAGTCTGCGCGAAGAAACCGAGGATTATACACTTAGCTGGTTTGAAGCGATGGGACCAGATCGGTGTCCAATTATTGTAATATAAACAGCATTCATTATGTTGACTTGTACGTTTGCGGGCATGATAATTACTGCTCCAATTTCTCTCGGTTCCTTCGTTCACCTCTTCCGATGGATATTTGATAGATCTTGAAGAAGTTACTAGCGAGTATGCTGTTCTGACATACTGACAACATGTGCAATCTTATTCTAACGGTTATGAGATGAGATATATAAACTTTGAAGATCGTGTTGCACATAGTCGAGAGGCAGAACCATGTTATCATAATCCAATTCCCACGTTCACATCATCTGTCTTTATTATTCTTGTTGTATCTTACCAAGAGATATATATACTCTCGAAAGGTAGGTATGGGGCCACCGCAGTAATCTAAATAAGATATCATGTAAATGACTGGATACGATGCACTAAAAGAGTTTAATTACTTGTCTTTTAGTAGGTTTTTTGCAGTTGATGCATACATAAAATGGTCGCAGGAGATAATATAATGGCGAAACGCCTCCATAGTTATTGTGTCTTAGGGCCTCTGCTATCCTTAAAGAAGTGCACTATCTATTCCATATTTCAGTAGGACCAAGTACATACGACCACAGGGTGAGGAGAACAGGGCTTCCCGTCCGCTCAGCCGTACTTAAGCCTCACGCCGGCCGGTTAGTAGTTGGGTGGGTGACCACCAGCGAATCCCGACTGTTGTATGTTTTTGCTTTCTTTTTTACTTTGCTCACTTACTGATTGAATCGGGCCTTTTTTTTATAGGCGAGATTGTTTGCTTATACATGCTCAAACAGTTGACTGCTCTTTTCTAATAACGCCTGCCGGGATACCGTCACAGGCACATGGTTAGGAATGCCAAGCCGAAAACCGCCACTTTTCCGAGAATACTGCATTGATGCTCGACCTTTTGAAGGTTCAACTACCTTATATCCGATTTCTAGTAGTCGTCTTGTCTATCTTGGATTAGATACAACCGCAGAGTACTGTTTTCTGGTCAGAATGATGACTAAGATACGCTTTCGGCCGACGGCTGCCGGGAAACCCGAAAACCTTCGGGTTGAAGAATGTGGTTTACGATACCCGCGGGCGGTGTAGAACCGTACGTGTTGACTGCAACAACCTGCTCTACTATCTTCTATCGCTATTTATTCCGGGTTGACACAGTGTTGAGCATGCCGGCCTCGAGTACCCCGCAGTCGTTGAAGCGCAGACGTGTGGTGACATCTTGTTCCGAGTGTTATCGCCGAAAGCAAAAGGTTCTGACTTGTCGCCTTGTTGTGGAAATCTCAGACTGCCGTCTGACCTCCATCTAGTGTGACCGTAAAACTCCATGCAACAATTGCAAGGCCCGAAACGTCATTGCCCAATGTGTCTACGATGCATACGCCCCGTAAGTAACTTCGTATCCATTCATTACAAGCTGTCGCTTCGATCCGATATCGTCATTTAACGCGTTCAATAGAGTCAAACCAGCAGACAAGCACCAGGAATCGGCCTCCAATGCCGAGTCCGGCACGGACCCAGTAGAATTACTGGGATCCGTAGAAGGGATGGCCCAAGGCTCGGCCGATCTTGGCTATTCGCTGGTTTCTGACAGCAATACGTTCGTGGGATTGCAAGAAGTATGTAAAATCTTTGCCGGAGTGTACTTTCCCGCCGCCTAACTGACTGAAATGAGATCATCGGGAATGAGGAATTTGAAAACATCACAGTCCCTCGCAATTACGCACCACGAACCCTACTACCCAAAAGGGACACTGAAACGTTCCTTGGAAAACTGCCGCCCAGGCCTATCATCCAAGCACTTGTCGATTTCTTTTTTGATCATGTCAATTGGCATTACTCTATTCTGGAGAGGTTTTATTTTGACAGCTTGCTTTCACGATGGCCACCTTCGGAAGAAATGGAGACCGTGAGCTACCTGACAACTAAAGAACTTTCCATGGAGATGCGATATTTTCCGGCCTTACTCTTCCAAGTGATTGCCTTATCACTGCAATTTGTACCAACTGGCTGGGACGTCTGGTCAAGGTTACCCGCAGCGGGAATTTTGGCTTCGGAGCAATATAGCGACCTCGGTGACGAGCTGTTGTCGCTGTTGGGGAGACCTGGGTTGGCTCTCGTTGCAGTTCAAGCAGACTTCCTCCGGTCATCGTGGCTGAAGAATTGCGGACGAGGCATTGAATCTTGGCATACGGTTGGATCTGCTATTAGGTTCGTACGACCCTGGCTGTTCTCTAACAAACTCGTGTTCCAAATGGACTAACTCGTTGGCATCACTCTGCAGACAGGCTCAAGAACTTCGACTTCATCAGCAAAAGGAAATTCATCAGACTCATCACTTAAATGTTGGCAAAACGCTAAGTTTGTTCTGGTACGAAGAGAATAAGAAACGCCTTTGGATTAATCTGTTCGTCTGGGATAGGTGAGACTGATACACCCAGATGCTTTATGGATTTCCTTCATCTGATTGGCTTAGCTTCATGGCGATGATTCTCGGTCGCCCTCGGATGATAAACTTGGATGACTGTGATACGAAGCCGCCTATGAATTGTAATATCCCTAGGGACCCTTCCACCGCGATACCGATGACAGTGCGCCCTGAAGACAGTCACAGTCCTGTAATGATCTCCGCGCCACTATTTCGATACTCTCTTGCATGCAAAGTGCATAAAATGAAGGCTACGAGAGCAGACAGCCCTCGCCTGACCAATTACACTATTGTCCAAACGTTACATGAGGAAATAATGTTATTGATGGACGAATTGCCTCCTTTCTTGCGGCTAAAAAACGCAGACACTACCTGGGACCTTGAGCACCAGTATCTCCCCCAGCTTCGCCAGGAGTTACAGGTTATGCTGAACCTATTCGTTATGGCATTACATCGACCACATATTATATCTAACGAAGAGAGTAGAAGAGCCGCTTTGCAGGCGGCGCTTCAAACGCTTGATTGTCAACGGTGCTTTTTCGCACAGGCTGAAAAAGATCAATACCACTTATTTGGCATGGCATTTTATACGGTGGATGCCTCATTTCTTGTCTCTATCATCGCCATTTTATTTCCGCCGTCAAGTCATAAAGCTAAACAAAGGGTTGACCAAAGCCTCCAGCATGCTATTGAGGACCTCTCCAGAATGCAGTCCTCCAATCCGATCGCTAGGTCAGGCTTGGGGATTCTCCGGCACTGCTATCAAAAAGTGAAAATCACCTTTGAACCGCCCAACAGCGCTTCCGAGTCCAGGACCGTCTCGCACGGCACCCCTGGTGATGAATTGAATACCCTAATCAATGATGTTGGGCTTCAATCTTTTGATTCATGCCCAAACTTAGAGTCGGATACTTCTCAAGTTAACACAGCGTCTTGGCATGGGTCTCCAGATCTTCCTTCGCTGTCGATACCAGACGTCTTTAATCAGGGATACTGGTTGAACCAATTGAATATGATTTATCCGTCTATTTCCGACGAAGATACAGGGTTGCTGTGGGAGAGTCTTTATTCTGACTGAGACTTCGTGTCTTTCAGCCCTCATTGGCCTTCCAAGAGCTATACCACCCATCGAATGGTTGCGATGGATCACCTCTGGAAATGAACGAGAGAAGGGGTAGTTTGTCATAGTAAAGGATTTTGTATATATTTGCTATGAAAAGCCTAACACGAGTTGTCGAGTCATCCAATCCCCAGATGAAGCATTCTTAGTGTTATTCTCCACAACCGTGCTGCAGTGAATGGCGAGTCCCAGTAATCGTATTTCGCATCGCGTTTCGCAGTTGCTATATACTAACATCTATCCAGCTCCAACTTGCTCTGCCCTAAAGTGGACCGCACCAACAACTGACGTTAACCCGTCGGCCACTAGCCGAGATGTTTCTTCATGAATTCGGCAACGTTCTCAGCAGCCGGTCCGACATAAGCCTCGTTATCGTAGAAATCCATATGCGCACCGTTCGGAACAATAACCTTTTGCGTAGCACCGCCAATCATCTTATCCAATCGTTCAGTGTGCCACAGAGACCCTGCCTTTTCGCCAGCGATGAGAAGAGCAGGCTGCTTGAGGAACACATCTGCCAGATGGAAAGCATCAAACGTAAGGACGCGAGGAAAGCTGAGAAACAGCATTTTATTCTCCGCGCGCGGGTGCTGTGCGCGCGGGGTGAGGTAATAATCACTCGCTTCTCTCATATCCCTTGGAGTCGTGCTGTCCGGCTGGGGAGGGACGTAAGGAGCAGAAGCGCGTTCGGCACCCTTCGCTTCAGCAGAGATTTGGGCTGCAGCCGCACGAAGGGACTCGACTTGCTTGGAAGGATCTTCATCCCCATCCCACCCCTTGCGCGCGGAATCGCCAATGTTGACCATGCTGATGGTTGCCAGGGCCTTCAGCCGGTGGTCTGCCTTTGCCGCTGCAGCTGCGTAACCGCCTCCAGCGCAGATACCCACAACACCGATCTTCTCGGGGTCGACAGCATCAAGGGTTTGAAGATAGTCGATGACGGCGTAGACGTCGCTCACTCGTTCGTTCGGGTCTTCAAGGAAATGAGGTTCACCCCCACTAGCGCCCTGGAAGGAGGCGTCATAGGTGATTGTTGTGAAGCCAGCGGTTGCCAATTTCTGAGCATAGTTATGGGCGGTTTGCTCCTTGACACCACCGCCAGGATGGATGATCACTAGTCCGGGGGTTGTCTTTGCCGCTGGGTTCGAGGGTCTGAAGAGTAGGCCAGCCAAGTGGATTGGCCCCTTTTTGATGGAAATTTCGGTCATGGTGTGGAGCAGTTTTGAAGTCGAGATAACCGTCGCCTGGAAAGTTGGGCGCTGTGAAATATAATTCGATTTAATAAATTTCTGGGACCGTCATTATGACCCTCAAATTTATATTCGCATGGACGACAACAGCTGCGAAGGTCATGACGACACCGTCGGCCGATGGATCATTGGGGTGAAAAGTAGATCGGCCGCTATGATCCTTGGCATCGATAAGGGAGAGGAGGCAATGGCAATAATCTGGTACTGCTTTGGGAGCGGCAATATCGGACTTGGAAGATCGGCCGAAATCCATCGGTTGTAACGTTGAGCCCGAAGACTTCGGTTTCCAATAAGGTTAAGTCATGACATCCTATTGCCGAAATACAAGTATCCCCCTGCAGCCTTTGAAAACACACGCTGGCTTGTTACGAACAACAAACACCTATCTATCACACACGACTACAATCATGTCGGAGAATATCAAGTCTGTCAACATCCCAAATATTACGTGGAAGACTGCCGCCGACATCCACCTTCCACCCAACTTTGACGAGAAGAAGAAGTACCCCGCCGTCGTCTCTGCTCACCCTATCGGCTCCTGTAAGGAGCAGACCTCGGGCAACATATACGGAAAGGCAATTGCGGAGGCAGGATTTGTGGTTGTCGCCTTTGACGCTTCTTTCCAGGGCGCCTCCGGTGGCGAGCCTCGCTTTATCGAGGACCCTGAGTTCCGCGTCTCGGACTTTCGCTTTGTTGTCGACTACATCCAGACACTTCCCTATGTCGACGCCGAACGCATCGGCGTGCTCGGCATCTGTGGAGGTGGTGGCTACGCCATTAATGCGGCCATGACGGACTACCGTCTCAAGTGTTGCGTCGGCATCACGCCCGTGAACTTTGGTCGACTCTCCCGCGAAGCCTTTGGCAATTTCGACCCTGCTGGCTCATTGGAGAAGATGGCTAAACAGCGAACCATCGAGGCACAGGGTGGCCAACGTCTTGTTATCAATCTGCTGCCCCCATCTGTCGAGGAGGCCAAGAAATCGACCGCGGACATCGACGTCATCGAGGCGACCGAATACTACAAGACCCCCCGCGGCCAGGCGCCGAATGGCTGCACCAGCGGTCTTTATTCTTTCAATAGCGCCGCTCTCGCGTGGGATGCCTTCAATCATGCGGAGGTACTGATGACGAAGCCGCTCATGGCTGTCGTCGGTGACAAACCCGGTGGTTTCGGCGCCTACCGTGATGCCCAGGAGATATACGGGCGGGCTGGTTCCCAGGAGAAGCGCATCGTCGTACTGCCGGGGATCTCGCATTACATGCTTTATGACAAGCCCGAAGCTGTCAAGCCCGCGCTAGACCAGGTCCTACCCTTCCTTAAAGATCACCTTGGTAACGCTAGGTAGATCGGAATCTCCGCAGTCTAGGATATCATGAATAAACGAATTGTTATAAACTGGTCGAGGCGGAGCTTGTGCCCATCCTAAATCCAAACTCTTCTGTTGCATGCGTGAGAATTGGTCGCTGAATCTTCATCATTCGAGTAGAGTCCTGTTAGTTGTTGTTTTGTGATAGAACAGGGGACAAAATGCTGTAAACTATTCGCACTGCGTCAGGAAATATACTCTATTGTATACGATAGATTTTCTATAACTTTATGAATTTTGATGGCTTCGATCTATAATGTAAACACGTCAATGGGACACAGTAATAACAACTTTTCCGGGGCATTGCCCAGAGTAGAGAAAGTCGAAAGCCGCGGGTGATTCCGTGAAATCGAACGTTTTGCCTATGATAGGTTTCAAGGAAACATGATTTTCCTCTAGGAACCGGCAAAGATTCTCTTGGTCGATCTTCGATCCAACTTGGATTGCCCTAAGAATCGCTTAGTTCCATTCGTCGCGACTCTTCAAAGGCCCGTTTGTTTAATTTGTAACTTACTTCAATGTCCCCGCTTTCAAGAAAAGCTGCCCCAAGGATTTGACAAAGTCGTCAAGTTGTAGTCCCCCCAGGAACCCAATCCAAGAGATTTGACCGCGGGTGGCCATGGAGATGACACTCTTTTGGATACTTGCGCCCCCGACGGTTTCGAGCACAGTGTCAACACCTTTCCCCGTGGTTAACCGGACGACCTCCTCTTCCCAATTAGGATTTTCACGATAATTAATCGTGTCAATAACACCGTCTGGACCAAGGGCTGCAAGATCCTGTAGCTTCTTATCCGAAGATGATGTAATTATCGGGCGAATACCGCCGGCTAGACAGATCAATAATGCGAACAAACTGACGCCCCCAGTCCCTGCATATGATTTGCGAGTTAGCTCATCCAGAAGATTTAAGACACCAAAAGCTCGGGATTCTGGCTTACCAAGCATCAGAGCACTTCTTGTGCCTTCGTGACTTTTGTTCATCTCCAAGGCGTTCCAAGCAGTAGTGCCAGCACATGTTATGCACGAAGCCTGAAAAAATGGTTAGGTAGGCTTTGAGATAACACCATGGAGACAAGAAAATGCCATGCAGCATTGGAGGCCAAATAGGGAAACGAAAGTGGGAAAAAGGACTGGGATTAGGCAACTTACCTCAGCCCAAGAAAGATGATTTGGGACACGAACAAGCACGCTCTCATCGAACACTGCATACTGGCGAAGTACCCCATCGACGTTTCCGCCTAGTTGAGCAACCTGGTTTTCGGGATCCACCCCATCGATGTACTTCAAATCAAAGATTGGTGACACGCGGTCTCCGAGTGAAACTTTGCTGACTTCTGATCCTAGAGCAATCACCTCTCCTGCGCAGTCAGATGCAGGAATCCCGTGATCTTTGACTGGGACTGGATATTGGCCGTGGAGCATTCCAATGTCTCTATAGTTCAAAGAAACGGCATGGATGCGAATGAGTACCTCGTTTGAGTGAAGCGGCGGGATGCGTTCGACAGATGGAAGGATAGTCCCAGTGTTCTCTCCCATTCCACGTCGAAATGCTCTGTAGGATTCCGGAACTGACATCTTTTCGGAAGCAGACATCCTTTCGGGTGCGAAAAATCCGATTGAAATTTTCGCCTTGGAAATTCGAAATGTTATGTTCGCACCTGCACGAGGCCAGCACTTTAAATGGCTCTAAATAGACTCCCTCACAATTCAGTTATCCTAGCATTATTAATAACGATGAGATCATCAACTACTAATAATTATCAATCGAAGTTGGGAATTAATCATCTGGCTTTGAGCCGAAGTCCGATCAGTTCGCTGCAATTTCGGCCGATACACCCAACCGAATACGCTCCAAGGGGATTTTCATGAAATAGTGTTGATCATGATCGTTTTCTTCCGCATGCCCAGTTTGAGGGTTGTTAAAGTGGCCTGGATCTCAGATTACCATATTTTTCCAAGTTTTAACCACCAAGATGGCGATTCGGCCAGTCGGGGGGGGGAGCGAAGATTGACCACAGCTGTAGCATGTCTCTGATGTACGAGTTTGGCTTAATGAGCCGAATCACCTCAAAGCCAATCAACATTATAAGCCCAGTGGCTCTATCATACATCATGTTATGTTGACTCTTGTCCAAGCAAACAACCCTGATACTCCTCAGAACAGCGATCGCCTCACGCATTTCTGATCGACAATGGGCCTTTTCATTGTTCGGCAAACTGTCCCAAATAGCGATGAGGGATTCTTCATGAAATCTTTAAAGTACTAAACCGAGATTCCTTGAAAATGCTGAAGAACAATAGATGGTTCCGCGTTGGTGATCTGTCGTGAAAACCCCGTAACTTTCCCGACTTTTCTCGGCCAGTTTCTGATAAGTCCGGGTTTCATAGACTCTTGATAAAACGAGGGGCCCTAGCATTTTGCAATTGCTTGTTCTCTGGTCCAAATTGTTTCAAATATCGCTTTTTCTTGAGGAGCCAAAACCGTTCCCATAAGACGAGTTCTGTTTACCATCAGCTCCATTGTGTCCCGGAACATCGCAGTAAATCCCGTGTGACGAACCTTGATTTTCCGGAAGCGAAGTCCACGACGCGTCTGCCTAAGGAAATTAGCAATGAGGCTATGATTCCGGAAGTGCCATAAAATATCAGCTGATGGCCAGCTTTCTTGGCCTGCCTATATTCCTCAACAAGAGCTCTATGACTTCCATATCGCCGTGGAGAAAATCGGCCACTTCTCGCACGGCGTGCATGGCGTTATTGACAAGAAAACCTTGTACCCCTGGTTTGCACGCTACGCCTAACCCCCTTGGGGCACCACGAGGGCGAAGGACTCGAATTAGTCACAGTATGGCGCGAGAAGGCTCTTGATTTCTTTGACGAAAATTTGCCTGGACTTGCTCAGGTCGTAAAGAAAATTGCGACCAACCGGGTTGAAGGGTTCGAAATCCTTCATCGCTGAGGAGATCGGGCATTGGTGACTAGGGGCGCTTTCGATGGTTTAAAGGAAGCAATCGGGAGACATGACTGTAGGCAGTATGAATGTCAAACAGTAGTCTGATGGTAAAGTCGATTTGTTTCTATAGTCTTTAGAGAAGAATTGTACAAAAAGATGTACAGAAGAAGGCTTATCAGTATTGGTATGGTAGGAAGAGTCGAGGAAAAGTATGCTGATGAGTGTAGATTTGCTTCAACATGGGTCAGAGATTACGGCTCCATAATATAACCGAGCTAGGACTTTGTAGTCACTTCTATGTATAGTGAATGTTTAGGACTAAGAGAAACGTAGGAGGTCAAAAAGTGAAGAGGTGTCTTGAAGACTATAGGTTCCAGCATACTTTCACTGTCTGCACCATGTAGAAAACTCTTATATTTCTGCCATTCACTGTTTGCACCATCCGCAAAATTCTTATGTTTCTGACCAATCCATTACGCTGCCGAGAAACAAGTGTGTGGGTTACTCCATAAATGCATTGAATTAAGCGAGATAATTTATATTGGGAATGCCACGAAGATCAGAACGACCCAGTATACGCAATCGCTGAAAGTCTTTTGAGCAATGTAACTTTATCAAGGATCTTAGTGGCTAATAGGTGTGGAAGTACATTGTTGGCGCCTTCCGCTAGATTTCTTAGCATGTAGACGGCTAGACCAAAAGCCCTAGATGAGGGAATTATCTGTTCTTGTATATCAACCAGGTTTGGGGGAGGATTCCGGAGGTTCTGCCGCTCATACCGCAATACATATCACATGACTATTCTTATACGATGAAATCCATCGCCCTGCAGTAGATAGAGTTTACAGTGGGCAAACAATTCTCTCTTTTCCATCTCTATTCATTCATTTAGTCATTCCTGATACAGTGCATCTATTGCGAGCTCATTTTAGAGCGATCCTGTCAAGCGATAGAAAGTGAGGAGCTGGAGGTGCTAACTATTGGCGAATACTTATATAAGCTTTCGGCAGTTGCGATGGGATTGCCATGGTTCTTCTATGGTGAAGTGATGATGTGGTCATCTTGATAATTGTGACTCACATTGGGCTTGCCCAAACCTGGGGCACTGAAACTTCCTGACACCAAACAGCTGCATCCCAATCCGAAACCAGACACCAAACCTCTCAGGTTGCATACACAAAAGCACACGCTACAAATCATACAGTCTACCAACCATGTGGGATTTCAGCTTTAAGAGGCGAGTTTTACATGTTGATGGAAAGAAGCTCAAGGTCGTGGAACAGTTCAGCGAGGTTCTGGACCATAGAGTAGGCCAACGGAATGTCCTCGTAAAGGCCAGAAACATCGACAACAATATCATGTCTTTGCTGAAGATACGTTATCAGCTGGACCCAGAGATATTCGGCTTTTTCGGCGATGAAAACAAGGAGATCATGGAGATAGCTGAAGAAGACTTTCTCTTCGAGGTCCAGGCTGCTATGGTCCTGAGTGAAGCCGGCCTCGGGCCACAGTACATCAACTACGAAAGACGAACTCAGCCAGAGTGGATGCCCTTTCCTAAAGGGTGTGTCCACGTCCTTGTGATGAAAGTTCCCCCAGGAGAGAACCTTGACGAGATCCGTGATGACCTCACGGATCGCCAGTTGGACAGCATAAGGACCCAGCTCGCGCACATTCTAGAGTGAGCCTAAACGGCCCCTTTTATAAACATAAAAATAAAATTCGTTTTTTATACATGTCGCTAACGTATTTTTGGTTCGTACCCCCAGAATAATGCGCCAGAATTATAACAAGATGATCCAGCAACACCCGAGCTATCTGAACTACGACGTGCACACGAACAAGCTCTATCTAGTCGACCTGGCGGGCCTTGGCTTCACTGACCCAGACGACAATACATCGTTCCCGATCGACGAGGAGAGTCCCTACGTCGAAGCATTCAACCTTTGGCGGGAGCCGTATCATAAGGTCGATGAAGGCTCGGAGGAGGCAGGAGAAACACCATCACCCGATAAGCGTGTCGTGGAAAAAAGCCACGATCCGACCAGGCCGGTCAAGAAGCAAAAACGCCCTCCATGGAGACATTGAATCAGAGCGAACTTGGAGTGGTGAAATTCTTTTTTCCCTTTCTTTTTCAAGTAGCTAGAAGAGATCATCGTTCCGAGGAATAGGCAAGACACAGATCAGGAGATAGCTACTAAATATTACGCGGCTTGCTTGGACCCTCTTACGATGCTATACGTCGCGCATAACATCAGACCCCGTACAACGATCAAAGAAACGTAGCCAAGACGTAGCCTGAGTTTAGGTGCTGTAATAGATCCCGGTGGAGGTCCCGCACGAGGAGTTGAAAAGGCCCTAGGAATTGAAGGCTTAACCGGAAAAGGTTTGATGGGAAAGTTTAGCATAGATAGACAGGGAGTAATTTGTGCTATTTGAGATTGATTCACAAAAAGAAAAAAACATACAACAGCCGGGATTCGCTGGTGGTCACCCACCCAACTACTAACCGGCCGGCGTGAGGCTTAAGTACGGCTGAGCGGACGGGAAGCCCTGTTCTCCTCACCCTGTGGTCGTATGTGATAGGATTAGTATTAGAATAGATCATATTCTCCGTCGAGTATTTGGACCATGGGGGTGACCTGGATGAGTTTGGCATGCTGGTTCAGGACTGTATTTAAGATCTCCTAGATCCGCCGCCTTAGGGTGACTGTTCTCACATGGGGATACCACTCATACTTTTCGAATCTGCGACTATAGACCGACTTGATGCCGTTGTCGACACAGCTAATGGAGATTTCCGAGGGCCCGGTCCGAAAGATGGGATCGAGCCTCTCATACTAGCTTATCCAACTCGTGAGCGAGTCTGAGGAGAAGCAGTTTCCAGCATGAGTCGTGAAAGCCGAAGCACCAAGGGCTTTCAGATAGTTCCCAAATTAACCATTCCTCTACCTCTTCAGTTTCCATATCGGCATAAGATAGACTGCTGTTAAGCAGCGCATGAAGATCATTTTGCATGCGTACTCTTCCTACTGCGGTGATGCTGACATTGCCAATAGTCAGATCGGTTGGGTAGATGCCTCGTACTTCGACATACCAAGGGCGAACGGGCGCCTGAGGAGACGCAGAATCATCATTATAACGATCGGGCAGCAGAATGATGCCACAGAATGGGCAGTAAAAGTTGGTAGGCATCAGGCCGAGGTGTCGCCCGGCCTTGGTCTTTTGTCGGAGGAGTTAGACACGAGAAAGACGCAACTGCCCCTGGGGGCTGTCAGAATCAGCATGGATGGTGGAGCTTCAATTACCTAGTTTTCCCTACGTGTTCTATGGCAGTGGATAATCATTAGTTCCCTAAATTGGTAGCAATACAAAAATGCGCCAATCATCAAAGAGAAATAACCGCTAACTATATGTCTGCCTAGATCATTTTGGGCGCCTAGCCCACGTTCCACCATCATGAAGCAAGTTCAGCGGCTCGAAAATGCAAGCATAGTTCAGTAAGGAGATTGATTTGTTTCAATATCAATCGCTGTGGAGCCGCACGCATGCTAATGTTGGACTTGCCGCCAGTACGAAAGGAAGTGCAGATGTGGCCACTGTTAGGTCACAGTAATAACTCCTCGATAGCAATCGACTGGACACGAATGACTGTCCCTTCAACTCGGGCGCTAGATATGAAACCACTGGACATTTGCGTATTGTTTATCTCCCATTCGTCATGATGACCCCGCTCGCAGTTATTTAAACGCGCCAGAGGGCCCTGCAATATTCTCAAATCTTCATAGCATTTTTCAAACGGCGCATCTTACCTGCCCATCCCATCTCATCACCATGACCTCCTATACTCCAAGACTTCAGGGCAACCCGGGGTTCTTCAGTGCCCTGCAGTTGGTCAAGTCGCAAAGCCTGGAGGAGGCAGTCCAATATGTTTGGCAAACAATCATCAGCACATGGTTCAACTCCCTTGACGGCTACACAGTGAGCTACAAAGCCTCCACGCTCGCCAACAACAATGAGCCCGATGGTATCGCCATCCGAGTTATGGAATTGGCCCCGAAAATTGAGCTGTCAACCGACTTCGCCGAACGCCAAATCTTGCTCGTCCAGTGCAACCGCCCGTCTAGCGACACTCCGGCGGGATGGGATGGCATAGTTGAAAACCGGTTCCGTGATGATCTCTCGCAAACTTTGAATGATTCCGAAAAACTGTATGGAGCAGTTGCTATTGGCACGAAAGTGAGGTTCTATAGATTCGATGGAAAAGCACCGTACAATCAGCAACTCACTCAACTCCACGCGGGAGCCATCGATATGAATGCACCAAATGGCATCACAGAGGTCGAGAACATGATGAACTATGTCAAGGCAAATGGATGGCAGTGGGCCAGCACCTGAATTGGGTTTGGGAGCAGTGTTGGGTCCTGGTGCGATTGATTGGTATATCATGTCTGGTTATAGTAGCAAGGTGCACTTCAAGACTCGCTTGCTTTAGTTAGGCCAGCCTTTCGAGCACCCCAGTTCAATACCTAAGCCAATCGGAGGATGGTAGTGGCATACGTCCTGTGTAGTCCTCGTCATACGTCACATGCATTTCTACAGACAAGACAGTGAGCAGTAGAAATTGCCCTCGGTTTACCGAGGGCAGAGAGGATATGTGTTGGGGAAAGGAAGGAAGAAAACCCCAGTTTTCTAGAAGTTGAACACTACCACCATTTGTGGACCTGATGGCAGTCATGTACCTGATTATCCCCGAACCCTCTGTTAGAATTGCTTGTCAGGGAGCACGCCTTAGCTAGGCCTTGAAATCTATGGTGAAGCAACCGTGGTGTGCTATGTTGCCAGCAGGGTCGGTGAGGAATTATAGTCGCAATCGGGCCTCCATATGTACAAAATGTGTCATACCAGGTGGTGCGCGATTTAGGGGGACAAAAGTAAAAAAGAATAAAAAGCAAAAACATACAACAGTCGGGATTCGCTGGTGGTCACCCACCCAACTACTAACCGGCCGGCGTGAGGCTTAAGTACGGCTGAGCGGACGGGAAGCCCTGTTCTCCTCACCCTGTGGTCGTATGTGCTAGATATCAGGAAAGAATAAAATATATAGAACATAAAATAAAGTTAATAGACAACTCGGAAAGAGGGGTATACAAACAATGCGAATCTGCAAGATTTTAATAGGCATAAGGTTCCAAAAGCTGCATCCCGCAGCTGAGGATGACCGTCAAGAGATAGTGAAAATGATTTCCGAGATGACCACACTAACAGAAGTCTGTCTCCCCTATGTTGGAATAAAACAGGAAAGGAAATTACCAGACTCCACATGTATATATTTCGATGGCGGGAAGGGTAGAACCTCCCTACCATCGGTCACTACCTAGATACTGCGCCTCTTCCCATGATGCACGAACAGATTGATGCATGTACCGAGAGTCCATACCAAGACTTAGCTTGGGCTATTAAAAGGTATTGAGAGTGGAGACGGCGGGTAGTCAATGTTTCCCATTTGTAGCAGGCATGTTTGATCTACACCTCCTGGGCTGTACATGGAGGCGTGCTTATACTTGGTACATACGCTCAGCCCCACGATCGAGGCACGAACTGCCCGTTAACACAAATGCTGGGCTCATCCCATCTCTCGCGCTGATATGTGCATTCCGCCAGAAGTCGTGGTCTCACGATGTCTGGACGCCGGTATGCAGTATTATAGTGACGTGGTAAGGGTCTGTATTTAAGAGCCAGTAGCCCCTTGATTCGTGATATACTCTTGTGCACTTCTTTTACCATGGCTACACCATTCCTCGATCTTCAAGGAAATCCGATCTCCCAGGACCAGGTTCTCGGGAACTCAGCGCTAGTGCTACTTCAAGATGGAGTCGCTGTCAAAACCCCTTTGAGATGCCTTTGGAGCAACCCTTCTGACGTTGAAGGAAACCTCCAAAGCCTCAGGCGGGAACAAGACGTCTATTGCCGCTTACAAAGCTCGGATGATGACCGTCTAAATGGAGTAGTTCGCTGTCTTGAACCGTCAAGTGAGGCTACGCACCTTGCTTATATGGCTAATGGCGATCTCTGATCTTATCTCACCAAGTCCCGACCTTCTCATGAGCTTCAGCTGTCCTGGTGCCTTGAGATGGCTTGTATATTTAGTTATATTCATGACCTGTGTGTTCTTGTTGCGGATATTGTAAGCCGAAACTCTTTGCTCGATTCAAATTTGTTTCTTAAGTTTTGTGATTTCTCTGAGGCGTCCCTCCTCCCGTTAGGGTCTCATATGGAGGCTGTGGATGATACCGGGTTTACTACCCAAATAGATATTGGCCTACTCGGAGCAGTTATGCATGAGATTGTAACGGGCGAGAGTGCCAAAATTGACCTCTTCAGAGATACCTTTTTCACTGACGGCCGAGCCTACAGGCCAAAGAGGGAGTATTTGCCCGAGACGAGTGATATCTGGCTTGGTTGGATTATCGAAGGTTGCTGGGGCGGATGATTCCGGACTGCCCATGATCTTCTGCGGGCATTGGATAATGTCGATGCTCGTCTCGCTTCTCCTGTCTCTTCATTGAAATTCATTCGACTTGCACGGTCTATTAAAAACGCTATGGGATGTCACCACATCACAACCATCATTGGGGCGGTTGGCCTGATACTGCTCGTTGGAAGGAGGGTATTTTCGCAACTACGAGGCCTCTGATCGCAATTCCGGATCTTTGCACGTTTGAATATATTTATTTATTGGTGTCGTGGAGAATACGACCTCATACTGGGCTGCTTAGTTATTTCTGCTGGAGACACATTGTAGGATGATGGTTACCAAATTACTGACTATCGTAATATGCCAATAATCTTTGAAGTACATAAAGCATAGATAGGTGCTCTACATTTCGGTTCCTTATACTTCCACCACAAGTAAAAAAAAAAAAATAAATAAAACATTGGTAAAAAAGAAAAACATACAACAGCCGGGATTCGCTGGTGGTCACCCACCCAACTACTAACCGGCCGGCGTGTGGCTTAAGTACGGCTGAGCGGACGGGAAGCCCTGTTCTCCACACCCTATGGTCGTATGTACTTGGAGCTATTCAATTTTGATATCTATAGGGAGCCGGTGAGTGTGGGCAAGGTTAAATGATAGCCACGCTTGTCTAAACCAGTCTACTTGAGGTGCGACAGCACTCTCCTTTGTCTCCAAATGGGTAATTTTGTTGTATCACTTAAAGCATATGATCCCGTTAAGAGGTCCGAAGGATATACGGCCAAGAAGGGTTTTCATTGAGATACAAAGATAATAATCAGATTAATAGAATAAATACAGCCTCAAAGGTCTATCCAAATGTTTTTTTTCTTGCATTCCGGAATTCAAATGTCAATAATTGGCGCGGAACCTCCGGTAAATCCGCACGACACAGCAACATATCAAATGCCTCATCACTAATGTCACGGCCCCATTGATAAAAGCACCCGTCGTAAACTCGGTAATTTTTGATTTCATCAATGAGACATTTGACAAGGCTCTCAGTCACTATCGCATCCGGTCTCTTTGCCAGGACTGTCATAAGGCCTTGTGGCGAACTGCAGGTGATTACCTCGTGCATTTCATTCTCGCCGAGTCGAGTACTTTGTGATCGGTTGAAGACTTCATCCACAGTTTCCTTGAACTCGACGCTAGGGTCATCTTGACTGCAGATAATGCTGATGGACTGCGGGCTGAAGTGGAGATCCTTTCGAGCTGCTAATATTCTCTTAAGCATGCGAGTATGGTGGTGGCGACTCTGCGCTGCCTTTTGAATAATCTTGGCTGTCAATTTCACACAAAGCATATGCGTTAGAAGGATGTCAAAGACCTGAAAGACCTTCTCACAACCCTGGAATTCTATGCGAGCGCTACTTGCGAGGAGCATCTCTTCCGTGATCATAGTGCTTGGCTGGAAACTCAACATCTCCTTCAAAGTGTCGGCCTTATTGGGGTGGTTGTACATCCCACACAAAAATGTGATAGCCTCGATAGAGACTTGAATCGAGGGCTTGGAATTCACGAGAGCACGGAACCTTCGCACATCGCCAAGGGTAGCCTCCACGGCGAGTTCTGACACATGGGCGCTAGGCCAGCGCCCAAATACCTGATCCATGATCCAATGAGTAGAGCTGCAGGTCAGGTACATGGTCTCTTCTGATAAGTCCAATTCCTTGGGGGCTTTAGACAGCAATTCGATCATTGTCAGTGATGGAGGATTGTAAGAGTTTCCAGTCCCGCAACAAAACCAGTTACCCAAAGCAGCTCTTATGATTTCCTCGGTAACCTGTTCAGGTATACTTGAGTCAACCACCTCACGCATGATCTTGTCTGCTGCGTCCGAACGGATATTGTGAATCAGTTCTGGAGTTAATGCGATTTTTGGAGCCCGTGAAAGAATAACCTGAAGGGCTTCAAGCCCAGCCCAGGTTTGTTCAAGTGCCAGGGTAAATGTTTCTTGGTCAACCTCTAATTCTGGTGAATGTATCAAAAGGATTGCCATCACCTCGGCCAAATGGATAACGGAATCCAGAGCCCCTTTAACATGCGATAGAGGAAGGCTTCGAGCCACTGGGTTATGTCGAAGCAAAAGATCAATGATCACAGGATCTCCTGACTCTCGAACAGTCCATAAAATTGTATCATCAGATATCTCCAAAGTGCAGTTTGCTTGTAATAAGAACTCGGTGAATATGACGCTGTTATGCATGTTGCCAATTGCCGCGCGCAAGGCCGCTTCGGATACCAAGACTGACGGGTCGGATGGATTCAAATCTTCTAAAGTGTACTTGATGACCTCTAGTGGATTATCATCTCCTTCGTACCGTCTTAGTGCGATTTGGAATGACTCGTAGGCCACGAAGTTGCTGTCCAAGCGGAGCAACAACCTAAGGTGGCTTTTAATATCAGCTGGTGGAGCTCCTGAGTCGAAGAGACACTTGAGTATTTCGCTGGTAACACGTAATGAAGGAATCCGGTTTAGAAGCAAGTCAAGTAGCTCAGGGCCTCCTCGGAACATTTCTCGTTGCACTTCAGGCGAGTATTCAAGATCGGATGAATACTCAAGCAACATGTTGATCTTTTGCTCCATCAATCTTTCGGATGCCATGGATAGAGACATGTAGACCCTATCAAAATTTCTCTTGTTCAGAGCACACTCCAATGCTGGTTGCATTATTCTTTTCCCATCATGTCGCAATAACAAACCCAGGATATTCGGGTTTTGGCATTCGACGGCCGCGGATACAAGCGATTTTCTGAGGCATGTGTCGGTGCCAAGCACAATTCTTGCCCCATGCTCAATCAGATATGATGCGAGTTCCAGATGATTACCAATGCATGCAAATGATAGTCCTGATCCTCCGGGGACTGTGGTATTGATATCCCAACCATTTGACAGATGATTTTCGATCTCTTCTCTAATATCATATTCACAGGCCAGGAAGAACGTCGTTGGCTTCAAATCAAAAACCAAGGACCCGTACCCTCCACTGAAAATAGGTGATAGGAAATCATCAGCATGCTTGTATTTATACAGACCACCGACCGATTTCTCGAAAGGAGATTTCTTGGTGCGTCCCTCCCGAGGCCAGAACTCGAATAAAGCTTGTGCGAGTGGCGGACTCTGTCTCAGGGCTCCTGCTCTAGCCGAATGAACAATCCAAGTCTCGGTGGCGTAATATTCAAAATCATAAGTCTGTCTTGAAATGCCCATACGGAAGCGCTCAGTATAGTAACCGTAATACTCTTCCTCATTAAGATAACAGAGACAATGGTTGGCAATTAGCGCGTGTGCAGTCGTCGATTCATACTCTGTTAGAGTCTGGAGAAATTCCTTTACTGACAAATGAATGAGCCGAAAGCTTTGTGTATCAGGATCTAGCTCCACAAAGGTAGAACATAGATCTAAAACATCCATTGCCCTTAGGTTTGAGGTCTCCTTGCCGGGGTTGTAGTTGATTGCTGAAAGAAAAGCTGAGCTCTCGAATATTTCATCACGGCATCCACACATAAGCAGTGATAAAACCAAATGAATTTTGGAAATTTTGTCATGGCTTTGATCTTGGAGCAGGGATCTGTACAGCTTCGTGTATGCTTCTCCTAGGCCGGAAGGCACTGATTTCAAATCATCGACGAACGTAGCCGGATTCTTTAACTTGATCTGCGATAGATACTTCAAGGACAGGTGTACCCAAAGAAACCTAGTAGTGTCAACAAGACCTTGGATCAATGATAAGGGGTTCTTACATTCCGTTCGATTGCTCCTTCAAGAGACATTCCATATCATTCTTGATGTTCTCTGGAATCGGGTCAGGAAGCGCCTTCTCTAGGTCCTGCAGACGCATGGTAATGAATCTCTCAATGTCGTAGTAATTGCTCTCTCCAACAAGAATCTCCTTTCGACAGGCCCAACTTCGATCCATCAAATTGCCAATGTTAACATGGTCGCGACTCGAAATGAATATCTTTACCACTGCGCCCTGTGATCCGTTGGTTAATTTCTTTAAACACTCTAACAATTCTTGTCGGACATCATCATCTTCCAGCTCATCAAATGCATCGATGATAATATTAGTCTGCCGATATTCGCTGATGATACCGGTCAGCAGACTGATGCAATCCTCTTTTCCGAGACTAGAAATATCACGAAGCTCATCGTATCTTGCAACAACGGGTTGCAGTAGGGCTCTGTGGCCCTGAATAGCGAGCTGTTTGAGCAGAGATCTCAAGGCTGTCTCGGCGGACTTGGTATCCTCCACTCGACTCGTGCTGTTGGCATAAAAGTATGCCACGCGTTCCTGATCGTTGATGCTTGCTTCGAGTAAATGGGATATGACGATAGATCTAGAGTTTATGCATCAGCACATTTCACATTCAAGCGATTATGAACGTGGGACGCAAATACACCAGATTCGATTTTCCTGCGCCCATTTTGTCTCGCAGCCAGAACAGCTCTGGTTTCTGCGACTCTCTCCATTCCTTTCAATCTGGGTGCTCAAGAAGCCACTTTCCCGTTCCTTCCATAGGACACAATGAACGGTGATGATCCATATGTAAGATCGGTGACACCCATTTCAAGACATCTGAGTATTTTTGCACCTCAATATCCATCACCACGTCTAAAACCCGTCTCAGCTGGCTGCCGATGTGGGCGATTGGCTCCGAATTCTTGAGCAACTCGTGCAGCAACTCTCTGTCGCTAATGTTCAAAATAAGCTCGACCTCATCTGACTTCCTTTGGATGTTGCTCGAGAGGTCTTTGAGCTCGTGAGGCACCAGACTCTGTACGCCATGTGTAATTTTGCCCTGCGTCCAGAATCTGTAAACTGCCATTTGATAGAGGATAATTGCAGAGTACAACTCTACTATTTTCTCTTTGACTGCATCGTTCACTTCTCCTGCGCTGCCTGGTGTATTGTTGAGGTAGAAGTGTTCGATCAAGGCATATCGGCTGATAAGATTTGCGATGGGCTCTTGATCAATGGCCAGGTCTCTGGTTTCACTGTATACTACAGCTCTCTGCTTTAGGTCAATATTAAACCCATAAACCTGGTAATCATGCTTGCCTCAACAAAGAACTGCACAAATCCCCAGACAAACGACGCGGCTTTGGTAGGATCCAGACCAGCTAACTGGGTTCCCGGATCCTTGAAAACTCCCACCCATTTGACGATGCGATCTATGATATCTCGAAAGTATATTTTTTCGCCTTGGGAATTTTCGTATCCCCACTGCTTCTCCAGGGCCTTTTCCCGAAGCGACTCCAGCGAGGTTGGCAGATTCCTCATCCTTGTTATCGTTCAAAACATTTCGGTTTTTTTCCTGGCACATTCGCATTGCTTCGTCATATTTGTCTCGGTGGGATTTCCATTCAGTGGACTGTTGCGCTTTGTCTAGTGCTTCTTGCCACAGGTCGAGCTTTGCCGGACCATGGGGTCCTTGAGTTCCTCGCTCACTTGCAGTCGAAACGTTTTGGATAGCCTTATTCTGCTCTATGCGAAGGGACAGGGTACTAGCGAAGCCGGAAGCACTGGAGGCATTTTGGGTGTTGACTTCTTGGGGCTTTTTGCCCTCATCGCGTCGGAATATGTTTTTCAGCCCGGCGGCGGCGCGTCTGAGCTTGTGCCGCCTGCTGTGCTTCATTTCTTGTTGTTGGTAACTATGATGATGCCTTTCCTCTGGTGTTCGAGCACTATCGAGGTTACAGGCTCAGCCCCACGTGAACACGTTGGCATCCAGCCTTCTCACGTGTGATTGTTTGCTTTTTTGACCAGGGTTTGCATTCTGTCAGCCAATAAGACTGTCTTGATGTTGATGTCTCTTTTCATCGTGCCATGTCCGGGGATGGTAAATTAGACAACCATAACGGTGGCTCTAAATTGCGAATGCCCGTTCCAGAGAATCTGCAGATATCAGTTATTAGTGCATTGTTGTTTTACAGAATATCTGGTAGTAAAGAATAAAGTGGTAAATGATTGGATCTGAGCAAGTTAGGATTTGGTGGTGGGCATCAGGGGGTGAAGCCATATCAGCCCCGCAATCTAAGTTGGTAGAGAACACCAGGCAGATGGATAGATAATAGGCATTTTGTTTGGGGTTTAAAAAGATGGAAAAGAAAAAGCAAAAACATACAACAGCCGGGATTCGCTGGTGGTCACCCACCCAACTACTAACCGGCCGGCGTGAGGCTTAAGTACGGCTGAGCGGACGGGAAGCCCTGTTCTCCTCACCCTGTGGTCGTATGTACCATTTCTTTCCTCCCAATATCCTATATCCTACTCAACTTTCCCAATCCATAATTCAACCTCGTCTTCTTCCACCAACAGATACCATCATGCATCTCCCCCAACTACATCCCTACCCCCATCCCCATCAACCCCCAAACCACAATGCCCTCCTCACCCCCCCACCACCTCCTTAACACCTCCTGGACCCTCCACCGCCTCTCCCCCCTCCACCATGCCAAAGAATACCCATCCCTCCTCGACAACCCCGTCGCGTTGAAAACCTACGCGACGCGCCTCCGCGACCAAATCTCCGGGTCGTCTTCCTTCTCAGGCGTCTCCACCGGCGCGGCAGAAGACGAGTCACTATCGCGAACAGGCCCACTGAAAGACTGCACCTGGGAGATTCTACCTAGTCTATCACTACTCGATGACCCCACCTCTAACCCTTCTACATATGATCCCGAATCCGACGGCCCCGGCGCCGGGATCGCCGTGACGCTAGAGTACGAGAATATCACGTACAAAGCGGCGCTTCTAGCCCCTACCTCGATCTCTCAAGACGAAGACGACGCAAGTGTCTCCAGAAAACGAAAAGGAAAAGAAAGAGCCAGGCCCGGGACCGGGAAGACGCATCTCCCGCTCCTAATGACGCGCTTCCCGAACCCCCTCCGCCAAACATTCCTGAGCTTCTTGTCTGCGAACTTCGACACCTATGTTTCGAATCTCCGCCTCTCGTCGGATTTCACCTGCTCGGCGCTGGAGATCTACGTGGGTGTTTTGAGCCAGGGGTCTGCGGGCGAGGGCTCGCGCGTCCTCGAGGACCTGGTCAAGGAGCTGCAGTTGACGGTGGCGTTTTCGTCGGCTGTGGCGCCCGCGCTGAGGTCGCTGAATGTGAACGTGCCGAGGGCGTCGCTGGGGAGCTTTCTACTGCGATCGGGTTCAGCGTCGGACGAGGCGCCGAGGGGCTCTGTGCTCGAAGGTCTGTCGGATTATATTCGCAGGCATTTAGCGATGGATTTGGATCTTGCGGGGAAGTCGGAGAACTCGGCGCTTGTGAAGCAGCATGTGCGCGTGTCGAAGATCGCCTGTGCTGGGTTTAATATCGCCGGGGAGGGCAGGTTGAAGCTGGTTGGGCAGTTGCGGGCGCAGACGCAGCAGGATGGAGACGAGCATGGAAGTGCCGGTGATGGCGATGATATGAGCCCGACGAAAAAGCTCGGGCTGAGAGCAAATGAAGCTTTGCTTCGGGTTGTTGTTCGGAGGGCCGCTACGGCTAGCGAGAACCAGGCATCGTGATGCTTATCCGACCATACTACCCACCTATCGCCTTATTGATGCCGATACGGAGACGAACAACCATGGAGGCTTCACGAACCCTTTCACTTCTAGGCATGCGATCACTGCCATATTTACTCGTTCATGTTATTACAGCTATCAACAGTCCAGCTATCAACAGATTCCCTTTTCCTCCGATAAATCGACAAACAATATTTTCATCCACCCCTCGAGATCAGATCCCCAAGGACCAGCCATGTCGTGTGATATCAACGCAATGTCATCAGTCAAAATCTACGTTTACCGAATATTTCGCATATAGCCAGATCGCTTTTGTTTTCGCTCTTTAAGCTCTTGAAAGGAACCAAACCGGTTGGTATGTATAGGGTGTGTGTTCGTGTGTTCGTGGCCCAGTTTAGGCAGTCAATCCTCGATCTTCCGATTCCGCAAGCCTGAGCGCCTCATCCACGCGGGAAACGAAATGAGACATTCCGCCACAGCGGTCCACAATCCCGCTTCTCTCGAACATCCGGAAGACGTCGCGGTTGGGCAGACGGCAGAAGAAGACCCTGACGCCCTGTTCGGCGTACTCGTCAACGATCTCGAAGAGCACCTGCGTCCCGGAGCCGTCGACGCTCGTGACTCCGTGCACGTCGAAGATGAGGTTCTTGTTGTGCTCGGCGGGTCGCATCCGAGGCAGGGATGGGTGTGCGCGGTTGGTACCGTACATCTCCAGTCGACGCAGGCGGTTCTTGAGGTCTCCCGTGTTGGCGAAGGTGAGCGGCTCGGGGATCTTCACGATCAGCGCGCTCTCGACCAGTTCCACCTTTTCGGGGTGCAATTCAGCGTTCTCAAACCGGTCGGACGTGCCGGCGACTTTTCCGAGGATTTGGATTCGAGGTTGGGTGGAGTGGCGGATGAGAATGAGGATGGAGAGACCGATACCGAGGGCGATTCCCAGTTCCAAAGAATAGAAGATAGTCGAGACGAAAATGAGAACCATCAGTGTTAATTCGGTCCATCCGCGCAGACGTATAAAGAAGGCGAGGTCATGCGGACACTCCTCGATAAGGCTGAATGCGACGACAGAGATCATAGCGGATAGAACAGCTTTCTAGACGACATTAGCAATTACTTGGAGACAGGAAGTTTCACAAGCAGGGCACATACCGGAAGATAATATAGATACGGCAAAAGAACCATGATAGAGATGAACGTGATGAGACTCAGCAGGATACTACTCATCGGAGACCGGGCGCCAGTAGACGCATTGACTTTGCTTCTCCCGTAGCCTCCGAAGGCCGGCAGAGCCATGAAACAACCGCCGACGACATTGGCAACGCCCAGGGCCACCATCTCTCGGTTCGCGCTGACAGCCATGCCCTGGACACCGGCCTGACGAGCATTGCCGAGTCCCTTGGCGGCGACGGAGGACTCGAAGAAGCCGAGCAACGCGATGATGAAGGACGTGCTCAGTGCGGTGCGCACATGCTTCATGTGACTGAACTGGAAGGGCCATTTGAACGCGAAGACGCCGTTGGCGGTGTTCTTGGTCGGACCCAGGATCTCAAGGCCCTGCTTGTCCCAGCCAAGGTGCCATGTTAGAATGGCGGAGATGATGACCACGAGGATACGATCCGGGAAATAGGCGACGAGGGGGTATCGTGGCTGGAGCAGCTTTTTGAGAGTTCTAGAAACGTAATTAGTTAAGAGGCCATGGGGGAATGTGATGCGGGGACATACCGGAACACCATAATTATAGCGAAGCTGGTGAAGGACACCGCAGCTGTAAGGCCGTGACACTTGCTTATATTCCTGACAAAGAAGACCAGCTTCTCCACCGTGGTTCCATGGCTCACGGCAGCATCTTTGGCCAGCTCGGCGAGCCCGGCCTCGGGAATGAGCTGGTCCACAAAGATCACAAAACCGATGGCGGTAATGAACCCCCGCAAGAACGGTCGACTCAGCACATTGTCCAGAAATCCTAGCCGAGTGAGACCGGCAATCAAGATCATGGCGCCTGCCATTGCCGTGGCTATTCCGACAATCAAGGCGCTTGCGGCTTCGTCCTCTTCTTTCGATAGACCCTGGCTCACACTCGCTTTGACGATCGTACCAGTCAGCAAAGAGCCGGCCGCTTCGGGGCCAACGACGAGCAGAGGGCTGCTGCCCAGGATGGCGTAAATCAGCGGGTTGAACACGAAAGAGTAAAGGCCGTTGATCGGAGGCGCATGCGCAAGGTTGGATGACAAGGAGAGCGCCATGGGGATATAAATCGACGCGATGGTCATTGCCGAAATCAAGTCTCCTCGCAGGAAGGATAGGCGGTATTGAGTGATCCAGTTAAAAAACGGAATGTAGTAGGATATATATCTGGTTCGGTTGTCAGCAATGAGTCTCGCAAGATCGCGAGAATATCGGAGACACCGAACGTACAAAGATTTGCGATTCTTCATGGGAAATGCTGAAACGGATGATTCCATTGAGGGGATATTCTCCGGTCCTTGAGTAGAATCACCGTCGCCGGAGGGATCCCGGCCAGGGGGTCCCGCCATGCCAACATCGTTCAAGGATGCTATACCCCAAGCTTCATCACGTTCCAGTCTGGGGGAGAAAGTGCCGTGGTCGCAAGAGCCTCTCAGGCCGCAGGCGGGTTCATGGCTATCATATGACTCCAGCAGACGAGACGTCTCTCCAGGAGTGTAGGGCGCAGCAGAACCTCCATTTTTGTCGGGTCCTGCTAATTGACGGGGAGCGCTGGTCGGGGCAGCGTTGGTCGGTGGAGCGGTACGGAAGATGTTGAAGATCCGCTCGTGTAAAGAGCGGCTTTGCTCTGGAGATAAGTCGGGCTCCGACATGTTGATTCACAACTCCGAGTCTAGTCAGGTAAATGTAGAAAATAGGCGCAGTGCAGCATGCGCCATATATGCTGCTTGAAAGACAGGAAGAAAAATCGCCGATGGGGAAAAGCCCAAAAATAAACAAAGCAAGAGATGGGAATCTCTGACTAAAAAGATAGGCGAGTCCAGGTAGCGCAACAGGCGGTATGGCTAGTAACTATTGCTAATTAGCGCTGTTATGACGGAGATAGCGCAGGAAGCAGCGAATATGTCACGACCACATGGACCAATGGAGCCACCTCATCCTTGGAAGATGCAGAGCCCAGGATCCGGAGAGAAACCGACAAGGACGCAGCACAGCACAGCCAGGCCGCCTTCTCCAGACCGATGAGATGAAGTCGTGACGAAAAGTCGGGTTGGCCGGCGATAACGCCTTTATCGGTTCTGCCGGGCGGTGAGGCAGCACGTGATGAGTCACGCTGCAAAGCCCAAAGTGGGTTTTGAGCCGCCACAAAGCGATTTGAATTGTTTCGATCTCATCACCGCCGAATCCCCGTTTCGCTTGCCCCTCGACCTTCTCGACTCCGCACGGATTCTTACCCGGAGGCCCTGATTTCTGACAGTTCTGTCTCGGAATTCGTCAGTCCTTGATTTTCACTTTCGCCGATTCGAATCTTCGTCTGGCAGACGCCGCAACCCCGCCGAAAATGTCGTTAACGAACAGCCGTTTCTACGAGGAGAAGTACCCGGAGGTCGACAGCTATGTCATGGTCAATGTCAAGCAGGTGGGTATTTCTTGCCTTGGATTTTGTTTCTTTGCTGTCGCGACCCTTGTCTAATCGCCGCTTTTTTTTCTCCTTCATCCAGATCGCCGAGATGGGCGCGTACGTGAAGCTCCTCGAATACGACAACATCGACGGAATGATTCTGCTCTCCGAATTGTCGCGAAGACGTATTCGTAGTATCCAGAAGCTCATTCGCATTGGACGTAACGAGGTGGTCATCGTTCTCCGTGTCGATAAGGAGAAGGGTAAGGACCTGGTGACACCAATGATGCCGTCCACGGTGCTGACCGGTTGTGTCTTCAACCTGCAGGTTATATCGATCTGTCCAAGCGCCGAGTCTCCCCCGAAGATGTCACCAAGTGTGAAGAGCGCTACAACAAGAGCAAGGCCGTCAACTCCATCATGCGACATGTCGCCGAGGCCACCCAGACTCCCCTGGAGACGCTATATCAGACCATCGGATGGCCGTTGAACCGCAAATACGGCCACTCGCACGACGCTTTCAAGATCTCCATCACGTAAGATGCATGCGGCCGTCCAGTTTAACCCCTGTGGCTGACATTCCTCGACTTTAGAAACCCCGACGTGTGGAACGACATCGAATTCCCCAACGAGAACGTCAAGAAGGAGTTGACGCAGTACATCGGCAAGAGACTTACTCCCCAGCCCACCAAGGTCCGTGCCGATATCGAGGTCACCTGCTTCGGCTACGACGGAATCGACGCCGTTAAGAACGCCCTGCGCACCGCCGAGGAGAGCAACACCCCCGAGGCCCAGATCAAGGTCAAGCTGGTCGCCCCTCCGCTGTACGTCCTGACCAGCCAGTGCCTGGACAAGACCATCGGTATCAAGATGCTCGAGGAGGCCATCCAAAGGATCGATGCCAAGATCAAGGAAGCCAACGGTGGCTGCATCATCAAGATGGCTCCCAAGGCCGTCACCGAGCACGATGACGCTGCTCTGCAGGAGCTCATGGAGAAGCGTGAGCGTGAGAACATGGAGGTCAGCGGTGACGAGAGCATGTCCGAGAGCGACGACGGTGTCCCCGAGTAAATCCCCCAACTCACGCCTGGCGATGCAGAGGGATGAATCGATCCAACCATTTCGACTGGATTGAGTGAAGACTGGACGAAAGGAGATACCGGGGACTTTTTGAACTTTCAGGAGACTTGATGGAGCATGGGCAGATGGGGTTTGGAGAAAAAAAAAAGTTGCATAGAAGAGTTTTCGAATGTGACATGATTTATGAGTCGGGAGAACGGTTTAATGTGCACACGGGCGTCGTGATCAAGCAGCAATGTCGACGACACTGGGGCAAGTTCCCTAGTTGATGAGAATGGTGTAACCCGAGACCACAGTGCCACGCTGCATGATGTGTCGAGCATCATCCCAGTCCGATGGTTTGAGGCCTCGTGTTTGGATCTCTGTTGAGGAGCATTTGGAGGATGTTCGATCCCGCCTTCTCATGTACATAAGCTTTATTGATCTACGGGTCAGTACCTGTGGTTCCTGTTTAGACTACTACTATCCACATACTTCTTTTTGTTCATCTCGTGCGATGTACATCTTTGCCTGGATGGATGCCAGGAATGCAGTTCTTTGTACGCTCGAAGGCGCTGATTGACCGGCCGAAGTGGGGCGGACCGCGGCTGGTCTTGGCTGAGTCGTTGACATTCACGGAGTCCCATCGACCTGCCTCTCTCTCGCTCTGCGCCATCTCTCCGTCTCCTCGATAATTCCATCGTCTTTCCTGCATTACGGAAGGCGTCCACGATGGGTCATTGGCGGGATATCTTCCAGTCCGAAGGGGGCCACACCCATCATCGTCTCCCCACCGAACGACGCCAACGTACGTCATGACCACTGTATGCACTCACACATGCAAGCTGACCCCGGTTATAGTGCTGTCTGCATATGCTCCGGACCAGCTCCCGCCCACCCATCATGCAAAAGAGGTGACCAAGGTTGCCCTGCGATTGAAATATCAAATCGAGCAGGTCATCCCTTGCGAGCTGGAAGAGAGCGTAATCACCGACCCCAACAGTCGCATCATCACCGCCGATGTAGTCCAAACCGCGAGACAGGCGGGAGGCGAGGAGCTGCAGGCCTGCATTCTGTTCTGCTTGCTGGTGTGCTTGCGATGGTTCAAGATCGAAGCGACCCAGGAGCTGTGGGACTCGGATCTCCATGAACGCCGCGCCCTGGCGTGTGAGATCATCGCGAAGCGCATGTAGGTTGTCTTGGCTTTCTCCGTGCTGTGGTCAACTAATAGAGTTTTTTTTTTTAGCATTGAAACAGAAGCGAATCAGGATATCCAGCTGATGGATACCTTGCTGAAGCGATACTCCATCTTCATCGATGGCGAGGAGACCATGCCTGCCAATGTCATTGAGCGCGCGGTCGATCTTCACGCATTGCGAGTCATCGGCTCCTCTGGATACCAGAAGTGTATCCGGTATCTGTGGAATGGCTGGTTCTGCCAGCAGGAGGGCAATCCCACCAATTTCGTGCCGTATCATGAACGCGATAATATCAAGTTCTCGGTCCACTTCCACCCCGACCGAATGCGGACTCCGCAGTACCAGAATGTCTGCCAGATCCTCTTCTCGGTAGTATACCTCATCCTGTATACCCAGGTCATCAACACGGTCAACCCCAGCGGAGATCTAGACGTTGTCGAGGGATTTCTCTACGTCATGAGTCTTGCGTTCATCTGCGACGAAATGACCAAGCTATACAAGATCGGCTGGCTCTACTTCGACTTCTGGAACGCCTTCAACTCCACCCTCTACAGCCTTCTCGCGGTCTCATTCTTCCTGCGCATCGCAGCACTAACACACTCGTCCTCCGCCGACGACGAACAGCGACAGCAGCTCAACGAGCTAAGCTATAACTTCCTCGCCCTCGCCGGCCCGATGTTCTGGATGCGCATGATCCTCTACCTGGACTCCTTCCGGTTCTTCGGCGCCATGTTCGTCGTCCTCCGAGTCATGATGAAAGAGAGTTTGATCTTCTTCGCGCTCCTCTTCGTCGTCCTGGTCGGCTTCTTCCAGGCCTTCGTCGGCATGGCCCAAGTCGACAACGACCTGCCCGTCACGAGAGCCATCATCCAAGGCATGGCGAACAGCGTCATGCAGAGCCCGGAATTCAGCATCTTCGAGGAATTCGCCTTCCCCTTCGGCATCATCCTCTACTACCTCTTCAACTTTATCGTCATGATTGGTACGCACTCCTCTGTCCTCGTGTCGAAGTCATAGCTAGCTAACCCACCCAGTCCTCCTGAACATCCTCATCGCCCTATATAACAGCGCATACGAAGATATCTCCGGCAACGCCATCGACGAATACATGGCGATCTTCGCACAGAAGACAATGCAATACGTGCGCGCACCAGACGAGAACGTCTTCATTCCTCGTGCGTCCCCTCCATAAACCCCCTCACCCTCCTAATCCCCCCCCGTCCCAACCTAACCTAACCACAAAAAATCCAACAGCATTCAACCTCCTCGAAATCATCTTCCTCGTCCTCCCCTTCGAATGGTGGCTCCCTCGGCACCGCTACGCCAAACTGAACGACCTCGTCATGGGGGTCCTCTACTCGCCTCTCCTGGTGGTGACCGCCTTCCTGGAGGTGCGCGAGGCGCGCCGCATCCGGTGGAACCGACGACGTGGCGAAGACGACGACGACGACGTCCAGGAGTGGGAACATGCCGCGGAGCAGGTGGGTTTCGAGATCGACGATTCCTGGCGCCAGGTTGTGCTGGATACGGCGCCGGTGGTGCACATGGATCCGTGCAGTTTGGAGGTCGTGCATTTGAGAGAGCAGGTTAGGGAACTTGGGGATTTGGTGAGGGCGTTGGTGGAGGAGAAGCGTGCTGGTGAGGGTGGGAGTGGGGGGCTGGGGGCGTTGAATGGGGAGAGTTGTTCGACGATTGCGGAGAGGGAGGAGGGGAGGTAGACAGACAAGACAGTGTTTCCTGTGATGTTGGTCTGGGGGGGTGGTTTGTTTGCGCTGATGATGCAGTTTTGGGTGGATATTTGTTATTATGTGGTGGGTTTGTTATTTTATAAGTACCTAGTTACTTGATTTACCTGACTAGTAGTTAGTTTGTTATGTCTATGTTTATTGTTTGAGTGACGGATTAGTTTAGTTGAGTGAGTTGGGTAGTAATCACGTAGGTGAGTAAGTAACCCTTCATTGATTTGTCGAGCTGTATGCAGAGGAAGAATAGAATCGACGTATATGTACTAGATGGAAGGCGATATCGAAAAAAAAAAAAAAGAAAGAAAGAAAGAAGGAAAAAGAAAACTGAACCGAGAAAAGGACGGACGGACACAAAAAGAAAACAAAAAAGAAAGCCCAACGCGGGGCTCGAACCCGCAGCCTTGTGATTAAGAGTCACACGCTCTACCGATTGAGCTAGCCAGGCTGGCTTGATGAAAGGGGTTTTGAAATAGTACTCTATCAACCTAGACCCAATCTACATACAAAGTAAACAGAAAGCGTTCACGTGGGTAGAGAGGTGGAAGCAGGACTCGATGTATATCTGGTTTGGAGCTGAAAGAGGGGTAAACTTTTGGGCGGGTTCATCTACTGGGGCTTATTTTTGGATAGGATGGTCTGTTTCATTGCTTGGATGGTACTGGTGTTGTTTTTCTATTGGGGGTGGTTTGATTGAGTATTCGGCTTCATAGAATATATCTTTGATAGCAGCCAGGGCGGAGATACGGTTACTGTCGAGAAACAAAGCAGAGAACGAAAGGAAATGGAAAGAGATGCCAATAAAAGAAAAATCCAAGACTTATGAGATACATTTCCACCTCCCAAAAAATTACAATACTACGGAGTACAAGGCAAAGGATAATTATTGAAGAAAGCCGGTTTGCATTAAGAAAAGGATATCAACTATGCAAGAGAAACAAGAACAACCAAGACAAAATAGAACCCAAAAACCAGGACAAAAACAAGGAGTATCAAATCGAGAAGAAAAACCAAAGATAGTCACAGTAGTCAGTAGGTAGTCACAATAGTCAAAACAGCCGCAGTCGGTGGTAAAATGAAAGAAAAAAGCGAAAGTGGATATATGTTAGAAGGATGAAAGCAGGAAAGCCTACAGTTCCTCCTCAATCTCCTGCTGGGCATCAACAAGCTCCCAAGTCTTGAATTCCAGATCCAAGAGATCATCCTTGGCCTCGGCCTTGCCGGTGCCGAAGTTCTTCAGGTTCCATTTCTCAACGCCCTCGATGCCCTTCATCTCATCAGGGAATTCACGAAACACGTCTGCGTTCAGACGCTCGTACTCGCTGTAGTCCTTGGCCCAGTCACCCAAGCGCTCGAGAGACAGCTTGAGCAGGTGCAGGTGCTGACGGACGTGCTCGCCCTCGGGCACGGTGCCGTTGGCCGCGTCGTTCATGTCCAGCTCGTACGCGGAGCCGTCGAGGCTCATGCTGCCGTCCAGACCTTCCTCGGCGGTAGGGTCGCTGAAGGCGCGCAGGATGTTCTCATGCACGGCGGCGCTCTTCTTGTAGTATCGGTTGGCCATGGCCTGGCCGTCCTTGAGGGACTGGTAGCGCTGCGCGATGCTAGTGTATAGCTGGGAAAGGAGGGTGGACATCTCGAGCGTGCTGGGATGGCGGGCGCCGTGCACGCGACGGGTGTTGTAGACGATGTCCTCAGCCAGACGGAGTGCAGCAAGCGAGTCGCCGACCAGGTAGCGAGCCATGATGTAGCGACGGCCAAGGGCCAGGGTGACGGATGGCTGCCAGTGGCGCTGGGCCTCGCGGCTGTTCCACAGGATGGTGAGGAGCCAGGCGAGGGTCTGGTAGTCTTGTTGCTCGCCGAGCAGACCGATGAGGCTGTTCAGGTGCGCAAGGTCGACCTGGGCCAGGTTGATTCTCAGGGCGTTGATGACCCGCAGGGAATCCTGGATGATGATGGCGGACACAGCCAGGAGCTTCTTGCGGTTGGCTTCGTCGGGCCGGTGGTTGATATTGCGGCCCGAGATGTTCATACCCAGAGTGAAGATGAACTTGACGATCGAAGGAGTGTTGTAGGCCTCGTCGGCGGAGATATACTTGAAGGCGGCGAGGGCAAGGTCGCTGGCCTCAGTGTACTTCTGGGCCTGGAGGAACTCGATAACGCCGCGGTTGCTTGCAATACCGATCGAGCGGACAAAGTCCTGGGTCTGGTGGATACCGAAGTAGCTCAGGATAGTGTGGACCAGAACCCGGACCTGGGAGGTCTCCGTCAGCTTGACGCGCTTGGCTTCGGTGTTCTGGAAGTATTCCAGAGTGATGTCGAAGACGCGGCTGGCGGCCGTGTGGCGCTCGTGGGAGACCAGGAAACGGTAGAGACGGGCAGCGGACACCGACACGGACTGAATGCTGCTGCTCTTGGCCGTCACCTGGCTTCTCAGCTCCTCGAAGTAGACATACTCCGTGGTCAGAGCGGCCAGGATCTCAGTGATCGTGACGGAGGTGTTGCGACGAAGGCTGTACTCCAGCTGGGCGAGGAAGACGAGGCTCTGGCGCTCCTTGGAGGAGAGATCAAACTTCACCGATTTGGCGTTGGCAGTGTCCTTCATGACGATCTGGCGGTAGATCTCATGAGTCAACTCGGTGGCCTTCTGGATCTGGTTGGTCTCGATGTAGCTGGAGGCAATGGTGCTGGCAGCGGCAATCAACCGGGTGGAGGAGGTCTCCGACGAAAGGATCTGAACGGTGGCCTCCTTTAGCTCCTGGGTCACGGTCTCAGTCTCGTTGTGGCGAGAGTGGAAGGTGACGATCTCCTTCATCTTGGAAAGAGACTCCTCGTGGGCCCAGCCGTGGGTCTCACGCACCGAGGTGATGCGCTTGCGCAAGACCTTGACGGCCCGCTCCACCTGGGAGGTTGAGACGGACTCAGACGTGGTGGATGTCACAACAGCAGCCTGCTCCTCATAGATCGCATCCAAGGTAGCGGAGATCTCCTGGTAGTCGAGCTCCTCAGACTTGGTCTTGAGCAACTCCTCGTACAGAGCGATCGCCTCAATCTCATAGCGCTTGGATTCCTGGCACAGCTTGGCAAGGGTCAAGGTGGCTTGGATGGAGATGGTGGCGGTTGCGGTGAAGACAGCCTTGACCTTGGTCTGGAATTCGACAGTGATCTTGTGAAGCACAGTGAACTCGGTACGAACGCTGCGCAGGCAGTGGGTGTAGCGGTTGAAGAATTCTTGCACAAAGGTCTGATCCTGCAATTTCGGGAGCTGCTTGGGCTGGCTCAGGAAGGTGGTGAAGATCACCTTGTAGTATTGCAGGGCATCCGAGTAGCGGCCTTGGTTCCAGAGCTCAGTCGCAACAATGACGAGAGGCTCGAAAGCCTCAGGATGGCAGACTTGGGAGTCCTTGTTCAAGGCACGGATGATGTGCTGGTAGTAGTCGATGAAGATGGGGCGAGGACGGGTCAGCTTGGCCAAAATCCAAAGAGTCTGGATGACAATCGGATGCTCCGCACCGTAGTGCTGGATGTAGTCGCTCAACAATTCCTGGCGAAGGTTGATGGTGTTGTCCGTCCGCGAGTTTCTCTCGAACAGGCGGAGGAGCTCCGTGGTGGCACGCTCCCTCAGCTTGTCATCGATCTTTCGACCAGATCGAACCGCACGATAGATTCGGACCCGGATGTCCTCCTCCTTGGTCAAACGACGGCGGGAGTGGTAGCATCGGCTCAGGCGCTCGGCAAGCTCCACGCAGCTGTCGACGTGCTTGGCAGGAAGAGTGACGTCCTGGAGCGAGGGAGCAAACAGCGAAGGCCAGACACCGTGGAGAACCTTCTTGATGACACGGGTGGCGTCCTGCCAGCGGTGCTGCGAGACGTACAGCTCAACCAGGCTGTGGGTCGCGCTGAAGGAAGTCTGGTCCACAGTGGTAGTCGAAGTCGTGGCCTCAAAGACCATCTCCTCCAGAGTGGACTCCGAAGTTACGGTGGTGGACGAGCTAGCGGACTGCATCACCTCCCGTGAAGTGCTCTGGATGCTCTGCTGAACCTCCTTGTAGCTGGAGGTCTGGGTACGGTTGGTGCTTTGATAGAAGTGCGAGCAGTGCTTGAACACGGTCAAGGCCAAGGTCGACAGACCGACAGTCTTCATGACCTTCGCGACCTCCTGGAAGTGCGAGACGGAGCTTTCAGAAATCGCCATGCTGGTCTGCTCAAACTCCTGCCAAAGGCTAGAAAGGACGGAAGACGCCTCAAACTCCCGCTTCTGAGAATGCAGGAACTTGGTGTAGGCAAGGGCGGCCTTCATCTTCCGTTCCTCCCAGAGAGAGGAGTAGTTGGCGCGATACTCCTTGCTCACATGTTGCCAGATCTCAACGTAAGTGAGCTCGGCGAGTTCATGCTTGCCTTCGGCGACGTATTTCTCGGCGCGCTTGATCAAGCTTTCGAACTCGTAGGAGCCCGACTGCTCGATCAGCTCGTCGTGCTCCTCGACGTCCAGAGCAAGGCCAACGCTGGCTTCACTGTCCCTCTGACCACGGCCTCTCAGATGCACGTGGAGGTTACCGCGGGAATCATGGGACTCGGAGCTATATTCGGTGGTGGTAATGGTGCGAACAATCTTGATGATCTCCTGCGCCTTTGTCTCTTCCTTGATCAAGCGGTAGTGCTCGACCAACTGCTTATAAGTTGACACCACATTATCGCTGGTGGTTCCGTATTGAGCCTTGTAGCATTCAACCAGAAGGATCAGAATCTCTTCGCGTTTGATCATGACATCGGTCTTGGTGTTGGTAACCTTCTCCGTGGTCAGTTCAATGAAAGCGGTGGCCATCTGCACCGTCACAATGTGACGAGTCGTAAGCAAGGTGCGGCTGAGCGTGGTGGCCTCGTGGAACAAGGTAATGGCCTCGGGATAGTACTCAAGCCGGCGGTACAGCAGAGCCAAAGAGATAATGGACTGGAGGGTGACCACGTGGTTCGTCGTCAGGACCTGGCGACAGAGATTGGTGATGGTGGTCTGGTAAGAGAGCAGCTGGGGGGTGGGCCGGTTCTCCCATAGGGTGCTTGAAAGAAGGAAGACTGTGGTCAAGACCGGGAACACCTTCGAGAATGATTTGGCCGCGGGGATTTCACCCTCGCTGGTATACACAGAGGTCTGCTTAAAGTGCACAGGCCAGTACCGAATGGCAAAGTCAAGCAAAGGATGCTTGTTTACGAGAATTTTAGTATCGTGCAAGTCAAGAGAAGTCAAAGAAGGCTCGCTAGGCTGAATGACAGAGCTCTTGATGTAGACCAACAGCCTAGTGGCAAGATCCGCGTGGCGGTCCTTGAGGTTCGGGACCAGCTTGCCCTTGGAGAACACATCCAAGACGGCGGTTCGGACAAGCGCATGGCGGAGATAAACCTGACCATCCTGAAGGAAGACCAAAGATTTCAGAGGCTTCAGAGTGTGCAGTGTGTCGATATGACGATCGACGACAGCCTGCTTGTCATTTTGAATAGAAGCCAAGATGGCAAGCTCCCGGAGGCCAAGAGGACGGTCTGCTGTGGCGAGCCAGAGGAGCATCAGCTTGGCATCTTCTTTCACTTCCGGAGTCTGGAGGATATGCAGAGCAAAGTCCGTAATAGTCAGCTTCTGGTTCACCACGGTGTCAACAGCCTTGCGCAGGTTCTCGACACTGTCTTCGTGGCGGACTCGCTTGGATGCGAGCTTGGCCCAGAGGAAGGAGCCGTTGGAAGCAGAGGTGATGCGATCAACGATGGTCTCGCGGTCCAACTCATCCATGGTCGGGAAGACGGTGGTGTTCTCGAAGTTGCCTCGGACGACGGAAGCGATATCATCGAAGATCAGATCATTGGTGATCGGAACGTGGACCTGGCCCTCTGCAGTCGGGGGCTTTGAGCCACCAAGAACAATCAGCTTCACGTTGGTGCCCTTCGTAGTAGCGCCAGTGAGTCTCTGGAGGAGCACTGATTCGCCGCAAGTAGACTCATCTACTCCATCAACGACGATGACCAACTCCTTGGCGCCCTTAAGAGCGGCGGCCAGCGCCTTCTCGAGAGCGTTCCAAAGAATGTTGTCGTAGTCGTTGTCGTTGGTAGCCTTCTTGCTGCGCTCGAAAGCATCGCCCAGGATCTGGAGCAGCCCGATGTTGCCAATCCGCTTCTCAAAGAGTTGGTACAGAATGGCTTTGGCGATGGCCCGAGGGGTGGTCTCTGCGGGGATTCTGCCATCTATTTGGGTGCTGGTGAGAAAGTCTTCGGACGAGTCTAGGCGAGTTTTGCAGGTACTACTTACTGACGGGGATAAACAGTGTCTTGTACATGACACCGCCAATGGGGTGCTGCAGGTGGTCCACGATGACCGAGGCCAAGACGGTCTTTCCAGAGCCGGGCTTGCCACCAATGGTCAAGGTCTTGTTCTGACCCTTGAGGAAACGAGTCAGATAGGGCGCCATCCAGAGACAGGTCAACTCAGCCCGCTCGTGAGCGAGATGGGAGGTCGTCTCGGCGACGTTACTCAGCACGGGATCCTCAGGAGCAAGCCATGATTTGATCGCCTTGACCTCGAATACTGGAAGCTATTAGCAAATGCAGGTCAACACGGATCCACCAGGATTGCCTACCTCGATCGCCATCAAGGTTCTCCTTCACAAGCTTGTGTCGCCACATCGACTCGGCGATCTTGACACAGCGCTCACGGAATGTCTGGATCTGACCAGGGAAGGTGTTGTGAATGTCAATGGAGACAGACGCGGTGGTCAATCCCCGGATGGCCCGGTGGAAGTGTGTCGAAACACTGGCAACGAGGGTCACCAGGTCGGCCAGAGCCAGAACCAGCTGTTCCCGGATCTCCTGGGAGACACTGAAAAGCTCCGTGCGCTCCAGAAGGTTGACCAGCATCAAGGAGGTGCTGTAAAAGAAACCAAAGGAGGTGGTCAGCGCGGGGGCATTCTCCTTGCCCAGCTATGAGATGTATCAGCATATTCCGTCCTTCTGACAAAACAAGTCAAAGCTCAACATACCTCGAGTAGGATGGCACAGTAGCCATAGGCCAGCTGAGCGGCAAGGTAGCTATCACCAGCGAACTCTTCGATCGCCAGATCAAAGGAATGCAGTCTTTCGACAAAGAGCTGAGCCCAGGCAAGCACCTTGTCATAGCTGCTTCCCTCTGGGGGCAGGTTGCTCATACGCTGAGCACGGATCCAATCCAGCAGCGAGGCATGGGTCGCGTTGAGAAGCTTGGACGAGGCAGAAGTGCCCAGCTCATCACCGCTGCGACGCTTGAGGGAGTAGACCACGTTGGAGATGTTCGAGGTCTCGTTGTTGAACTTCCGGGAGGAGACCCTCCGGGAGGTGAACGAGCGAGACATGCCATTGTTCGAGATGCTGTCGCTGTCTAGGAAACCCGAGACTCGACGGGAACCCGAAAGCAGCGTCGGAGAGAGGGGAGCCGGCGTGGTGGCCGTGATGGGAGACATGATAGAGGGAGCCATTGTGGAATTGGGAGACTCGGGAGGGGTTCTTGGAGGAGTCTTGTTCTTGGGAAGGTTCTTGGAAGGGGGCTTGGGTATAGAGGGAGGAGCGCTCGTGAGTTGAAGCGACTGCTGGGGATATCTGACGGGGGAAACTGTTGGCCGCGGAGGGAGGTCAGGCTCAGCTTGTGTTTCTCCTGAGGAGCAGTGGCGACAACTCACAATGCAACGAAGAAAACGACGCAAACCGGCAACGAGATTAATACATAAAAGAAAGGTGCGACGACCAAAGGAGAGGAGAACCAGAGAGTCAAATTAAGAGAGCTTCCTATGGGGAAAGCGAGGGACGGAATCCATGCTGCCGGGCATGCAGCTCCCTATATACCACACGGCGGAGAAGGAACTGACGCCATGGCTCCAGCCCACCAGCTGCATGGCAGGGAAACGGGAGAGCCAAAAAAAAAAAAAAAAAAAAAAAAAAAAAAAAAAAAAAAAAAAAAAAAAAAGAAATGTGACGGTATCAAACATATAGCGAGACCATTTTCCGGCAGCCCCGTTTCCGATGGAGCTGGCGTAGGATAAGCGATGGAACCCCCGGTCGAGGACTATCTGACCTCTCAGCAGCGCCAGACCGGCTGAAAATTCCAAATTCCAATCAGCGGGGGGACGCGGTGCCGGCTCACTGGGAAGACAGGTACTAAACCGGATACTGCGTGTCCATACTAGGACTTGCATCAACCCCTCCTGCAGATCCAAAAAGTTTGATTCCGCTTGGACGGCAATGGGCAACCGGGTCGATACGATGCCTTAGGACTGAGGTTAAGCGGGTGGTATCATGGATAGGATGAGCACGTACAGCTGTCTCCGGATGTAAGTCAGTTGGAGGAATGGCACGAGCATGTGCGGGCGGACAATTTTCGCACATTTCGACAGCCCTTCATGTGCTCGGGTCCGCCCAGGCCTCTGGAAGTGAACCTCTCTCCAATGTGGAGGACAATGGCAAGCTGAAGCGGCCGCCACCATGAGGTCGGGGCAGCGAGACTATTGGACTCGGGATGCAGCGTCCTCCACTCCACCGTCCTTCAGGAGTGGCTGCGACTCACGACAAAGTCGGCAGCCCCGAGTCCTGTGACTGCTGCTGCACGTCGAGGATGAAGAAGAGCTCCCATCCCTGTCTAGCGGCCTTTCTTCAGCTCGCCGCGGCGGGCGCTGCGGGGGCTAGACGGGCCCAAATCTCCCGGGCTGCGGCCAATGGCTGCCCTCCGAGGTCGGGCTGAGTGGGGCGGGCCTCCTCTGATCGAGCGGACGAACTGGTGATGTGCCTGCCAGCCGATTGATTCGCTCGCATTATTGGGCATGACAGGGGGAGGGGATGGAGGGATCCACTTCCGTGTTTGGGCGGGGAGCTGCTTCGGTTGCCTGCGATCCAGCGCGATCCGTCGTGATCCGCCCTCATGGCGACTCGACTCGGGGCGCTGGACTCGAGTGGGCATTCTCCCCTTTCTCTTGACTAGGTACTCCGTAGAAGGTAGGTCCCTACGCAAGTGAGCCGCGTGGGAACACATTCCAAATGGAACCGGACTGGCGAACCCACCTGCCCCCCCGTGAGAACGCATGGTTCCCTGTTGGCCCCGGCGCCAGACGCAAATCGAGGATCGGAAGCGATAGGATGGGGATGGAAGGGGAATTGACAGGCCACAACCGGTTAAAGGAACCGTCCGGCCCGCTTAGCGCGGTGGATACGACGATTTATGATAATATTATTATTCTGCTGTCTTAACCTTTTTATTCATTTCTTTTTAGTTTTCAATTTTGATTTTCTTTTCTTTTTCTTTTTCTTTCGAGCACACCCGCCTGGGTTGCCAATTTGGGACCAGCCAGAGGCACTTAAGCCAAGAGGGAGGGTGGATGCATGGAACAAATTAACCTGCACGAAAAAAAAAAAAAAAAAAAAAAAAAAAAAAGAAAAGAAAAAAGAAAATGAAAAAGGAAAGGAAAAAAAAGAAAACACCCCCGCTGCATCGGGAACTACCACCCCCCATGGCCGCGTAGACCCCGATGCAGGATGATGAAACCCCGATTTTCTGATCTCCCCAGTCGCCCGTCCATCATTGCCCCGATGTAGTCAGGTACATTAGCCCGATGGATCTCGTGGGATCTCGGTTCCCAACGATCATTCTGGTTTGTGCTCCCCCGACGATGTGGAGACCGTTGCTTTCTCCACGCCCCGTACTATGAGGTCTCTATCGACGCATGCTTCAGATCCTCCGGGCGGCGGGGATTGGAAAATCAAGGCAGGCAGCACAACTGCCGAATTCCCAGCACCACTTCTGCCCAGCTTCTCGGAATTGTGGGAATGAACACCTACCTTAGATAGTATGTTCTGACGGGCCCCCTCCACAGGAATCGGATCGGTAACATGCAATGACCTGCATCGCGACTCATCGCGACTCATGGCAATGGCCTCTGCTCTGCACATGACCTCATTTAAATTTAGTCAATCCCCAACACGCGACATGGATTCGTTGCAGGGGACTAATCATGTTGCCGCGATGCGACCCAGCCCCATACCGACCTATAACTAATGCACTATACCTGCCGGTTTGAGTGGACACTGCCTCCTGCATATGTGCAGCGTCTGTACGCGGGCCATTCTTTCAGCGCGCCCACCTCGCAGATTACCGTATAGTACAGGCAGGACTGGGGACCTTCTTCCCGGCAAACTGGATACGAAAATCCCTCTGTATGCGGTGGGTCGACGGCGGAGAAAATCACTCACAGACATGATGGAATGCCACGGCAGCCATCATCTGCATACTGGAGCGGTGACAGCTGCAGTGCACAAAATGACGTGCCAGAGTGAGAAGCCTATTCATTACGACTCAAGCATTCTGACAACCGGAAGTTCCTCCCGGTCCTCCGAACACCAGATTCGACTACAGTAAGAGAACCGGAGGGAGGAGTCTCGGGCGTCGAACCCCCCGGTCGAATTAGTGACCGCTAACCAGCCAAGTGCAAAGCCTAGATTGCTGATTTTCAGCACAATGTAAGAAAGTGGAGACGCTGCAATCAGTGATTTATAATAATGTCTTGGTCTTTTCAAAACGGACTAGTTCCTCGTGTTCCGCATGTCGCGCGATGATTCGATCGAGCTATTTTAATCTTTAATAAACTTGCGGTTTATTGTAAATTAATGATCGGCGTTTAGATTCGGCCTGCCTCAGCTGCGTACTTTCGACCCATTCATCCCGTACACTATCGCCATCTTCACGCTTCGGTTGCACAGTCGACGATTCTATGACAGGTCTTCAGGCACGGAAAAAGCAAACCCGTCTATTTTCTGGCCCTTCGGATCCTGTAGACCCGCGGTACGGGGATACATCCAGCCTCAGACACGGAGTATTCCGTATACCCTCAAGCTTCTGACGAGAAGCAAACTCCCCCTGCATAAGTTGAATACTAAGTGTTCTGTAGGGCACTGCCGACATTATGCATATGGCACCACCGCCATAAGCCTAGTTATTTGCGTTGCTTCCGCAATTGAACCGACTGGTCGTCGTCTAAAACCCAGACATCCCAGCCGATGACAGATCGATTGGTCTCACGGGCCAGGTTCGGCTGAAACAGCCTTCATAACGTCGGAAACGTCTCATCCTCGTATCGGACATTCCTAGCGCGATTTGCCTAAGCTGCAGATATGGCTTGAGGATCCCAAAAATGAGGTCGCAGTGCAGCCACGGCGGTGGGAGATCCTTGCAGACTGTTGCTGCTTGGTGATCAGCGGCACATCACTCGTGGTGCGATGCTGTGTCCTGTCACTATATAGGATGGGAGCTTGGGGCGGGTTCCTTCTTACCCCGAGAAGAGTTCGGTAAGGAGTGACATTGACGGGACGAACTGGTCGGAGATCCTCTGGACGGTCTCGGAGGGCTCTTCGGGGCAGTTACCTATAAGGCTACCTAGGTACTTTACTTTACGCCTTGACAGTACACGGGCGTAATGTCAGACGCAGTATGGAGCTTAATTTCTACGATGACAAATAAACACACCTTGCCATAACCGTGGGGGTTCCCGGAAAAAAAGATTCCGTATGTACTCCTGTTGGCAGTAAGGTAGATAGTATTGGAGTGTGACAAGATCGGAGAAATCCGACTCGCTCGCCGAATAAACTACACACTAACGCCGGAGCCATGTATGTACTTGCCAGTACTTGCCAGGGAACCGGATCCCAAGGAACCAAGACACCGGGGTATAGATGCATAGATGGATCTACCTAGTGGCTCACCAATGCCAGTGAGATTCAGAAACCACAGACTAGGTATAGACCGGTACTTGCATCCAGCTACACGCATCTGGCTAGTGAGCTGAGCATCACACCAAGACCCTCCACCGGACCCGGTCCACTCATATCTCAGCAGCCTCCAACTGGCACCTGCTCTGCAGTACGGATACTCGACCTGCACCGGTGGGACTGGGCTGTCCGCGCCACATTGCATTGTAACCCTACCAACACGCGAGCCCGTGGAGCATACCGGGACAAGAAATCCGGCTGGCTCGGCTAGATGATCTCCGCTTGGGTGGTCCATGTCTTGATAGTGTGGCTGCTGAGGCTGTAGGTGGTTACTGTGTTGTGGGTTGGCCATGTGATGTCAGATGTAGTTAGTACTCTCTACCGGGCTAGTCAACTATGATGTTGAGCGAGTAGATCATGTTATAGAATCCACTAAGCTATTTTCGTACATATTTGCCTCGTGTTTATTTATTTGGTGGGATGGAATGAACTTTTATAGGTAATGAAGGCCTTCTATTGGCTGACTCAAGACCAAGAACATCTATGTTTATTTGTAGAGCAGAAAGAAAGGCGTCACTATGCACTACTGCATAAAGCTTATGCTTTGTCTCCCAACCCATCCTGAATCACCTCCAAGACCCCCAAAGTCTTCGCCATGACCTATTCTCCATGCCTGAAAAACATCTCCGAGTCAAAGGTCCCACTAATAAACCCCATCTCTCTCCCCCCACACCGGCTGAGGAGCCGCTTTTGGCTTCCGATATCCCGACAAAATAGCCTTCGAGGCAACAAGATCCAACCCACCCAACCTGGCACCTTCAGAGTCCAGAGCCCAAAGAGTAACGGAAACATAATTGACCCCATTATAGTTCAAGATACCCTCTGGAACGGGGAAATGGGTTTGCGGCCCAAGATTATTGACTTCAATCGTTAGCGAATGTCTCGGCTCGGTAGAGCGGGTGACGACATACCGTATTTTCCGAATTGATACCCGTTGACGAACAACTGGCATCGATAGTTGTGGCCTGAGTTTCGCGCAGACACAGATGTGCTAGAGGAGGCGTTGAACACAAAGTTCATGGGGACGTCATAGCCCTTTGGAAGGTCTAAAGAGAAAGAAGTCGAATAGAACCCAACACCCGCTTTGGTGATACCGTCACTGAACGGGCTCGATGCCTCCCATTTACCACTGGGAGGCTTGGGGAAGTGATATCCCTGGCGCTCAGCGAACATGGCTCCCTCATTCATGGGCCCGCGCACGAGATCCCGGTACTGCTCGCCTCCCAGATTACCGGTCATCTTCCAGGTAATGTCTGACTTTGGATGGCCTGAAAGATTGTAGTCGAGGATTCCTCGCGGGAACTTGATGGCGTCTGTGCCGGGTGCTTCCTCGTCCTGGCCCATGTGGTCGATCAATACGGTCAGGACATAGGGCTTCTTTGCGGTGAGATTGGCAAGAGGGAGAGTTTGAGAGAAGGTTTTGTTGCTGCCACGGCCGGTCCAGGATCCGAGGAAGGTTTGGTTCAGCCAGACCGAGTGGCCGAAGCCGACGCCGCCGGAGACGTTTAGAAAAACGGACGATTCAGCGCCGTTGGCGTCGAAGTGGCCGCGGTAGATCAGTGAGCCGCCGTGATAGCCGTAGTCATCGGCGTACAGGCAGGTTGGGGTGTCGGGTTTAAGTGTGTTGTTTGTTTCTCTGTGATCGAGGGACGTCCACTTTTCGTCGGTGTATTCGGGATGGATCTCGGGGAGAGAGTCGAGATACTTCCATTCGAGGTCGGACAGAGTGGGTAGTGAGATGGAGGGCGGGTTGTAAGTAACGCTTGCCGTGAGCCTTCCAGTCTTGAACTTTGAGGTCTTCAGACGCTCCCCGTTGAAGGTGATGCTGTTGAGATGGCTCATGGGTGCTGAGATCACCTCCAACGGCGTAGTTGCGTTCACATCCCCAGTCAGAATTAGATTCTTTCCCGCGATCGATGCACTCCGAAGCAGGTAGCCTCCTCTGACGATGACCGTATCCTTGGAGGGCGAGCTGTAATTCTCGATGGGCTTTGCGACCGGCAGCTCCAGTACCCAGTGCTGATAGGCATCATTGCGCCAGAGCAGATGAATCTCGAGATTCCCGGCCTTAACAATGCGTCGGGCTGGCGTCACCTCCCAGTGAATCACCCAGGCGTTTTTCTTTTGAATCTTGACCCCCTTGCCTTCCAAGATAGTCGGCTTTGAGACCTTCCTTGACAAGGCAATCTCATGCACCTCGCCTTCGCCTCCATAAACCAGCAACACCCTCTTACCACCCGCAGCCTTAGCCCATGTAAAGACCTCAGCAGTGGAATAAACCAAATTCACACCACCAACATCATAATCCGTCACATGGATCTTAGAGTCTCGTCCATCAAGCAGCAATTTTCCACCTAGCTGCGGAATCGTCACATCCCCGATGCTAGTCTGAACCTGAAGTCGATACTCCGCCTTCCCGGTTAAAGTGAAACCCGCATGTCGAACCAGGTAAAAGTTAGTACTCACCTTCCCTTTGTGACCATCCTCGCTAAGAATCGGCGTGACTGCGATATTGTCATTATCGGTATACGACCCATTCTTACCAACCCCTGGCGTGGCCGTCAGATACGCCGGCGAGACTTTCAGAAAGTTCGCCTGCAGCTTCTCCTCGCTGTATTTTTCTCGCCAGATTGTTCGGTCTTCGGCTATCGCTGCGCCGTAGTCGTAGGATGTGTAGCCGCCGTGGTAACCCAGGTTGCCCCAGTTGGTGCCGCCGTATGTCTATCATCAATGAGTAGGAAATTCGCTAAGGACAGATAAAAAGGGAAAACCGACCATGTAGATGTTGAAGATCTTCACACCAAATCCGTAGTTGTTTTTATTGACGACCCGGACAGCCTCGTTATTGACAAGAATTGCGCATTGGTCTTCGTTGACTCCTTCCCTGTTGGAATTCAGTTGTTAGAGAAGCGAAAGACGTAGAGAAAGGGGTTTTCGAGAGATTGGTAATATGGGAATGTACCATCCACCTCCTGAACCACCCTGGAACTCCATGATCGCGAACGGCGTCTCCGGACTATGATTGCGATGCGTCAATTGCCAGTCTCTTGGGAATCGATAAGTCGGCCAGACGTAAGGATTGCCACCTGTCGCAGTATTAGCCTTACTTGCCATGCATGCCAACGAAATAGCCATAAAAAGAGAAGGGAAAAAAGAGTGAGAAGAAAAGAGGTTGCTCACAATCATAACGCATCGGATACGCATCAATCCCATAAAGATCCGTCTCGCCCTTCCCCGACCCCGGCGCAAAATACCCCTTATTCTCATTATCATTGACAACCGAGGGCACGACCACACCAGCCTCCCTTAACTGCTTTCCCGCATACTCCATAACCTCCTTATGCATCTCCTCGGGGAAAACCGCCTTATCCACCCCAGGCCAAGTAGTATACTCATTCTCAGGCTGCACCATAACCACCGGGCCCCCGTTCGTAATCTGCGCCTTCGCAATCGCCTCGCCCATGACACGCATATACTCATCCGTAGCGGACAAATAATCCTCGCTATTGGACCTTATCACGCCTTTGATCTTCAGCACCCAGCCTGGGATACCCCCCGCTGAGGTCTCAGCATTGATGTAGGGTCCTGGCCTTGCGATGAGATAGATCCCTGCCTCGGCGGCTGCGGCGAAGAATTCGTCCAGGGACCAGATCCCGTCCGTGACGACGTGGCCGGGGTTGGCTTCTAGGAGACCCCAGTCGGTGTAGAAGGAAACGCCGTTGAAGCCCAGGCTTTTTATCTTCTGGAAAATGTCCAGCCAGAGGCCCGGGACGGGGAGCCGGAAGGGGTGGAATTCGCCGGACATGAGCATTACGCGCTCGGAGTGGATGCGGAGAGAGTGCGAGTCCCATGTTACCTTTGGGGGTTAGTTGGGTGGGGGGAATGAAGAAAGAGGGGAATAATTACTAGGTCTTGAAGGGGTTCACTAGCGAATGCAGGGGCAGGGCTGTAGAGAGAAGTTCCCAAAAGGAGTCCGAGACTCCATTTGAGATTTAATTTCATCTTGTCGTGACGGTCAGAAACAATTCAGACACGGAACGAGTTGACGGAATTAGGTAGACTATTTAATAGACAGCGACACTATGCACTTTACTTATACTATTTCAGACCGAGCCGTGCATGGCTACATCATACCATCTACCCCGGACAAAGACCCAGATTGGTGGATGATCTTCATGCGGGGAAGGCAAATAGCAATTCAGCCTGAATTCCTGCATCCTGGATGATTCCCTGCCTGGAATACTCCGTGTGGGAGAAGACAATATAATTGTCGGTATAAGTCCGATACCAGACCCAAATTGTACAGATCTGCAGACAACATAAACCGATGTGTCTACCCAGTTGTGACTAAACAATCATCCTTCTACCTACAAAACCCCCGCGCAGTATGAAATCAAAGGCATCTTTCGAAAGGTTAATAACCTACATAATATATTGATTTCCTCGCTATGATAGCATTAGCGGCAGCTCTTACTTGTCTTATTAAAATTCACTTTTTATAATCCAAGTATCTACTTACATCCCCGCACATAATGATCTAAAATCACATAATCAATAATCAGTAGAAGACCTAGATCAACGGGGGCGCACTTAAATGTAGCATTCAGCAGAGTGATAGTGAGCTAGATAATTGATGTTCAAAATGTTTTTATAGCCCTTAACTTATTCCAGTAGCATAAAGGCTATCTATTTAAGGCTTTAATATAAAAGGTGTAGCTACGACTTCTAAATTAACTCCATCCTTATACTAGTTCTAGTCTTGATATAGAAGCCTTATAATCACTTTATACGGTTTAAATAGCTCACTAGAGGGCCTAGAATGAACTACTGGTCAACACTGGCCTGTAAGATCCCAATCCTTAGCGTCTAAGAAAACCAAGCATCCACACCTCAACCCTCATTCTTCAAACCCCTCCTATAACCATCCCCATCCTCATGCTGATGCTCATGCACATGGCCATGCTCATGACCAGCCCCTTTAACCACAACCGCCACATCCGAATGCAAACTCACCCCCGCCTCAGTAACAATCGTATCCAAATCATCCCTCTTCAGAAACATCATCTCGCAGTGCTCCAAGTGCGCCAGATTATCATACCGCTTCTCGATGACCGTCCCCTCCGTCGGCGCGAGGAACATCTTCTTCCAATAATAAGCACAGTGCACTAAATGCCAGCCATGCGTGGCGAAGAAGTGGCTCCCACCCGTCTCGGGTAGCCGCGAGACCTGCTCCAGCGACAGGCGCTGCGTCTTGTTGCGGTCCGCGTAGTAGGTCCAGCTGCCGTCGGGGTTTGGGCCCGCGCGCTCGAAGGCGTCGATGAGCGCGTCGTTGCGGCAGTGTGGTGGGAGCCAGGCGGCCGCGAAGGAGTCGTAGCGGCAGTTGTTGCTGAGGGCTTCGCTGAGGGTGTCCCCGCAGTTGCAGGAGGGTCTGGCTTGGGTGTGGTGGCGGATGAGCTCGTAGGCTCGGTAGGAGAGGTCGAGCGTGAAGAGGAGTGAGAGGATGAGCAGGATGGCTTGTTTGATGCGGGTGGATCGCCGCGGCGGATGCTGGGATATCGGGTCATCATCGTCACTGGCGCTGGTGTGGAACGCATAGGCCGGGTTGGGCTCGATGCTGGGCCTTGGGTAGAGACGCTCGTACTTCATCGAGCTTTTCTGGGGTTTGCTGCCTTTACTGAACATGGTGTAGGTCTTTAGGGGTTGGGTAGCTGGGGACTGGGTGGGAGATGATCTATCTATCTGATAACGGAAGTCAAGTATTGGAAGTGAGAGGAGTATGGGCATCTGGTGGCAAGGGGGAAACGCCATACTACCCCTAGTTCCCACGGGCACTTATTCATCCCTCTCTTGTTGCATCCCTCTCTTGTTGCGGTGTATCTCATCTTTATCCCTTGCTGACCAAGGGTTGGTGCTCTTTCCTACATGCAACCAAGGTCGCCTGTAATGTATCCTTGCATTCGGGTTTAAGGACTCGGGCGCTAAATTGCCTTGTATGTCGCTGAGCTGCGCATTCTCCAGCAGGATGACGTTTATGTTTATGGTATGGAATGCCAGTCATCGAGTGGGTACTCGGCGGATATCCACTCTGGAGATATGACATAACGAAGTAGGCTACTTGGTGAGCGAATGATTCCTTATCAACTGCAGCACTAAAGATAACTACTCAAATAGGCATTTGTTTTGTACATTTTAGGTAGTATTTTTATGCTTGTTATGCTTGTTATGTGCTGTTTACAGCCCAGCGAATACAGAACCCGGCGCAGTTACACTTTAGGAGAAGATAATGATTGCATAAGCATTTAATTGTGTGGAGCTTCTATCTGGACAACGCAGAGCCCGTAATGGAAGCAAATGATAACTAACTAATGGCTTGTAGTCTTGGAGAACAGAACAGAAGGCTTGGTGGTTCTCCACCAGCGTTACAAGGGAACGTCGCTGACAAGCCTGCTGAACGCGGGAAAAGAACGTAAAAGGTCGGGACGCGTATTCAATCTCTCATGATTTCATGATACTTCGGTGGAAGTAAATGTTTCTTTCTGCGTCTAGGGGTAGTAGGGGATGGCCTCTTCTTCGTTGCTGCGCTTGGGGTAGTAGGGGATCGCTTCGCCCTCCTCGCTGCGCTTGGGGTAGTAAGGAATGGCTTCACCCTCCTCACTGCGCTTCGGGTAGTAGGGAATGGCTTCACTCTCCTCGCTGCGCTTGGGGTAGTAAGGAATGGCTTCACCCTCCTCGCTGCGCTTCATGTAATAAGGAATGGCCTTACCCTCCTCGCTGCGCTTCGGGTAGTAGGGAATGGCTTCACCCTCCTCGCTGCGCTTGGGGTAGTATGGAATTGCCTCGTCACGCTTGGGATAGTAAGGAATAGCCTCCGCTTCTCCCTCAGCTGCAATAATGGATGTCAGTACATGATATCATTACGAAGAAGAAAAGTGTAGACGAGAGGGAATGGAATTCGTACGGATAGGAGAAGCAAAGGCCAAGGGAAGGCCGAAAGCCAGGACAGCGAGAACGTTCTTGATCTGCATAGTAACGGGCTGAGATAGAGGAGGTATGAAGGTTTTTGCAATCAGAAGGTCACTCGAATTCAGCGAAGAAGGGTTTTGGATGACTTCAGATGAATAAAGATATTGGTTTGTTTAAGGCAGTTTGCGACGAATATAGTCTGCTTTAAACACTGACTTGTGAGCGATCTGGAACTAGACACGCCCGGGAAATGTGCGGTGTAATGGTTGATGTTCACGAGGATAGACTCGGATTTTGCTCCCTCGCCGAAGACATTAAGCATACCATCTCCAAACGTCACTGTCTAGGGAGATCCCCCTTTGTAGGATGTATGATGACGAGGGACTTTTCTGACCTGAGCCCGAAGAGTCGCCAGCTGAACGACAGGATGGTTGATCATTGTGTTCCCTATCGTATCTTCTCACCTTTCTGGATTCTAAGAGGCGGATACTCTTATCAGCTACATGATGCAAGGTTTTCTGTATACAAGGCGGTATATCCCCTTTCATGTGGAATGACAGGCTGCGTCGTCCGCGACTCAAGAAATGACTTCGATGTCATGCAGCAATTCGGGATTGTTTGAACCCTGGATCCGAGGCAAGGGGTCGCCCACCAGCATGTCAGAAGCTGGGTTCCTCGGGAGGGGAAATGTTCCAGACGCACATTGAGTCTCGGAATGTGCGGTGAGCACAATGGCATCACGTCTTGGGGTTAATCTTCTGATTCAAAGGGGTGAACTGGATCGCACCTTTCACGGCGAGTTATTCCATCTTTAGAACCTTGACCAAAAACAACAACAGAGGATGTACGACAAGGATATAACGGAAAGCAACCATAGCCACAGTGGAGATGACAATTCTCATGAGGCCAGTAGTCAGAGAGATTCAGAAAAAGGTCTCCTGACTGGTGATTTCACCCAGAGGGCCAAGGAGTACGACCCGGAGAATCATAAACCACAACGTTGGAGCGTTCGTTCTTGCGCCTGGACGGTCTGGTTCACTTGTCTCAACATCGCTGTGCTATGCGGATCCGTTCTCTTCCTCATGTCACCGCTCTCGAGTCAGGCCTGCCTGCGACATCTAAGCGACCAGGACAAATGGAAAGCATCCTCGGCTTATGGTAAGTACCCAGGACTCGACGTCAACCAATACAAACGGCTAACGCACTCTAACCCCAGCCCCAATCCTTGAACGATTCGACATCCCCCGACAGGAGCTGATCACCAACGGCTCCCTATACGATGGCTCACCACCATCCATCATGCGCATGGCCCAAGGCGATGAAGCCGACGACGAGTGGAACCGCATCAGCTCCCACGTCTTCCCAATCCTCATATCCGCCGACGAGATCCGCAAACTAGGCAAAGACCCCTCGCTCGCCGTGCGCGTGCCCGATGAATTCGGCTACGGGCCGGACGCCTACATCGCGCAAACCGAGGTCTTCCACCTGCTGCACTGCCTCGACATGCTGCGCAAGGAAATCTCCTACGAGCACTACTATTTCCCAATGTTTGGCAACAACCCGGACGCGCAGCACACAGCGCACATCACGCATTGTGTGGATATCCTGGCGCAGTTTATCAAGTGTCAGAGCCCTGCGGATGTGATCCTGTTCAATTGGGTCGGGGGCTGGGATCAGCCGTTTCCGGACTTTTTTAATAAGCATGTGTGTCGGGATTATGAGGCGTTGTTGGCGTATGTTAACGAAAACTCGTTGCCAAAGGAGGTGTTTCAGCAGATGAAGGTGCCTCCGGCGGATTATCCTGTTCAGCCAGATCCTTCCATTGCCCCGTTTGTGCCGACGGGAGTTCCGGAGTTGTAGGGGGTGGTCATAAACTATGAGTGGAAGTGATCACGGAGCTTGCAGTTTATAAGTACGAAATGACATGTTAAACCTTAATGAAACGATGATTAAAGTACAGATTCCGCAAAGAACTCAAAGATTTATGAACCAAATCCTATCATCAGGGAAATAAAGAGCGGATGCTCCACTTAAACGGGCCGGGCATCCTTTGCAACCTTAATTAAAAGCGGAAGGCTTGGCTGGTTTTGATTAGACATGTAATAAATCTGATATAGGTGAACGGGGAAGTAGCCGTTGCTGGTGCTTTTGTAAGTGAAGGTGGAAACCGTTGGCCACTGGAAGTGAACCCTGCCAGTCAGCTTCGGGTTGTATTTATGTGTAATTTGGGAATATACTTGCTAACCATATCCTCTATACTATTCATCTGAGTCTATTCTATCTTAATCAATCTGATTTGATAAATCATTTACTATATCTGATCTCATTTCGGTATATATTACTTTACTTGATTTCATCTATTTTGATTTCATCAGACTCATATCGATTTCTATTATCTTGAGCATCTATCTTGATCTATTTGATCTCGTATTACTGCATCTTGGTTGATTCTAGCTGACTTAATTATATTCATTTTGATTGACTTTACCTATCTGATCTGATCATATGCATCATGATCGATCTTACCTTCCTTGCTTTGATATCATATCTTTCATGATTTGATATATAGAATATAAAGATTGATATGACCTCTGATCCAACATCAACCTCTATATGATCTACCTACGTCATCCGACACTAATATATTAGAATCAAAGTTATAAAATAATAATTAAATAAGCGATTTTAGTAATGTAAATAGACCTCTGAGTCGAGAATAGTCTTTAAAACTCCAAATTCTTTCTTTAGGATAGCTAATACAATTACTTTATACAATCATTCTAATGGTCCAATCCTATCCCGATTCTCAGTCAACCAGTTTGTCAAGCCCCCGAACTTGGATATGATCGTTGCCGCCAGAGCTGAATCTGCGTTGAAGAGGCGCTCACCTCATGTCAAGAATCTGCCGGCAAGAATCCCGCCTGCACACGCTAAAAGCATATATCTTATCACTACTTTAAAATTAGTCGTTAGACTAATCTTCGGTACTAACATTTTCAGTTCATAGTGCAGAGGGTTCACTGCCAAGCCTAGTCGTTTAGTTTTGAATGACTTAATGACCCACAGACAAAACACCAGCAGATCACTTCCCCAAACAGCTCACTACCTGTACAGGCTCCAGACCTATTGATTATCCATTTGTATGGATGGAGAGTCTCCGGTAAAATATTTGAGTCTATACTTAATAATCACTCTTTGTCTCTGCATCCGTCAGGAGCCATGAAGATGGTGTCATTTAAACCACCAAATCACAGCCAATATTATGGAATCATGACCTCATCATCTCAGGACCCTTCGACGTTTATGGCAAGAAGCTTGGGTCTTATAAAAGACGGAAAATTCAACTTAAACAACTCTTAAGGTTTTAACTCACACTATAGCATGAACTTATGTTCTTGTGCGGGTGTTTTATATCGGCCCCCGGCTCAGTTTTGATATCCGCTTCACAGTATGCCTGGTCGCCTCATCCGCGATGCGTGGGTTCTATGATCTGATGCTACCACCGCACGCGTGGCCCCGGGACAAGCGGGCGCGTGCTCCAAAGCCAGTGGAGCTTGCCGGCCGGCTCCATGATGTCATGGGCGTAAGTCTGGAGGGTGAGCTGGTGCTTCGTGATCAGCGCGCTGTGCATCAGGATGTGCGGATCGAGCATTTCGCCGGCCGCCCAGCAATGTTCCACGGTATCTGCTGTCGCGTAGTATCACTGAAGGCTACGACCGGCCCACTGGACGCAACCCTCGAGTTAATTGATCCGCGCAATCCGTCGCACATGCTCACCATCACCGGTGCTGATACCATGTGCGTGCAGTTTCCTAGCACCAACGGTGAGCACAGGCTGGGCCCGGTAAAGCACGGCATGATGCGTATGGCACCAGTGGCATCGCGGGCCAAGGTGCGCATGCCACTCTGCCCCGGCCAGTGCTTTGAAGCCCGACTTCGCCACCACGAACTTGATGGGCCGTACACCATCCAAGTGGGCGATGGCGGCCGCCTTCTCGCGACGGGCGTAGATCGCACCGGTAATCAGCAGTGTATCGCAATCGAGCCGGCCGAGGTTGCGCCGCGCTACAGGACAGTAATGTCACTGGACTTTGGCGCCAATTTTGATGTTGATGCGTTCTTGTTTCACGAGGACCAGCTTCGCAGCCACGCGACTATTGTCGGCCCCGATCCGGGCTACGGGCATCTCCAGGATCCTCTGCTCGGCTGCCTGCCCTCTGGCACAAGGCCGCGGCTGACCAACGGCGCCGATCATCTCGCGGTGTACGAGAAGTTCATCCGCGACCACATCCAGCCCGATGCGTATGTGCGTATTGTCGGGACACCGCGCAGGCTGACCATGTTCAACCTCTCAGTAAGCAACCAAGGCGATGCCCGTGGTGTGATTGATGCCTTGGTCGGGTTCCGACTCCAGAACCTAGACGCGGAGATGTCCATAGTCGCGTCCAAGCTGGGGCCGTCAGAGTTCCAGGAGACGCTAGAGTTCTGCAAGTACCTCGAGATCCTCGCGGACAATGACATCCATGTCGACATGTTCGCCAGTACCGATTGCCCGACACGCCAGGTGATGCATGCTAAGGGTATCGTCATCGACAGTCAGGTGCTGTTTAGCACCGGTGCCGTCATGGACACGAAGCCCATCAACAAGGCGGATTTTTCAATCGAGCTTCCGCGGGCCGCTGCCACAACGTTCCAGCACTATACCGACGAGCGCCGCGCAGAGCTCGCCGCGGAGCTCGCGAAGCTTGGAGTGGTGGTCAACGACCCAGTCACGGGCTTGACATACATCAGTCGCGCACAAGACGCGTTGATCCGCGGCGCCACCCACCAACTGATTGTCAGTCTCTCCGAGCTGGTCGATCCTGCGATGACCCAAGCCCTGATCGATCGCGCCGCGGGTGGTGTCCAGGTGATAATCCAGGTTCGCGAGCTCGACCCTGTCTCGGCGATGTCTCTGGCTGGCGCGATGCTGCGCGGTTCCAACCTGGTGGTAGAGAACTCGAGTTGGTGGGAGCCTCGTCCACACTTCAACGCCATCATTGCTGACGGAGACTTTGCGTACCTCGGTACCTCATACCTGTGGCCAACTCAGCGCAACATGGTCCACCACAGCCGGTCGTTGGAGAACGGCGTGCTGCTCCATGGTGATGCTGCGGCGAGTGTGCTCGTCCAAATTGAAGACCTGCGCGCCCGAGCGCATGGCTTCGCGACTGTCAGTTGCCCGAGAAAGCAGAAGGCTTTAGATCTCCCCGTCCTAAACCGGTGTGGCCCGCCCCAGGCAGCGCTGGCTGCTGTGCAGCATTAAACTGAGGCGGAGAGTTCCTTGGACAAGGACACAGGCTAGGAACCGGGTCGCAGAGTGCAGCTCAACTAGCTTGAGTTCTTTGATGAAGTTGGTTGAGCTCGGCAAGGTGTTGGATTTATCACTCGGAATGCAAATCTATTGAAGAGGCCCCTAAATAACACGGTAAATACACAGCGGGTATATATCAGCTGCTTATTAGTTATGTTTTACTTTATTTATTTATCTACTACAATTATAAAATTTATATATAACATACAGCTACAAATTTCTGCTTCACCAGAAAAGCGCCCTCATAGCCTGTTACTTCAACAGACAGGCTTCACCGTATTTATAGATTAATTAATTGATTGATTAAGCTGTCTTCTATGTTTAATTCAAAGATGAGATATTTGCTCCTTTTCAAATACTTGAACAGTTCAAAGAAGATGAAAGGTTTCTGGATAAAGTTCTCGGTTGTCGGGAAACCCTATGGATATACCAAATTCCACAGAAGGCGTTAGTTATCAGAGACTGAGACTGGTCATGACGGGTATAAAATTAATAGTTTCGCAGTCTATTGGGCTGGGATCTGTTGGCGAACAACGAGCAAACCTAAGGATCAAGTGATTTGCGTGTCTGTTCTTCTAAGATTGGACATTATAAAGATACCTGAAGTTGAGGAAGAGAAGTCTCTTGATTCAAGATCATGCTGGCTCTTGCCTCGAACATTCTTTTCTACACTGGGCCAGGACTTGGAGATGCAGGTTTCCGCTGGGCCCCCGTTTCATTACTTGGGAATCTTCACTCAATCAGCTGGACATCAAGGGCCAACAGCACCTTTGAAATGGGACGAGATCTTATAAGGTAATATCCAGGAATCATTCTTCCCGATCCCCGAGATCTAAGTCTCGATGAGGTCAATAAGGAGAATAACACTTTCAATCTCGACATTAATAGAGTTAACGAAGAGGGTATATTGCTCTACATGTTTTCTAGATATCTCCCTTTGTCATATCACTTTCTGGATGGCTATCCACAAGAAGGCCGTGATAGCTTAGCAGTAATTCTCCCTCACCCATTATCCTATTTCCAAGAGCAAAGTATACGCGCGGAGGCTGCGGTGCTGGTTGCTATACAAAGCCCATCTTCCAGTACTGGGATCGGGAGGGGTAAATGTATTAATTATTTCTTTATAGCTTCTGTTATTTTCGAGAGATTTGATCTGAAGAGTTATGCATTAAATTATAAGGATCCTAATACTTGTAATAATACACTAATCATCAAAGATTAATACACGACTAGTGATCAGACATGGTGTATTTGTTGATAGCTTGTTGTGCAGCGGATGACTTTTTATCACTACTGTATAATTTTGTAAAAGGAGCATTCCGGAGAATTTCGATACCTTCTCCAGCAGGTATTCCTATAGCGCTCAGATCTTTCAGTACACGATATTCGACTCGCAATCTGCCACGCGAGAACTTTCAGGGCCTGCGTAAGGCTGTTCGCTTCTGAACCCTGATCAAAAGAAAGTAACCCTTGGTCGTCTTATATACAAAATCCACGTAGATCCAAGTGATTCTCACCAACTCTATATTCCATTCCTTATTTGTATCAGATACATACGACCACAGGGTGAGGAGAACAGGGCTTCCCGTCCGCTCAGCCGTACTTAAGCCTCACGCCGGTCGGTTAGTAGTTGGGTGGGTGACCACCAGCGAATCCCGACTGTTGTATGTTTTTGCTTTTTCTTTTCTTTCTTACCATTGCTCCTCTAAATCACACCGCCTGGTATAACACATTTTGTACAGTCAGCCACAGGAAGTCACGAGCCACCCCACTAAAAAATCCCACACATTAAAAAGTCATAATTATTCAAACTACCATATCTCTACAAATACTGCATATTTTTGAATAAAAATAAATGTAAATTAATTATAGATATCTACTCTATAAAATCACTAGTATTTTGTATGGCCCCTGCGTGCTTTAATATATTTAAAGTACCTGCGGTACATTAACTTAAATAAAGTCTAAGTTTTACCTTAAATAATCGCATTCTATTCCGATTTAATAATTCTGTATAATTCTTTAATAGAATAAATCTTATAGCAGTGCTTAAAAATACATAACTTTATAATATACTATAGATTGTTAATAAGGTTAAGATCAGGTGACAAAAGGGGCTATTACATATATTTAAAATATATAGCTTTTTAATAAATTTAAATAACCTTTTCTATATAATATCCAGCTCTGTTATTTTACTAAATTATATTTTTATAAAGCTCAGCAACTGCTTTATAGTAAAAATACCCAAGATTATTGAATATTTTATTTTAATAATAGGTTGTTACGACCACCCGCGCAGTGCGGATGACGTCAGCCATAGTGCGGCGCCTAATGCGGATAGGGCACTATAGTAAGTGTCAAATGGGGTCACCTGACATCACCTGATTCATCAGAATCACCTGATTTAGCCCCACAACCAAAATTATTCAAAATTCACTACAACTTTACTTTCACTTTATTGAACTCTCACTTCCACTACCAAATTGTATGGGAAAAGTGAGGTGAAACTGAGCTTAATGTGAGTGGAAAATGAAAAAGAAAAATTTCTGAAGAATTTTTTATTTTAGACTAGCTTATCTTCCTAATTAGGAAATTACCGGTCGCTAGAATCCTATGGAAGTCAGAAAACATAATTTGATAAATTTCTTATTTAGGAAATTAAAAGTTTATTTTAACCACTGTGATCAATGGCTTTGTTTAGATAATTAATATAAAGGGTCCAGAATGTCTTGTTTATTTATTTTATAAGCTATAAAGTGAATATTGCTACCCTGGTTATTCTGATATTATTTAAATAATTTTATTATAATTTATATATTAAATCTTGATTGTTCTGATTATTCTGATTATAAAATCTTGATTATTTGATTATTTAAATAATTAAATATTAATTTAATAATAATCTATGAGGTTGATTTTAAAGGCCTAGATTAATAATATGACTTATAAGTAAAGGCCTAGAAGGATCTGATAATTTCATGTTTGTAATATTTACTTAGGGCCAGATTGAATTAGCCCTGATTTAATTATCTATAAATATGCAGTTAATGATCTGTATTGATTTATTCTTTTTATTAAGTTGATTTATCCACTTAATTTATTTAATTGAATTTTATTTATTTATTTAATTAATTTCACTAATCTATATGCATAGCGAATGGTAGGATCTCTGGTCTATTTATTTCAGATCTAGGTGGTCCAGGTGAACTGTTTACTTTATCTGACTGATTGATTTTTTTATTTTATCTAGCTATTTAAAATTTCTATTTAACTTATATGACCTATCTACTCTATCTGACAGTTATGAGCCCGGTCTAGCCCTTTGTTCCTATTATTTATGTATACACGTGAATTAATTATTTTTTTATCTGATTGAATTTACATATGTTTAATCAAATTTATATTTACACCTGAATTAATTATTTATCTGTTTAATTAAATTTAACCCACACGTGAATTAATTATTTGATTACTCACTATTGCAGTGAACTATTTACTATATATATTAATTTAATTTATTTAACCCGTGTACTCACTTCAAGTATTTTATTTTACCTGTCTGAAGTATTTAATTGATTTAAATTATTTTATTGATTTATTGATTAAATTCACACATACGCGAATTAATTAATTATTTGTTTATTTACTATTACAGTGAATTACTTACCTGTCTGATTTAATTAATCTCTATTTACCTAGTTTACTTTCACTTTATTGAACTTTTACTTTTATTATTAACTTATATGGTAAAAGTGAGGTGAAAGTAAGGTGAAATAAAAGTTAAATAATTTGAATTATTTTATTGATTATTTAAGCTTATTAATATAGATATGAAGCTTAATTTTTAATTAAACCAGTTATATAACTGGATATACTGGTTTAATATGATTAAAATGATTGCTAAAAGTAAACATGTTTGGGAATTTATTGATCCTAGTAATATAATTATGCCTGATTAACCTGTACGGCCTAGTTATCTGGAATTATGTGACCTTAATAGGAATATTAGATTAATTATTGATCTAACCCAAAACAATTAAGTACTTTATTAAGATTTTTTATATAATTATAAATTAGCGCTTTAAGAATATTATTATATAAATAAGAGCTTAGCCTTAATTCTACTCCTGATTAAGAACTTAATATTATTAGCTAATAGGGTTTTAGTATCTGATAAAGAAATCCTATATTATATACTGCAGATCTTTTAAATGAAACTAGCTCCTACTAATAAATTAAGAAAACACAATATTATTAAATAATATTATATGCTTAAAAATCTGCAGAATAAATATTTAATTAATTTATATATTTTACTATAGGAAAATATCTATACCAAAGTAAAATCGCTTAAAATAAGCGAAGTGAATAATCCATACTAAGTTTAATATGACTTTATTAAAGCTATTTATAGGTCTTACTTAATATTTATAAATTATTAGAGCGAAAAATTAAATAATAAGATTAAATCACGTGATAAAATACTGTTATTTTTTGATATAACTAAGCAATTTAGAGATCACATGAAGATGTTCCTAATATTTAAATATTTAAATTAACTGAGCCGAATTACCCAGGCAATCTTTAAAGGAGATATTTTAGAAAATACCCTAAGCCCTAGGTTTAACCTTAGAACTCCTAAAAAGGAATGAAACTGCCCCTGTTAATTAGACCCTAATAGAAGCTACTATGAATTTAACTAATGTTTTTATATTAATGATTTATTAAAGAAACCAGAAAATTAGTTATATAATCCTAAGGCTATTTAATAATTTAATAGAGTCTTTAGGAATCCTAAATTTCGCGCAATGCTTGAAGCCACGAAAAACCACTTAAAATTAATAAATCAAGTAATAAATTAAAATAATAAATTTTTAACTAATTTAATTATAATAGCTTTAAATTCAATAGAACTAATTAAAAAACACACTAGTCCTAATTAGGCATTT